TGAAGCTAGCAGTAGTGCAGGACTCAATAGTGACAGAACCTTTAGAACGAAGTCCAACTTCTTTACGTGGAAGGGAGACTTTACGAGCGTTATCCAAGTATATGTAAGTAGCACTGTTAATCTTTACTTCTGTTGGCATTTTAATCTCTTCTTGGAGTACCATCAGTGGTTTGATGTACTCTATAGTGTACCCACCATCATGGATTAAAGTGAACACATCATTGATGTGAACTGTTGCAGAAACCTTTTCACCTGCCTTGAGGAGGATATACTCGTCCTTTGTTGGAGGGCGACGATGAATGAGCTTTCCTTCGTATTCCAGCCTACGTCCTTTGTGATAGACAGCAATGAATGGAGAGAGGAGTCCCTCAAGAGGAGTGTTACGCATGAGAAGATAATAATCTTCACCAGCAACATTGACGAAATCAAAGGTGCAATCAACATCAGAGGAAGACGGTTCACAAGACATGTCAAGAGACACTGGCCATTCTCTAATGAGAATACAGAAATGGCAATTATTAATTTATGATAAATTATTGACAATGCACTTACGTGTACTTTCCCTTGAAGGCCAATGCACTAGCTATGCAAAAGAGAAGAGAAACAAAAATCTTCATTTCTATAAAGATCTAAAGATTGCTTCAGATGATCTTAAAGAATTGTCAGTGTGTTTATATAGAAAGCTAGAGCTTAGTTTCCTGTTATGCAACTTGTCAATTTATATTTCCAAGTATCGGTTTAATTACTTTCCTAGAAAAGACACTCAATTCATCTTACGAGTGTTCATCATTCAAGGACCTGGCTAGCAATTTGATATTATATTTTACTGTAGTTCACTAGAAAATTAACATTATGTTAAATTAGCTGTTCTCAGCTCAACTTATATATGCTCTTGTGCTGTATGGAAATTTTGAGCTGACTCCGATCAAAATTGGGTTTTTAAAGTTACTCAAAAATTGGGCTGAAGTCCCTGTACTATAGTACAGGGTCTTTGGTCCATGTCTATTGTAGTGCTTGACAGCTCACGAAACATGAAATTCTGCTCTAAATGACAAAAATACATTGCACAGCAGAAAGAATGCTAGCATAATAAATGGACCATATGCATCTCAAATTACTTAAAATATAAGACAAAAGGGATCAACAAAAGCAACAACGTTCAACAAAAGTGGGTAAACAAATTGTCTTCAGCTTAAGTAAGGTAGTGCTACCATTGTAGCACATCTAGTTCTCAACAACATTGAAGTCAGTTGTCTTCTCGTCATATACTTGACTATGTGGGTGCTTACTGCCACACTCACCATTGCAAACGGCTAATGTATAGAAAAGACAGAGAAAGGAGAAAATGAGAGGTTATGGTAATATGTACGCAACCAAGGTAGTAATACATGTATATGCAACCAAGGAATGAGCCTTTTCTCACCAAGAATAACACTGTAATTTCCAGGCAACCACATCTCACACATGTTCTGTGTTGGATCACAGTTAGGATCAGGAGCAGCTGTAACTTTACCACCACCATTGACTGTTTGACCAGCTGGTACCGGCTTCAATATTGTATTTTCTCCTATTTAAAAAAGACCAACCATAGCAAATATTTTCTCCGAACTATAAAAGTTTAAGTGGATACCATCACAAATTAAAACAAACAAGTGGCAGCTACAATTTTTTAACAACTAATATCAAAAATAAATTAATACATTTATTTCACACTAACCCAGGGGGATGCCATCTTGAGTACGAATTTCAAGAGCCATTTCTCCAGTCCCAGTTCCATTCTTTGTTATGAATGAGAAGGAGATCTCAAAAGTACTACCTGTAGCATCCAAACAACTAATAATAATAATAATAATAATTAGACAAATACCTTTAACAACTTTGTTTGGGATGACAGTCAAGTTAGTAATGGTAGCATCACCGTCATCTTTGATCTCGCAGACAGTCAGTAGCTCGCAATAGTAAATGGGATCAAGATCAGCTCTAACAACGACAGCAGCAATTTAAATTAGAAAATAAATTTGATCAATTTATTATACTCACTCCTCGATAATCTTAATGAATTCTCTGATGCCAACAATGTCACAGAGTATAGCACAGACTTCCTTCTCTGTATTGCTAGCTGGTAACATTCCACATAATTCAGCACAACCTCCAACAACACCAGCATCTAATTGTAAATTAAAAATAAAATGGAAAGGTCAACTTGATTTTAAAACTGACTTAGTATGATATTCAAGAGCTGGTTGATGAATTGCTCAGCAAATTCTATACACGCACCACACAATCTATAGTCTGCAGTGGGCTGCGGGCTGTGGCTCAAGTGAAGGAGTTTCTTGTTCGCAAAATGGTGAGTGGGAGCAGCTGCAAATGACTGTCCCAAGAAAAGGAAAGTCAAAACGATGGCAAACTAAAAAATGGAATGAAAATAAGACAATAATTCTAAGATTGTAGCAACCCTAACCTTCATAATGAAAGACAAAGGAGATTGCTGATAACACAAAAGTGACAAAAGGCAATGCCAATGGCCGAATTAGTCTAGCACCTGTAAAAGAAGGTCACACTAACTGTCACATGTTCTGTGGGGCGTGGGCGGGGTCCAACAAGTAACAACATGTCATCAGTTTGCTTGTTTCTCTTGCTTCTGCTGCAAGTCTTTGCAGTCTCCAATAGCTCGCTATATGCATCTGAAGGTGAATGTCCATTGTCTGGCTGCTCTCCAAGTCGCTGCTATTGCACACAGCAATCTCTTAGCCTCATACAGCAACCAAAACAGATCTGGCATAGGAAAACTTCAGAGAAGCTCTCCACCAAAGGCTGCGTTGCTAATGGAGGCAATATTGTTTGCCCTTTGGACGACATAAAGACAAATCCAGATGAGTAAGCTACCTTAGTCAGCACATTAGTTTAATTATTTTACTCTTTAATACAGCAAGGGCTGTCTTGGAGTGCATGCTGATGGGGTATATGAATGGGGTTGCAGCTCACTGAGTCCAGGGATTCCACTCCCTTTGGTAGATGTGTCTGGTAAAGTGATTGCAAGTGACGGTCACTATCTAATGGCATACTCTTCATATGGTGCCCCATTGGGCAGGCCCATTTACCTCTTCCCCGAGGAAGGAGGGCTTTTTGATTTTGTAATTACAGACAACGGCTTCTTCATTATGATATACAAGTGTGGATTCATTGCTGCTACTGATACTAGTAAGTTTTGAAATATTGCACTAATTTGCTCCTTTTACTTTTGCATTCTGACAGATGGTATACCATGGGCTAGTGTCTGGCTCAATGGTACATACAATTCAATGCAAGGAACATTCGTTCCACTAGCGACTCCAGCTATAGTAGGAGAGAGGATGTACTTACCTACTGCATTCTGGCCACACAATATCAACGATACAACAAATAAAGAGTTCTACCTCCGCCTCTATGCTATAGACATTACAGATGCTCAAGTTGACAGGATCAGAGTGGCATGGACATCAATAAAAACAATTACTGGTTACCTTCCAACACTTGAAGGGAACTATAAAGACTGCACTCTAATGCCCCCACCATCCATCAAAGGGTCTGACAGTGCATTAGGAATAAGACCAGTTGGCCATGTCACTGTACTTGATGAAGCGTTAGTTGTTTTAGGGCTAAACTTCAATAATGCACCTGGAGGATATGATCGATATTTAGTCCTGGGTATACTGGATCAAGGGAAGACATCCCTGGAGAAGTTTTATAGTGATGCATCTTATAACCTACTAGTAAGCACTAGTAGTCTTAACTATCTTACAACAAGGCAGTTTAAGAAGGAGCGTGATCCTTTTAGTGTTCAAGATTTCTTTCTCATGGCAACAGTGTCTTCTGAATCTGCTGCACCAGTTACTACTATTGATGTTACAAATGCATCTAATAATGCATTACTTGGAAAGATTAATCTGGACAGCATTTTCAGCCCCCTAACTAGAGTCCAGTTAACTAGTGATCTAATGTCTTTCGAATTGGATCTTCCAGCTTCAAAGCAAGATGACCGTCCACCTTTTTCAACTATGTACGTAGTTTTTGGATTTACTGGTTTAACGAGCAATGGCACAGAAGAGACTGGACTGGCTGGCATTGAGATTGGTATAAAAGCAACTGGAGCATTGCTATGGAAGATCTCAACGCCAGACGAATGCTCACCTGTCGGATTATTACCATCATTGAACAAAGAAGAGGATTACATGCTTATTGTAAGCACACAGTGTGGCCTTACAGCATACAAGCTTTGACATTGCTACTTTATATATAATAGAATATTGCTAATGCCCTATTTGAAATTTTATCTCAGCATTAATTTTTATTGTATCAATAATATAATTATTATTAAAAGCTAAATCAAGCTCCTCCTTCCTGTAAATATGGCTCCAGGGTGCTACTTGTGAATTTGCAAACAAACTAATCTCTAGAAGTAGATTCATTGTTTGCATCAGCCTAAAATGGCTGCCTTAAGATTGGGCCGGTTGTTTGCACCTTCAAAGCAAGCTCTAAAGCATTGTCCATTGTACAAGTGAGCTACTCTTAAGTGCTTATATGCCTAATCCTTTGGGTATTTTGTTTATTAGGTGTACAATGAGCAGCTATGAGTCTAATTACGACATTATGGTAATTGGTGGAGGTATTGTGGGCCTAGCTACAGCAAGGGAGATATTATTAAGATATCCAGAGAAGAAGATTGCTGTACTTGAGAAGGAAAGAGAAATTGGTAATAGAAGAAAATTTCCCTCGACTTGATAGTTATTTGTTTCCTTAAAGGAATGCATCAGTCCGGTCATAATAGTGGTGTTATACACACTGGTATATATTATACTCCTGGTACACTGAAAGCTAAGCTGTGTGTAAGAGGAGCTGATCTAATGTACCAGTACTGTGACAAGAGGAACATACCCTACAAGAGAGCAGGGAAGGTCAGTAATGCCTTGTAACTGGTCGATTGTGTGTGTGTGTGTATGTGGCTATTTGGCTCTGTAGGTCATTGTGGCTGTGAATGAAAACGAGATACCCAGACTTAAGAACCTTTACGAGAGAGGTTTAACAAATGGGGTTAGAGACTTGAAACTCATCGGCCCAAAGGAACTGAGACAGATAGAACCATACTGTAAGGTATAGCGATGGATTTTAAAAAGCTCAAAACGTTACGTTGTATTTTGTGAAGGGCGTGATGGCTATTCATTCCCCTAACACTGGTATTGTCGACTATACTAAAGTAACTGAGTCTTATGCTGAAGAAATTAAAGAAAGAAAAGGTACAATTTATACCGGATTTGAGGTAAAATATTTCTTGGAAATTATTAATCTTAACTTTTAATTCAAAGGTGACTGGGTTTGTAAAGCAAAACAGTGACGGTAAGTTCCCAATGGTTCTGAATTAATTCTAATTTTTGCACAGGGTCTGGTAAAGATAGCGTGGGGGTTCAATGCTATGGAAGAGTATGCAACAAATACCACTGCTTGCATTATTTCTCTCTTTTTTTTGTAGCCAACTTTATCAGCTCACAATGTCATCACGTGTGCAGGATTGTTCTCTGATCGTATGGCAAGAATGTCAGGGTGTAGCAGTGAGCCAGCCATCGTCCCTTTTAGAGGAGAATACCTTGTACTCAAGTCTGACAAAAGCTACCTTGTCAACGGGAATATTTATCCTGTACGAGAGACAAGTGAAAGAGAGGGAAAGAGGGAGAGTTTTTTGTATAGCATAGTCTTTCTCTGATCTATCATTTTCTTGGTCTCTTAGTAGCATTTTGCTTATCATGTATTTGACTTTGCATTCATGCATTACCAGTATTATTAAGTATTTTATTTTCTTTTTTATTTGACATAGGTGCCTGATCCACAGTTTCCCTTCCTCGGTGTTCACTTTACGCCAAGAATGGATGGGACGATATGGCTGGGACCTAACGCCATACTTGCATTTGCAAGGGAAGGATATAAATTCACTGACTTTAGTTTCAAAGACTTTCAAGAGTCTATGAGATTTAGGTATCAAAAATAAATTATATATAGATGCCTATAATAGTCTAATTATGATCATTAGGGGACTACGTAAATTAATAGCTAAGAATTTTAAATATGGCGCTCAGGAAGTCTTCAAAGGTGCTATATTGACAGCTCAAGTAAAGGAACTTCAGAAGTATGTACCTGAAATCAAATCCTCGGACATACAAAGGTTTATAGCAAAACTATTGTTTTGCAATTTAAAAAAGCTATTCTTTGTTGTTAATTTTAGAGGCCCAGCTGGTGTTAGGGCTCAAGCAATGGACAGAGACGGTAATCTCATCGAGGATTTTATTTTTGACCAAGGGACAAGCGAGATTGGTAGCAACATGCTTCATGTGAGGAACGCTCCATCACCAGCAGCTACTTCAAGTCTAGCCATTGCTGAAATGATTGTCGATAAAGCGCAGGACACCTTCAAATGGGACAAAATGCCATAAAACATTTTTTTAATGATAAAAATAATAATTATTTATTGTTGATAATTAAACGTGGGCGTGAGTTGTTGGGTGTGTCTAATTAATAAGTAGTTAATTAAAACAAAATGGCGGCGAGGCGTGAAGGAGGGAACTTTCAAAGTGGAGTGGATCCGTTATTTATGGCTCTTACATTATTTAGACACAGAAGATTTGGAGACTGTCTTGACATTTGTAACCAATTACTGGAGAAGAACCCACGGGACCAGGTGAAAGAAATCAGAACACCTCAAACTCTATTTTAAAACGAAGAATAAAAATAATTATTATTGATTTTAATTCTTACCTCCCCCTCAGGCTGTGTGGTTTTTGAAGGTCCGCTCACTAACGGAGCAGACTTACATTGACGAGACTGAAGTGGAGGATGAGGGCATTGCTGAACTCACGATGGACGATAACAAGATTGCCGATGTCGCAAGTGGGTGTGGTTTGATGCTATTAATTTTGCATGAATGCCCAATGTCCATTTTGATTTTTTCTGAAGCTGATTTATGCATAATTATATAATACCTTTCTAGTTTATTTATAGCATATTTATAATAGTATAAAGATTAAAGATTTTACCATTTTTAAGGGAAATACTTACATAATGATAGTAGCCCATGCATATTTTTTAAATTTTTAATCTCAAATTAAAAGCAAGTACAAGTTTTCAATGTCTCTTTCTTTTATACCCCCTAGGACCTGGTACATCACTGCGTCAACCCACTGCTGTAGCTACTGGAAGAATTGGGACCAGCCAAGGAGTGAGGTAACAAAACTATTCGTTAAACTATTCGTAATACTTTTCACTAATTCTCCTCTAGGCCTGTATCTCAAGTGGGTCGGCCAGTCTCTGGTTTCCTCCGTCCTGGTACTCAAATGGGAGGAGGAGGTACCTCGTTAGAGCAAGCAATCAAAGCTCCACGGACAGCTCAGACTGCAAGGTATGCTATTACTTGGTCCTTACTTGAATCTCATCATGTGACTCTCATGTGATGTAATAGGCCAATTACCAGTTCTTCTGGAAGATTTATTCGACTTGGAACAGTAAGTGATGCATGTATTGTGTAGTAGTTTTAGGGGATTGCTATTAAAATTGGATTTTTTTATGAATTTTTAAAGTTGCTCCAAAATCAGGCCAAAGTCCCTGTACTATAGTACAGTGTCTTTGGCCAAATTTCATCAAAAATGACTAGGAGAGAATTCTCTATTTTTATAGTTTTTCCTGATACATATACATGTTCTTATGTTGTTTAGCAAGTTTGAGCTGATTCCTATCAAGATTGGATTTTTTATGAATTTATAAAGTTGCTCAAAATTGGATCAAAATCTCTTTACTATATAATATAGTACATGATATATAATTTAAAATGTCGATTTATCAAAAATGGTCAATATTTGCCTTTGTAACTTAAATCTTTCTTTCACCTATCTATTGTCATTTATGTGTTTACACTAGTACAACTTAAATTGAGATGTTAAAGATATTTCTGCTCTGACTGATTCAATTAGCTCTTGTATGATATGCACAGTATCTAATGGACTCTCAATCCAATTCTCTATGTTATTACGTTTGTGCGAGCATCTTTGCTTGCAGCTGCTAATTTTGTAGTCATATGGCATTAAGTTATGAGTGTACATGTACATGATACATGCACATGCATGCATAAATGCGTATAATTACGCGCATGTTACATGTGTCATTGTATAATTGTTACGTTGCATTCCCTGCTAAACTGAGCATGCTATTATTATGAAATACATGTATACATGACATATGGTAATGTCGCTGTTACTTGATATCATTATTATTGCTCACCGATAATTAATTTAGTAATTTAAGTATTTTGTCCATTTATAGTACATCCATACATGTATCGATTTGTCCGTCGGAAAAATGTGCCTCCAATGTAGGCCACACACAAACTCAAGGGAAGGGAAGTTAGGGAACATGCCCTTTTGGTCAATCACCGTATCTTTGCTACTTTTTATAATTAACAAGGACGTGTAGCTAATGTTTGAAATTATAGTAAACATACAATGTGGTCGATTTAGAAATTACTTTTTTTGTTATTTTAAAGCAGATTTTTCATTATGGTTTTTAGATGTGCATGTTCTGTATTATTGTTAGGCGTCAATGCTAACTGAACCAGGTGGGTCTTTCATTGATGTAACGAAACTGAACTTGGCAACTTATGCTCAGAAACCAGCACTGGCTAAAGTGAGTTTATAAGGAAATAACTACTTCATTTGCTTCATTTTATTGCTACATTTTCTCTGTTAGGTATTGTTTGAGTATCTATTTCATCATGAGAGTAATTTTAGAAGTGTAAGCATTGTGTGTTTGTGTGTGAGAGAGAGAGGAGGGGAGAGAAAGGGGGGAGAGAGAGAGGGAGGGAGAGAGGGAGGGAGGGAGGGAGAGAGGGGAAGAAAGAGGGAGAGAGGGGGAGAAAGAGGGAGAGAGAGAAGAATGAGAGTCACTCAAGCAGAAAGAGGGAGGAAAGGTGACAGAGAGGGAATGTTATGGAGGAAGTGAGTAAGAGGTTATTCCAAGAAAGATGAAGAGAATGAAGAGTGGGAGACATGCATTGAATATCACTGTATTCTCCCTCACCGCTCCCCAGGCTTTACAGTTGGCAGCACATGCTACAGAATCATGTAGATTTGAGGACTGGTGGTGGAAAGTCCAGCTAGGGAAGTGCTACTATAGACTGGGGCTGTACAGAGATGCAGAGGGACAGTATCTCTCGGCTCTTAGGAGCAATAAAGTCCCTCACCCCATCACCAAAGGAACCACTGAATACTTCCATTGCATTGACATGTACCTCTACCTTTGCAAGCTGTACATTAAACTGGATCAACCTCTAAAGGCACTGGAGTATTACAGAAAAGTAAGAGCGGGATATGGAAGCTTAGTGAAGAAATGATAGGACATGCTTGATAGGACATGTACATATGCTTGTAGCCTAACTTGGAAGTTAGTCAAATTAAACACAGAGAGAACACTTTTCCTTATTAACAATGAAATAGTGTTGCTCAACAGTAATGAAGTCATGTGTTAGCAATTTAGTATAACTCAATCATTCGATCACTGCATGATGTGTCTATACATGTACAGTGGATACTGTAGTTCATGATTATACTTATGGAGCTATACTGCACATGTGTGATGATTGTGTGTAGATATTTTGAATATTCAACTGATTCAATAATGTCTGTTTACTGCTCCGCCAGTACATGCATCCATCCAATGTGCCAGCCTTTCAATTATTGACTATAATTTTTAAAATAATTACGCTCTGCATTCTTTCCCAGCTGTTTCGCTAATTGTCTCCAATTGATGGTTACAAACTTGTTTTGATCGGATCCTCTTTTTATTGATTGATTTGTTTGTCTGTTAATTCCTTGTCTCTCCCTCTTTCTTACTTTATCTTCCTTCTGTTCTTTTACTCTCTTTCTCTAGGGATTGGAGAAGTTTCCTAAAGACACGAGTTTACTCATTGGAATGGCAAGAATATATGAAGTAAGAGATCATGGACTTAATTCTATTCATTATTGGCTTTGCATTAATTGCATGTCTACACGTCATCTTAATAGTAATGAGTTGAGAGTAAACACACATGTAGATGATGCTTTTATTTGTACTTGCACTAATACTCTCTCCCTCCCCCTCTCCCCCCTCTCTCTCTCCCTCTCTCTCCCTCTCACTCCCTCTCTCTCCCTCTCCCTCCCTCTCTCTCTCTCTCCTCTTACAGGGTTTAAGTGACACTGATCAGTCTATACAGCATTATAGAGAGGCCCTTCAATCTGACAGCACTTGTGTTGAGGCCATTGCTTGCATTGCCACTAACTACTTTTATTCCGATCAGCCAGAGATAGCCCTCAGCTACTATAGGCTAGTACACATTGCTTTTAACTATAAAATATTAAAATATTAATAAAAAATGCTTAATGGATGTAAGCTACCTATATATTATTACATGTATGTACATGTACAAGTATTGCTGTGAGTTTTCATATATAATTGTCATTTTCTCTCAGGCGTTTGCTACAGATGGGCGTGTACAATGCTGAGCTCTTCAACAACCTTGGTTTGTGTTGCTATTATGCTCAGCAGTACGACTTCTCCCTGAGTTGTTTCCAGAAGTCTCTCTCTTTGGCGTCGTTGGAGACACTCGCCGATATATGGTATAACATAGGACAACTGGCAGTGGTGAGGAAATTAGATAAAATGAAATGAAACTTGAATTACAATGCATAGCATATGGGGCATTTTTTAGATTAAGAATAATTGTTTACAAATTTGGTAGGCATGTTGTATTATTGAGTATTTTTTTGTTTTGTATAATCTGCTAATAGTCCATAGTTTTGTTATCATTATAGTCCATAGTGTGGTACGTCTGTTGCTATCCAACCACCACTGCATTCATTAAACTACACACATGCTTGATGTACATGTATGTACATGTTAGTCTCATTTTGTAACAATTAGGAATTGTAGTAATTATAGTAGTAATCTTAAGTGGAGGTTTTTATGTATTAATTTGTTAGCTAAGAAATATTTACTCTCTCTCCTAATGGCCTTTAAACGATCCATTGTGAATAGTTATTATTGCATTAATAATGGGAATAGATTATGCGTGCAGTTATTAGCCAAAATATGACAAAATTGTTTGCTGTGTGTGGCCATGTTCTTGCAAAGCCGCTCTTCTCTTCTCTGCATGTACAGTAGATCTACACGTCTGTATGTGTGTGTCTATGTGACTGTGAATTATTAATCATTACAGTCCGTGACTTTATTATTACATTGAGTGTGGGGCATGTGTCTCGGTGGCTGTGTTGTCATTTTTATAATTATTTATTGTGTCATCATATGATGACTGAAGGGTCTCTCTTTGTAGTCTCCACATGGTGTATTCATTCCTTTTTAAGTGTATTTACAGTGTATAATTGTATTGTAATGAGTCTCATGTTGTACATGTACACCAGAAATATAAATAATATAAAAAGATATTTAGAGAGAGAGAGAGAGAGAGAGAGAGAGAGAGAGAGAGAGAGAGAGAGAGAGAGAGAGAGAGAGAGAGAGGGAGGGAGAGGAGAAATATAGACAGATAAATAGGCTAATCTCTTAATGTGTTGACATAAATTATTAGCCCAGGCTGTTAGGTTCGTGGCATTCATGTACATGTACATGCATATATACATGTATCTATACTTGCTTGTACCAATAAGAGTGACTAATTAATTATCCACTCTCTATCTTGTACACATTCGCATAATTAAATTTTTGTCTGTCTTGTCTTGTCTGATAATAGTGTCTAATCTCATTTCGCTAATTGATTAACTCGCCCTCTCACTCTCTCTCTCTCTCTCTATATATGCTTGAGTGTCTTCATTATTTGATATGAATCCTGTGGAGGAAATTAGGACATGTGTGCATGTGTACTATTTTAGGTTTCTATTGTCCTCATTTTTATTTTCTCTCTCTCTCTCTCTCTTCAATTGTTTCCTCTCATTTAGGGAACTGGTGATACTAAACTAGCCTATCAGTGCTTCAAGCTGGCCATTACTCATGACAATAATCATGCAGAGGCTTATAACAACCTTGGTGTATTGGAATGGCAGAATAAAAAGGGAGAGAAAGTGAGCTCACCCCTATAGCATAATCTCATTGGATTCACTGTTACATGTATTGGGCAGGGTTTCCCACATAGTATGAGCTTCATGAGCTGACAAGCACTGCAATATGCAGTGTAGTACATGGCTTTTTGAGGAACTTTAAAAATTCATAAAAAATCTAATTTTGATCGGAATCGGTTCTAACTTGCTACATGACATAAGAACATGTATATGTATCAGGAAAAATTATAAAAATTGAGAATTCTCTCCTAGTCATTTCTGGCAAAATTTGGCTAAAGTTCCTGTACAGGGACTTTATCTCGATTTTGGAGTAACTTCAGGACACCCTGGTATAGGGCAATTGCTATGCAATTTATTTTAAAATTTCATTTACTTTTTACAGCTTGTGTTTACGACTGGTCACGATGTCTTTTGCTTGCACTTGTTATTATTATTAAAATTTGTAGCTTACAAGTCTTCAGATTTAATTTGCCTATGAAATAATTTGATAAAGAATCCGATGCATTTTTACCACTTTGTGTGTAGCCATAGAACAAACACCATGTACCATGTGCAGTATTCAACGTACATGTACATGTACGTTCATTAAATGTACATGTACGTGTATTAGCAGTACATGTACACGTACAACTCGCTGCAATAAATGATTTGTTCTCCTTTGAGTTTATTATTAAGGTTAATTTGATTGTCCTCCTCCTGAATATTTAATGGTCTCATGATTCTTAGATTATAATTTATAATTATATTTGACACTTTTTGTTATTCTTTTTCTCTCTCCCCCGTCTCTCTCTCCCTCCCTCCAGTCTTTAGCCTGCTACAATGTCAGTGTACAGTTGGCTCCCCATCTTTATGAGCCTCATTACAACATTGCTTTGGCATCTCAGAAGGTACAGTCATCAATTACTACAATGTACCATATCAGTACATACACTTACCAGCTTATATCTCATATTCTATATTAGGTACCAGTTGGAATGCACACTCATATTTGTGTTCCTAATAAATAAATGACTATATAGTTCTTGTACATGCGTGTACATGTATTTTGATAATTGGAAAGCAATGACTCAATAGTCAATTACTACCTATTGTTACTGTGCTATTGCACTGTATATCAGGTGTACACTGGCTTCTCTCCCACTCCTCCTCCTCTCTCTCTCTCCCTTTCTGTGAAACAAGCATGTCTGTCATACTCTTAGCTGTTAAATGAATCCTTTGAGTCAAGGATTGAGTTATAAGATACATAAACAAAGCTAATTGGTTGGACTGGTGTTGTGTTTCACCATTGGGCAATAAGCAGAGAGGCATGCTCACAATGGAGTAATTTATGATAAACAAGTGTGTATCTGGATATGCTTATTGGATGCTTTGATACATGTACATATCCATTGTAACACCATATATTAGGATTTACATATGGTGGCTCCGATTAATATTTAATTTTAGTTTTGTTTATTTTGTTCCCCATTTCTCTTAGATTGGTTGTCTTCATAAAAGCTATAAAGCTGTCAAGAAGTCTCTAGAAGTATATCCTGATCACATTGAGTCTCAGGAGCTATTGAAGCAAATACAGCAACACTTTGAAGCTCTCTAAGACAAGTACATGTACATGTACGCCAAGCCGTCTAACTCTATCCTTCACTTATCCCCAGGCATCACTTCTTATAGTATAGGCAATTAGGCAGCAGTCCAATCTCTTAGTGTTTGTATCAGTATGTGTGTGTGTGTGATACAAGCATTATTTTATTTATTTTAGTAATATTTTAATAATAATTTGATTAATGGGAGGAAAAAAGGAGGCAGGAATGGAAGGAAAGAGAGGGAGAGAGTAAGAGAGAGAGAGAGGAGGAGGAGTAGGTTGTGATATAAATTATAACATCAGCTCTAGTTTCCACTATACTAACCATTTGACCATTTTATGGTCATAATGAACATATTTTCACTTTAATTTAAGTACATGTACATACACTATTTGTATGTACACATGTACATACATGCATATATTTAGTCACTAAGAAGAGATGACACTTTATGACAGTTTATTTTAACAGCCTCTGTGATATGATAATCATTTGGTAAAAATGTGTTTGATTTGTTTCATTGAACTATAGCTTGAGGACATTAGTCAGGCCACTATATACAATAATAAATCTTATAATTCCTGAAATATGAAAATTCCGTTGATTCATAAACAATCCTTTGCCCCTACGTACCCAGCTCTTTCTTGCCATATGGGACACATTTTTTTGTAGCGTGAAAATATGGAGTCTACTACATGTACATGTATATCCCAGACACTGACTTGGGTGCATGTATATATTGAATTGTGTATGTCATGTTTCGCAAGAGCTGTGATGTGGCTGGCATGTCCCTAGTTGAGAGATGGTACTAAACATATAATTATTCTGTTAGGCAACATTACCGATAGCAAGAGTACATGATTTACAGAGAGTGTACTATTGCCAATAGTGTAAGGGATTATTCCACACCTTTTATAGGTTATACCCTTTAGCTGTGACATCTCCCATCTCTCTGTGTACTAAATTACTAGCAACAAATTCCTCTCTTAATAATAGTCTTAGTAGTCTTAATAAGCATTATTATTACGTTGTTTTTATCCTGTTCTTTTACTAATGAGTTCCTCTAATACATTTTAAGTGTCATAATATAAGGAAATGCTTTCAACAATTTTGCTGTGGTTTTCAATATCCGCTATTATGCATAAGGCATATTAAATATAGCTTGTAACAGTATAGCATTCTGTAGTACATCCTCTGCATGTGCACATATGCATCATCTATGTGACATACCAATACTAGTTAATTAGAATTTTTTAAAATGTACTACATGTACATGTATGCTGGCCATGTGTAGGTTGGAAGGGAATGAATGATTATAGAGTCACTCAGTCTGCATTGCTAGTGTATGCTATGCTTGTATACTAGGCTATGCTTTTCTATAAGCATCTTGTCCTTAGGGAAGGCTTGCTGCATACTGTCACGTTGAATTAAAATATTTCTTGTCAAAATCATAATTGACGTTGTTTATTTCCATGGAAGTGCCTCTGTATGTGTGTATTTTTAGTTATTATTATTCCTGTTCCTGGCTAGAGTTTACTTAAAGTGACATTCTTGCAATACTTGTATCAAGTGATTGGTTCGATTAGCATCATAGAGTGGTGTTTACCTTTTGGCTAAAATGACTTGATTATCTGTCATTACGTGAGCTCAAATACCTGTAATACATGTCATCATGCATGCAGTTTAATTTTTTGTGACAAACATATCCTTCTCTTTATTTCTCTTTGTTTCATTGTTCTTTATTCCTTTATTCCTTTTTTTCTGTGCCACTTCTAACAGACTTATATTGTTCATACACATCATTAAAGATTGTAATTCTTCCTATTCTTGTATCTTGTTGCCTGCTCAAAAGCTACGACCTGCTGCATATGGCACACTTGCTGACACTATTTGCTCATTTGAGTAGCCCTTGCTTGTGCTTCCATAAAGGATAGTGTCATACTGTTAGCAGGGCATAGAGTCTTGTCTGTCTACACATAGGGATTATTGTCTGAGCCTTTTCTATGTCATGCATCATTATTTGATAGGGTGTTGGCAATGTATATCTACATCACCTTAAAAATCTAATATTAGTTTATGTTGTGCTGCATTACTGATTCTCTCCCTCCCTGCTTTGCTTGTATTTTTCTTGTTTTTTTGTTGGTGGGGAAAGTACACATGTGGGATAGACGGTCAAATACCTGATTAAAATTAATAATTTGTTGTTACATTTTTGAATATATTGGCACAGATGTTCAGAATTTCCTATCATTATAACAATGATGTGCATGTTTGTGGATGTTTATTCAATTGGTCGTGTGTAAAACTGCGTATAGAGACAAATTTGTGTATCAACTATTCACTACATGACTGAATGCAGTTCTTTGTATCATGGAAACAAAGCTGGTATTGTGTGTGCTGTGCATGCTGTTAATAGTCTCATGATTATTATACTTTACACTCTCCTTTGAAATTCTTGAACTTTATAAAATCCAAACTGTAGTACTACATTGTAGTTTGTGACGTGTGTGTGTGTGTGTGCGTGCATATATAATTTTATAATTTATATAATACATTTTTCTCTTGTACATGTGTCTATGTGACCATTCTGTGTGTGTGTGCTAAAGTCGTCATGTGTGAAGAATGTCTACGCTGTAAGTAATATACCTTCTTTACTTTATTAAGTAGAATTATATAAAATTCATTTATATTGACAACTGTAGAAATGATGGAGATTGGTTGACATTCCAAGTACAACTGCACATATGCACAGCTGAAAGGGAGGTTAACTGGTACAGCCAAGAGCAATTTTTTGCTCTACATTTCTCTGGAATTAGCTTGACCCACACATACATGTGTAAATGTTTATCTACATGGAACGCGTGCACATGTTTGTATCTAATTTTAAAAGTGGTCTTTCCTCTCTGTCCTCCTGGCTGCCTGCCAACTTAGTTCGCGCATTCTTACAAGTAATGTATCATGTGTCACATACACTCGTATGAAATTGTTTGATTTTCATTTTACAAAGGTAGTACGTGACGCATAGAGTATTGAGATAGAGTATAGATATACACTCTCTCCCTCTCACTCTATTTACCAGTTGTATCATATAGCACACACCTCAGTAAATGATCCATGCACGGGCGGAGTATTGTGTATGTGCGTGCTATGAAGTACGGGCGGCTCCTTTCCTTATACCTTGTGATTAGCTGCTGCCGTAATTGAGCAAAATGAAGCAATATTTATAATCCATGTATTATACTTCTTCTCACTTTATCGGTCAAGGATTCCTTACTGTGTAGGAGAGTCAGGGACTATTTCCTTATTTATTATGTGACTGCATGTGTGTACTTAATCTAATGTCCTTATTGATACATTGTCCCATTGTTATACTCCCCAGCCAGTACATCCATGTGTGTATATTATCATTATTATTGTAGGTACACGCAGACTTGCAAAGAAGTCAGAAATAATTTTGATTTGTTGTTTTGTCCTGTTTTAAAGGCAGATAAACAGATGATTCGCATTCTTTGAGTTTGTTATAACTGTTGTTGGGAGAGTCTTCCTGTTTTGTATAGACATCCATGTTGTAAGGAGCAGCTGTCTGTCTTGTCCTATGAATGTAGCCATCCGTGTGAGAGTTGGCTACAAGTTATGGTATGATGTGCTCAAAAACACTCTCCTATTGCCTATTTAGTCTTGTTCCTATTTTGATTAGGGCAATGCATTAATGTGTTTTAAAAGCTGCCTATTGTATTACATTGGACTGTCATATTTGGCATATAGTCTTGCTTCTACTCCTCCTGCTGTTGCTGCTGGTTTTAATATATTCAGTAGATTATTTTTTTTTAATTGTTATTTGGCTATACAATGTGAATGTGTATAACATCACAACAATCAGTCAATAATAATAATAATAATAATAATAATAATAATATACCAGTCATTACCAAGTGAGTCAGTTGAAAAGAGGTGGGTGAGACAGAGGAAGAAAACGATTCAAAATAATAAATCACAAAAATTAAAAAGTATCAGTTCAGTCAGTCAACAAACAGAGTAGCAATATAATACAAAGAGAGAGAGAGAGAGAAAAGTGAATAGAATAAGACAAAAAGAAGTGTACATAATTTTAAATGAATACAAACTACATCAATTTGTTTTGTGTGGTATGTGTGTGCATACACGATTGCGTATTAATGATATGTAACTGTCACATGGCTTCCTTTCTTCTTTGTTCTAAGATGATTTCTGCTACTAGGAGAAGCCTATGGAAGCAAAGAGAGAGAGAGTATAATTATCATGTATTACAGGAATGCAGGTACATAGGAAATAGCTCTCCTCTCTTTTCCTTTTACTCATAGTATGAACTATGTGTAATGGTTGTATTGCTATGCAGTGGGAAGTTATTCGAGAATACAAAGCTATTATGAATAGCTCCTTAATGACTCTCAATGACACCTCCCCCCTCTGCAAGCAGCATCTGTCACTACACGCATGAACTTTTGGTATAATTAAAGTGTTCGATACTCCTTTCTCTCCCCCTCCCTTCCTCCTCTCTGGAGAGTAGGAGTTTAAATTGTACACGTATACTTTACACAACAAAAGGGTATCGATTGTATGATGCATTCAATACATGTACAAAGGAATGCTGTTTTATTGATAAGAAGGGTGAAAGCATCTGCCACTAAGTCTAGCACAATGCTCTATTCATCATGTCAGTGCAGGTGTCTTAAAGTGCACATGTGTGTACGTATACATGTACATGTACATACCTCGTCATCGTCCGAAGCTTCATTCTCTCCATAACTTGATATGTATCCTGACTCTCTTTTGCTGTAGTATGGACCGTGGGCCGCTGGTGATCCTGGTGGACTGGTCATAGGCGAAACTAGGTCCATGGTGGCATTCATCATGACTCCATCTGTCGTCTCTGTTAGTGACTCTGTTTTTATCAGCGGAATCATTCTCTTCTCTACTTCATCTGGTACTGGTGTGTTCTCCCTCGTGTTATTCTCCGATTGAGTCTTTCTAGACATGTGCCCTTTAAACATTTGACGTCTGTCAGCCATCTCCGATGTCACGGTCATGTAGTTTGATCCAGCCCTCACACTCCGACTGAGTGGATGCTTAAAGGAACCCTCGTTTAGTACACGATGCAGCCCCTTTCCTCTCCCAGCTATTTGGCCATGATCTGGTGGGACAGCAAGCGATTGTTGTGATGATAGTATACTTGAGGTGTCGTCTGACGACATAGAGCTAGACATGAGAGCGTGCGGATCAAGATCAGGGCTTGGATTGGGTCCTTTGTCTAAATCAGTCAGATCTAAAGTGGAAGATCCAAGCCTAAGATCTTGAAGTGATGGTGAGTCTGTGTTCATGTTCGTTATTGTGAGATCACTGGTGCTCTGTGAGTGGTCAACTTTGCTTCGTAGCTTTCGGCCAAACGAGTAACGAAGTGGTCTCAAACGTGTGAACGATTCCTCGGTAGAAGATGAGTCAACGTGATCATTGATGAGTGATTCATCTGGTAAATCAATCTCGTTATCAATATCGTTAACATCTCTTTCAAACAGTGGCAAGAAATCAATGCTTGGCTCTATCTTTCTGTTTGCTACTGGAGACACTTTCTTGCTCCTTATGCTAAAGCTCATCATCTTGTTCCTTGAGAAACTGGGAGAGGAGGAAGAGGAGGAGGAGGAGGAAGAGGAATTATCATAGGAGAGGGTCCTATGTGTGACTCTGCTCTTGGAATCTGATGTCACTGGTTGGGAGAGAGGGACAGACATTCCATCCTATAAAGAGAGAGAGAGAGTAAGGTCAATGACATTCTGACTATATCCTTCATGCGTATGAATTATTTCTTATAATAACTGTGCATTGGAGGAATGTGAACACCTGATGATTCTGTCACAACGATGGAGTAACCAACTACTTGTACTCTGGGAAAGTGCATGTCACTGCATATTGCATTGTATGGGTATAGAGCTCTCTCATGCAACCAATAGTATATGCATCTCATTCTTGTGTACATGCAATTAAGGATTATTGAATTCTTCTGACAAAATTGGATTTATTATGCATTATTACTATTATACGTGAGCTTACTATGTCCTCATAATGGTGGGTCTTTTGTGATAAGAAACCATTCACGGGGTTGGAGCCAAGTCTACTAAGAGTCCTTGATCTTCCATAGTTTGCTGTCAGTCCTCTCTCGTCGTATTGGTCTCTCACTTGACTCGGAACGAAATGTTCGTCAACGATCTCATCCCTCTTGCTGTCACTGAGTATTGTCCAGCTGTGTCCATGCTGATTCTCCACAGTTGATTTCTCTAGCATTATTGAACGATTGAGCGCATTGGTGGATTTGAAGTAGTCCTGGAGGAGTGCTGCCCGGCGGTCAACATGAGCTACTCCGCCGCCAGAGCTACCCAGATACTCGCCCGACCTCGGGCCAGGGGAACGAGGCATGGAAGACGGCGTGCTGCACCTTGGAGGAGTGAACATGATATCGTCTCGTATGAATCCTCCAGCACCGCTGCTGCTACTGCTGCTTCCTATCCTTCCTCTCTCACTCAAGTCGAGCAGGTTCTTGGACGCATACGTGGAAGGCTGGCTCGTGGTGGGATATGATGAGAAAACGCTGCAGGCAGCCATTGTGTATTGCCCTGGATCAGATTCTCTACGAGTAGCGACTTGCTTCTTTCTGTAAATGCTCATTCAGTTGCAAAAACTGTGGAGTAGTAGCATAGCTTGGGAGCTGGAATGCAAGGCCTTTTTATACTTTAACATCGTTAGTTATAAAACAATAGTTAATTAACCAGACTGTTTACATCCGGTATTTGTGGGCGGAGACACAAAATGGCGTCGGGAAATGAGCAAACAAGCCGCGGATTCCAGCAGTTTCCTCTCGTTTCCTACTCTATTCCAGATGATGATGAGATAAAGGAGAGAATAGCCTTGGCTCTAAACCTCAAAGATGGCCAACAGAGCATCGGCCAGTCCGTACAGGATCCCTACACGCTGGCTGTCAAGTACATTGAGAAGCATAAGATTGTGGAGGTGTTTCAGGTTACCATGGAAACTTTACACATTACACAATAATAATTTTAAGTATGGGAGTTTTGACAGAATTGTGTCCTTCCAATTGCTTTTCCATTTGAATGAACCTCCCAATGCATTTTATTTTGAGTTACGAGCAATTGGCACCTGACTTTTAAAACCTGCAAATTTCTGGGAGCATTTGGAACTATGATCAAGGCAGTTGCAATTTGCAATTCATTACTGATCCATAATTGCATTCTAGTAAATTATTTTCAATTCAAGCATCCACCATAAATAGTGCTAAGTGAACTTAAAAGCATGCTTCATTCAAGCACTACAATACAGTACATGTACATGGCTTTGGGACAATTTTAAAATTTCATAAAAAATACAATTTTGATTGGAATCAGCTCAAACTTGCTACACAACATAAGAACATGTATATGTGTCAAAAAAATTTATAAAAATGGAGAATTGCCTCCTAGTCATTTTTGGTGAAATTTGGCCGAAGACACTGTACTATAGTACAGGGACTTTGGCCTAATTTTTGAGTCCATTTCTTTCTCTCTTTTACATAGAACATTACTGCTAGGCTGGCTTATGAGAAGCCTGATGACCCAATACAGTACGTCCTTGACGCCATAGCAAAAGTTAGAAAAGGAGAAGTGATAGAAGAGCTAAAGTGACTTATTAACTTTGTGACTTCACCAAATATGTGGTTTTATTTTCACAAGCAACTCAGATCTCTTAAATAAATATTTAAATTTCCTTTTTTTTTAAATTTGATTTATGATTTTGTTTCTTAAACCAATTCCACCACATAATGTGACATACTGGTACTGTGTAGAGAGCGTTGGTATTGCTACTATTGTGTCTATTTCTGTTCATTTTGTCTACATATCATAATCCCCATGCCTGCATTCCTAGTATATGTACATCTATTGTGTATGTGTGTACTTGTCTCCATGTCTCCATGTCTCCTTGAACATGAACATAAATATGCAACAAGTTATGTACTATTGCCATGACAGACAAGGAATGAATGAAAAACAGCCATTTTTATTCTCGCATATACATGTACATGTACATGTATACGTGACCGTTATTTAGATATTTTTTCCTTCGTTCTTGGAAATATACATGTTTAGTTCTGATTTTAAACATTCTCTAGTACAAGTGCATATTATCATTTTTGCTCATTTTAGTTCGTAAACATGTCAAGAGATACACACACTATAAGTACAGAAGGCATGTTGCAATACATGTAATGTAATGCAGAGTTTACTATTGGAACAGTGCAGGCAGATACTGCATGGACAATGAAATCAAAATATTTAAATATGTAGTTATTCTCCCACTCTCTCTTTTTCTATCTACATGTATCTCTCTCTCTCTCTCTAATTTCCTTCCAGTTTCTCTTGTAGTAATTATTATCACTTGTCATCATGACACTCTTGTACTCAAACTTTCAATGAAAGACTCATTGATTAAGTTAGTTTGTTTGTCTATTTCATTTTCCTTCATTATTTAAACCTTTTAAGACTCATCATTGCATTACATACATGAACATGGCTAATCTAATATGAATATTGACAGCCTTCCAAGCCATTGCCTGCTATATAATTATTGTGATAATAACATTTGTCTGATTTCATTACCATGTACAAAGAAAGACAATCAATCTCAATGACATTACTAGACATTGTGGCTATGTATTGTAATAATGCTGTATGTGTAATCTTACATGCAATCCAGAGTATATACATGTATGTACTATGTACATGTATGTGTGCATTTATATTGTCCCTTAATTATCTTTTTATTTGTTGCCCTTCTGACAAGTAAAATCAATTATGATGAATCCTCTTTATTATTACTGTTACTTTATGTGTACTGTATATGAATGGGGGATTGCCTTAAGGCTATAAAGTGGAGCAAACACATTCTAATCTATTGATCCTAATGCTGTGTGTGCATATACATGACTGCATGCTACTAATAATAATTACCACATGATGTGTGCTACTGCATAAAGTCTATAAGTACATGTACATGTACATGTAATCCAAGCATTGGCCCTACACCCTCTGTTTGAACACAATAGTTAATACCAACACCTTATATAGTAAACAGATAAACAATGAGCTCCTCAATAGTTTTTTATTGGTTGACATGGCAATTACATTGCATATCGCAATATTTGATCTTTCATTGCTTAAAAATCTCTCTCTCTCTCTCTCTTGTAATCTTCCCTGCCAATCCATTATACTCTTAACCTTTATGCCAGAAGATGAACTTTGATATTAATGGAAGCTGTGACACATTACAATTAGTATACTATACAGGATATCCTTTTGGACTGTACATCATTTACATATAAGCACTATAATTACTCTAAGAGTGGATGTACATGTACACGTTATTACGTGTGGTTCTCAAAAATGACGCATTTATCTTGCATTCCGTGTACATTTGCAAGTGTACTAGCTGTTATTGTAGCAGATTAAGGAGGTATGTCTAAATGATCATTTCACATGTATTTCGCAAGAAATGTACGTTACATTGTTTCCCTTAAAAGTTTATGCCATTTCACAGACCATTGATAATGCTCTCTAATTCAATGTTGTTTACTCTTTTTCTCTCTCTCTCTCTCTCGCTCTCTTTCCACTTTCCTTCTTCTCTTTGATCTTTCTTTCTCTTTCCCTGCCTCTAATAATAAAATTCCAGTGGCCCAGGGGTCAGTGTGACATCTTACATGTTACATGTAAGAGTTACAAGGTATGCTTTGACAAGGTATGCTTTGATTGGGAAGACATGAAAGAGAGAAATACATGTGCATTTTGACCCACCCTGTCTTTTTTAAAGTGTAGCACACTAGTAATTCTATCTCCTGGGACTATGTCACTGAAATAAGAGTGAGTTGTAGCACACTATATAGTAACTCTACTGAAATAAGAGTGAGTTGGTTTGAATAATGAATGCTGCATCTCTTATCATAGTCTATCTATGGTAAAAGGTGGCACTCCTAATTTTTACAAAGAATGCGGTACTTTTTTGATGTAGGCTATAATTACAATAATACAGTGGTTAATTGTATATGCAGTAATTATTTGAGTGTGTGAGAGAGAGTTGTTTACCACATTTTGGATGTACAACGATTGGATAGCGCATAGAAGCAACAACAAAATTGCATTCATCATTATTATTATTCAAATGCCATCAACTTGTCTTTGTACATAACTACATATTAGCCTGTAATACTATCTACATTCCAATCCTTGTCCTATTAGCATATGCACAGCTAATACACAAAACAGTAATACAGAGACAATGCATGTTGATATACTCTACTTTTATTTAGTATCTACACAGTAATTTTTGTAGTATAGCATAGTTTTATTGTTAAATATGCCGTAATGGTATTGTTATTAGAAATTCATTGGGTCTTTATTGTTAATATAAATATCCAAATACAACTCCTATATCATCACTCTCCATATATAGCCAATCCCTACTTCTAGGAACAACAAAAACAAATAGAAAACATGTATTAGTCCTAACATTATCCTTTAGATACATGTACCTGTATATTCTAATGTGGTTCTACTGGCGTGAATACTTTGGCTCCTTACCCTGTTATGCTACACAGCCGCTTTTTTGGAAAGTGTTTATTAATCTCAAGATATAGCCATAACCCATTGCATATTGACAGCTGCTGTTTCTCTAAGCATTTCCGCTATTTACATGTATACATGTATGCACGCATGTCTCTTTGTACTTCAATGTGATATGCTAGAAATGTCCATCGAGTTGATGTGTTATGTCTAAAAGAGATGAAGGACTTGAGGGAGATTTTTGTGTAAGTACTTAATTGGTTTGTGTCGGATGCACACGCATCAAAGTATGACTTGCGAGCGCTTGCTTTGAGCAGCTGCCTCTGCCGGTATAAGTTATGCTGGATCATGATTCAGTTATTGAGTGACAAGATGAATATTGATTACAGTTTAGTCAAAAACTGAATTCTTCTCATGCTTAGGAGCTAACCTATGACTGGATAAGTGAGATAATAGGAAGACAAGGTCATTAATGAGTGCACTTGAAAAAGAGTGGGAGTTATACATGATTAATGGCCGGTACATATGTATTCATACATGTAAGCGAATGTGATTACCGTCACATCTTTGTGTGGCTATGCTATGTACTGCACTGTAAACCTAGTGCTTTATACAATTGAGTATTGTTATTGACCATTATACTAACTGTCTCTATGTAATGGCTTTATTTAACGGATGCTTCTATCATAATTTAGAGTAAATGTTGTCATTGCCGTCTATAAGTATATAGGTGGCCTATTATCCAAAACAATAGATGTATCATGAAATGACAGTAATCACTTGTGATAGTGACTGATAGTGGGGCATTTTTGAGTGTGCAATATCAGCTAGTACATGTGTATCCAATTAAGGTACAATACCCCCTTTACTACAATAGAATAATAGCTATATTCCACAGTGTAATGAGCATGCATCATTGCAGTTATTTATTTTATTATAGTCCCTTTTTGAGGTGGTGGCTGTACCAAGCATTTATAATTCATGTTTTGTGCTGGCTGGTTTATTGTGTACATCCAATGCTCATACATGATCATCGAAACATGGAAACAACAAAATGCCATAGTATAGAGACAATGCTTTGCTACTAGCCTCTTAAAAGGGAGCTAGCCTGCATGCCAAGTTACAGGACCAACTGTTCGGTACAGCCTGGAATTATGATTGTTCAAAGAGTTACGGTGTACATGTACATAGATTCAGAATAGAATCATTCATTCGTGGCAATAATGATTCATTAAAGACATTCCAGCGAGTAACACCTGCTTCTACACAATATCAATTAGAATACCAATAGCCCAACAATTGATCCATTAACATGTATAACTATGCATGACTCTACATTCATAAGTTATTATGTACATATGATTGTCTGTGATATATTAAATATTATTTTGTTAGACTGGTGTAAAAATGTGTTGATGAAATTAAGCTGGCCAGCAGGATAGTAATAACTGAATTTGAGGTGACTCAGTCCTCTGATGTAATGAGTCTGTTTGGGTCTGGCTATTAGGGACTGAAAACAAACCAAAGCAAACTATTTGCTATCATTTTGATTGATTATAATTATGCTACTGAAGTAATTACCTCAACCACTAGTACTGTATGATGGTGGAGAGAGAACACAGAAAGAAAGAGGGAGAGGAAAGGGGGAGAGGAGAGAGAGGGAGAAGGAGAGAGAGGGAGGGAGGGAGAGGAGAGAGAGGGAAAGAGGTAAAATGTGAGGAGGAGAGGAGCTAGGACAGTGCACAGTTACTTGCGAGAACAAATAAATTACAGATAAATCACAATTTATTCAAATAATTGACCACACACAGCCAACAATGAGAACAATTAATAAAGCAAACAATTACACATTATAGCGTAACTATACACTGACTAATATCATTATTACCATTGTATATACAGCTGCTATCCCTGTCTGTTCCTATTTTCCTCATTTCTTATTAAATCAAGCAAGATTAAAGGAATTCGGAAATGTGGGGACTAATATCAGTGATATGCTATCATATGGACATTGATATGTGGTATATTATACAAACACAGACAAGTGTCTTTAGCTAGACTAGCAAGAGAAAGTGCATATAATAATAATAATAATAATAATAGTAATAAAAGCAGTGCAATATAAAAACAATGTATGTCAGCATTAGTGGTTGTGTATATGCAAACACTGCAATAGTAAATCTTTTATCAAATTAATTGCAGAAAAATACAAACGAAAAATAAATTTTTTGCTGCATAAGGAAGGAGTATATTATAGAGTAAAAATTGTTATTCATACAAGCATATATTTATACTCAAATATTTCAGTTTACAACTGATTTCATGGCAGCATATACTCCCCTTTCCCATAAAAAGTCGCATACCAACTGACAAGGGACAAATTCTCTCTCCAAAACACATTTGTACTCATTGCTTTTATTAACCGACCGGCTTGACCTTATAAGGAGACGTGTACAAGAACCAGTATTAAAAATTTAAGGACGTGGGTGCATATCCTGGAACACAGGTAGCAATAAAATATTTATAGCTTACATTCTAGCTACATGCATTAATTTACTGATGATCTTATGGTACAGTAATGCAATCACTGGTTAATTTCAAATTGCATGCCCTCCACAATACAGTATTAACGTCATTGTTATGTCACTCATACAGGAATACATACATAGCAATCTATTAGTATAGTTGATAGGAGGAAGTGTCCTACATGATGACGTCCTGTGTTTCATTTGACTCCTTATAAGGAATGAATGGATCTTCCTCTACTCCTACTGATCGATACATTGTGTTGATTTGTTCTGTGTAACTACCAAGAGATATAATGGTAGCACCATATCTACTCGCTTGCTCGTGTTTAGTGTCCTACTGTCTTTGTCTCACCCACTGATTTATTATCAGCACGTCTACTGTAGCTCATTAAATCGTTATCATTTAATTAATAATTAGTCTTTATTCTTTATTTATTTGTCTTTATTTTTATTAATTGCTAAAACGTTTTACAATAGCCTATTGCGACATGAAGGCATTCCTGCCAATACTAATAATCAAGTTATAGTGGACAAGCCCTCATACTGAGATGTAAGACCACCTGTGTAATCACTTCATGGATGCATTCATGTGAGAATCCTAGGAATGTGTGTATGTGTAGCTATATTTCAGGCCAGGTAGACACGTGCTTCCGCGTGTTCATGATTTAAGGAGGTTTGTAAATTGTAATGCAAAATGGCGCCCAAAGAGGCAACTAGAAAGAGTCCCAGAAGCAAGAAAGGGAAAGCTGAGAGTGATTCTCCTGATGGATCTGTAATAAGCAAATCTAAGAAACCTCCGAAGAGAGCTCCTAAGAAGAAAACAGCTCCTCCAGTTAGGAAAATGGCGCCTCCATTGCCATGTGGTACAACCCTTTCCGGGTTTACTAAGAAAGAGTGGAGGCTAGGGAATTCAATAGGGAAAGGAGGTTTTGGAGAGATATATGAAGCATTTTCAACAGCTGCAAAATCTTCAGGCAATTACGTTATTAAAGTGGTAAGTATACTTATAATCCTCCGCCCATAAAATTGCTGATATGTATATATGATTTTCGAACTCTGCATGATGACATTATAAATAAACACATTTCAGTTGATATTTTAAATTAAAACAGGAGCCAGAAGACAACGGACCCTTATTCACAGAATTATCGTTTTACACACGAGCAGCCACTGCAGACAAAAGTGAGTTTATTGTGTTTATTTTTATTTATTAATTTTTACTACTAACAGTAAATGATTGGATGAAGTCTCATGATTTAAAGTATCTTGCAATACCTCAGTATATTGATTCTGGGAAACATGAGTCCTCATCTTCGCAGTATCGCTTTCTTGTGATGGAGAGATTTGGGGACGATATTGGAAAGCTTTTTGAAGAAGCCGGGAGCAAGTTTGGAGTAAAGACTGTTTGCTATTTGGCATTAAGAATAGTAAGTGAATAGTTGTTGTAATTATTCTTGATCGTCCATCTTTTCTCTCTAAAGTTAGAGGCACTTGAATACTTACATGATTCACAGTATGTTCATGCTGACATTAAAGGCACAAACTTACTTACTGGATATTCTCAAAGAGATCAGGTTTTTTGGGGTCACGGGAAATTAGGCCAAAGACCATAGTACATGGTATAGGGGCAAATTTTACCAAAATTGAAAAGAAGAGAATTCTCCATTTTTATAATTTTTTCTGATACACATAGATGTTGTTGTGTTGTGTAGAAAGTTTGAACTGATTTCAATTAAAATTGGATTTTTTATGAATTTTTTAAGTTGCTCCAAAATTGGGTGAAAATAAATAATTTTTTAAAACATTTCCCAACAATTTTTTCAGGATAAATAAATTTTATAGTAAATTTTACAAGAAAATAATTTTTTCCAGCAAATTTACCGGGAAAAATAAGCTTCCTGGCAATTTTACAGGGAAAAACATGTTTTCCGGCAAATTTTCCCATAAAAATTATTTTTTGGCAAATTTAGGAAAAATAAGTTTCCCGGCAAATTTCCCAAGGAAAATTAGTTTTCTCCAGGAAAAAATTCCCAGAAAATATTTTTTTCTGGGAAAATTAATATTTAATGATTTTGCAAATAAACTGTCAAATTTCATAGGGAAATAATTTTATAGCTCATATATTGGATTTTTACAAATTTTTTAAGCTGCTCCAAAATCGGGCCAAAGTGTCCTGCGCTATAGTACATGGTCTCGGCCAAATTTTCCCAAAATTTTCTCTACTTTTATAATTTTTTCTCATGTACTAATATTGTGTAGAGAATTTTAACTGATTGTTTTACAAATTTTTTAATTTTCTCAAAAATATTGCCAAAGACCCTGTACTATTATAGGACAGGGTCTCTGGCCAAAGAAAGGCTAAGGGAGATTTATGTATTTCTGTATGATAATTAGGTATACTTGGTAGATTATGGATTAGCTTTTCGATATTGTCCTGACGGTGAACACAAGCCGTATAAACCTGACCCAAGACGTTGTCACGATGGGACTATTGAGTTCACAAGCATTGATGCACACGATGGAGCTAGTAGGCCTTATCATAAATAAAATGATCTATAATGATTCATTGTATATAGGTCCATCACGTAGAGGGGATCTGGAGATACTTGGGTACTGCTTGTTACAATGGTCCTGTGGTAGACTACCATGGGAGGATTATATAGATGATAAGCCAAAGGTAGCGAGTTTGAAGAGAAGGTACATAATTGGCTGATAATAATTTAGTACCATAGCTAAGTCAACTTTAATTACGTGCACTAGTTGATCTTTATCCCACCTGCAAGAGAGTTTTTAAACGCTAAACTAAAATAACATATACATGTTTATAGCATCAAAGATACAGCTAAATGACAATAGCTTAATATAAGAAATACTCACAGTATATTTTATGCTATTATTATCCACTGTTTCTATTAATAATTCTCTCTCTTCAGGTATAAAGCTGCTCCTACTGATCTGATGAAGGATTGCTTCAAAGGAAAGGCGTACCCAAAATACCTTCAGAAATACATGGAGTGCATTTATAAACTCTCGTACGAAGAGACCCCTAAGTATGAGGATTTAAGAAAAATTTTTCTAAAGGAACTGAAAGATAACGGCATGAAAGATGATGGAACTGGCCTTGACTGGATAAGAGGAGGAGGAGTTGGGTTGAAGGGGCGGAAAAGAAAGCATGATCCGGAACCAGAGTTTGAATCCAAAGTCATACCAAAGGCTAAGGGTAGAAAGATGACACGGAATGAGGCAACTGACATTGACAAAGGCGCTGATGTTGTTGTTATTGACTCTGAGCCCAAGAAGTCAAGCAGGAAGAGGAAAAAGGATGAAGGGTCGGGTGGAGATGATGGCTCTGATGTTATACCAGGAGCAGCAGGTGGAAGGAAGAGGATCAGTCATGACTCAGATGGTGAAGACTGTGACCTGGCCATTGATGTAAAGAGAGGGAAGCATATCAAAGCAACCGACACAAGTGATAGTTCTGAAGCTGGTGAGCCTCTGCCTAGAAAGACAAGGGGAACTCTTAAAAAGCCAGGCCCACCTAAGAGGAGGGCAGGTAAAAAGACAGACCTAGAACCTGTGCCCAATATTATCCCTGGAGCTGGCCCTACCGGAAAGAAGGATCACAAAGACTTGGACCCAGACTCTGAGGACGTAGAGATAATCCCTGGTGTTGATCCCAAGGCTGGTAAGAGGAGGAGGGGAGGTAAAAAGACTGACCCAGAGCCTGTGTCTGATATTATCTCTGGAGCTGGTGGTCCTACCGGAAAGAAGGATCATAAAAACTTGGACCCAGACTCTGAGGACGTAGAGATAATCCCTGCAGTTGATCCCAAGGCCGGTAAGAGGAGGAGGGCAGGTAAAAAGACAGACCCAGAGCCTGTGTCTGATATTATCCCTGGAGCTGGTGACCCTACCAGAAAGAAGGATCACAAAGACTTGGACCCAGACTCTGAGGACGTAGAGATAATCCCTGGAGTTGATTCCAAGGCCGGTAAGAGGAGAGTACTTAAAAAACCTGACCCAGAACCTGTGTCCAATATTATCCCTGGAGCTGGTCCTACCGGAAAGAAGGATCATAAAGACTTGGACCCAGACTCTGAGGACGTAGAGATAATCCCTGGAGTTGATCCCAAGGCCGGTAAGAGGAGGAGGGCAGGTAAAAAACCTGACCCAGAACCAGTGTCTGATATTATCCCTGGAGCTGGGGTAAAGAAGGACAGCATAGAGTCAGATCCAGACTCTGATTTTGAACCCGAGCCTAAGTTTAGTAAGAAAGCACTTCGTACAAAGCCAGCTTCTTCTGCCATTATCCCTGGAGCAGATCAGAATGGAAGAAAGAGGACTCGTAAAGATAAAGATTCTGGCTCTGACTCTGATTATGTTCCTAGCGGTGGAAACAAACCAATAAAAAGGAAGAAAAAAACTGCCTCCAAAGCAAAGAGTGGAAAAAAGCAAAAAGATGATTCTCAGACTCAAGGTCCGATCATACCTACAGGTCGTTACCCTCCTGAACTGGGATACAAGCAATAAGGACCACTCACTTATGATTGATTGATTGTAATAATGTTACTTTTACATTATTTTTCTTGTGTTAACAGTGCTATTGCTGTGTTAATATGATCAATCACTTGATTTTATAATTGTACGGAATACAAAGCGTAGCCAGTACTTTAGGAATAATTTAACTTCATAATCATCAGACAGAAATCCACAATTATAAAGTTATGAGCTATTTACCTCATGACAATTTTATTTAACATTTTGGCAATTTGCCCCTAGCAACTTTAAATTATGCACAACAATGATCAAAAAATAATTAGCAAACAAAATCAACAAGTCATGCAAGTCATGTTATTCATAAGACTCCAAAAATCAAAAGAACTTTGTTGCGAACTGTTTAGCAACTTCAACAGCATCTGACAGCTTGCCCACATTAGTTCCAGTGGCCTGAGCAGTATTATCTCTACCGCCTCCCTTACCACCTATGGTAACCGACACAGCCTGGACCCATTCATTGGCCTTCAATCCTTTAGCTATAGCATTCTACAATAAGAAATAATCATAAATCCATAAGAAATTCACTAACTTTAGGTACGTTAGAGAGGCACAGTATTTTATGATTGTCGTGGTCCACACTTAATAGTAATGCTGCAACTGTTGGAGCCAGAGATTTGAATTGCTTCAAAGCATTGTCAAGAGCCTAAGATATGTGCATAAAACACATTAAAAGATTGCGGAAAATAAAAATCAAATAAAACATCTTTTATCTTCTTACCTTTGACAAACCTTCAGCTTCAAATATCTCAACAACAAATGAAGGAGGGCTAGCTTTATCAAACTGACCTATTAGTTCCTGTGCACGCTCTATGCACTAAATAAAAAAAAAAGAAAAAAGAAATGAAATTTTTAAAAAGAGCAAGTCTATATATGGGCACTCCTACTTTTTGAGTTAAAAGCTCTTTGGCAGCTTTGTCGGCTTCATCTGCAGATTTTTTTGCTGTATTGAGTTTTTCTCTCAGCTCGTCTTTTATCCATTGAGATATGACAGCAGAAGAAAGAGCCTTTAAATAAAATTTTTTTAAAAATCAATTTTAAATCCTTTTACTCGTTATCTTACATCTCCTTCCTTTACAATGAGTTTGTTAGCTTCTTTTGGTGCCATGGACTTGGTTGAGAGACCATTCAATACAGTAGAGCAAAGGGCGTCCACTCTCTCTTGGATTACAGCTGCACGCTTGTGAGCCTATTTTGCATGTGTTAATAATATCAGGTAATTCGGAGAGAGAGAGAGAGAGAGAGACAAACCTTTACAGCTTCCATACCAGTCAAAGCAACTATGCGTCTGATCCCTTTAGCAATTGCTTCTTCAGTGACAATAGCAAATGACTGGATATGACCAGATGAGCGAAGATGGCTAATAAAATTTATAAAAAATGTACATGATCTTTGGCCTGTGAAACTTTAAAAATCAGTAAAAAATCTAATCTTGATTGGAATGAGCTCAAACTTTCTACACAACATAGGTTCATGTATATGTATCAGAAAAAATTATAAAAATGAAAAATTCTCTCCCTTTCAATTTTGGCAAAATTTGGCCCAAGACCATGTACTATAGTACAGGGACTTTTGCTCAATTTCGGAGCAATTTTTAAAAATTCATAATAAATTTAATTTTGATTGGAATCAGCTCAAACTTTCTACACAACATAAGAACATGTATATGGATCAGAAAATATTATAAAAGTAGAGAATTCTCTCATTGTCATTTTTGACAAAATTTGGCCAAAATCCCTGTACTATAGTACAGGGACTTTGGCCCAATTTTTGAGTAATTTTAAAAATTCGTAATAAATCTAATTTTGATTAGAATCAGCTCAAACTTTCTACACAGCATAAGAATATGTATATGGATCAGAAAATATTATAAAAATGGAGAATTCTTTCCTTGTCATTTTTGACAAAATTTGGCCAAAATCCCTGTACTATAGTACAGGGACTTTGGCCCAATTTCGGAGCAATTTTAAAAATTCATAAAAAATCTAAATTTGATTGGAATGAGCTCAAACTTTCTACGCAACATAAGAACATGTATACGTATCAGAAAAAATCATAAAAATGAAAAATTCTCTCCCTTTCAATTTTGGCAAAAGTTGGCCCGAGACCATGTACTATAGTACAGGGACTTTGGCTCAATTTTGGAGCAATTTTAAAAATTCATAAAAAATCTAATTTTGATTGGAATGAGCTTAAACTTTCTATGCAACATAAGAACATGTATACACATCAGAAAAAATTATAAAAATGGACAATTCTCTTTTTTCAATTTTGGCCAAATTTGGCCCGAGCCACCCAAGCAGGTACTTACGTTCCACCACAAAATTCAACGGAGTAATTAATAGCCCAAGGACCTGATGGATCTTCCACCAGCTTATCAACCGGTACACCAATACTTAACACACGGACTGGATCAGGATATACCTACAATACATAACAACAAATTAAAATCATGAACCATTTACATGTACTCATTACTGAGATCAATCATTCCTAACACATTACAAAATTACATGCGAACTCTACAATCAATTTAAGTATTTTTAGCCTCGGGCAATAACAACCATCAAACACATTCCAATCACTTATTTCCTTTCTCTCTCTCTTACGTGAGCAGGAAGGAACCAGTGAGGCAAATACATAAAAATTTAAAATTAATTATGTGGAATTGCATCAGAGATAAAGTGCATGCTTTTGTTTCGTCACAAGCATTAAGTATAGTACTAGAAAAGGAAGGGCTGACGAGTATAAATTTTGATATCATTTTATAGTACTGCCCTTGAGAAACTACGTCACTCATTAAGCAAATAGCGTCAATTATACGCCGACACTACCTACATGTACATGTACTTACACCCACATGTACATGATACGCTATTGCTATGTCATTACTATACGATAATAATTATATTACATGGGGGATTTATGCCTATCAATTATACCGATTAATTAGATGCCATATAATATAATGAAAGTCTTATTGGCTAATGTGTCCACCCAGTTACTGAGAACTAATCAAAAAATATGAGGATGTGCATATCCATAACACAATGAGAAAACATATAAGTAATTCCATTAAGAGACAGTTAATTATGGACACAATGAGAGTATGTACCCACATATGTACACCTACACGCATACATGATGTACATGTACATGCAGAATGATACAGGCATGGTATCAAGTTACATTATACATGCAATATCAGGTTACAGTCATTATACACACAATACATGCCATAGGATGTACATGTACATGTAGAATGATACATGCATGGTATCAAGTTACATTATACATGCAATATCAGGTTACAGTCATTATACACAATACATGCCATAGGATGTACATGTACATGTAGATATAGTATAAGGGTATTTTATAGAAATTACTGACTTCGTCAAATACAGCTCGTAGCCCTTGTATCTCTTTAGCAACCGGTAGTGGGGTCTCTTGGGCATAGACAGGGTGACTAGCTTTAATGACTTCCAGAGCAACCTCTTCACATTTCTTTATCTGATCTGTTTTCATAGCACCCTAGAAGCAAAGACAAAATAAAAAATAGCTTACACATTTATATATAATTTACTTTGGCTGAGAAGTCAAATCTAAGTCTGTCAGGTGCAACTAGGGATCCTTTTTGATCGGCTTCTCCGATCACTCGGCGTAACGCAAAATTAAGCACATGAGTACCGGTGTGATTCTTCATAACGTCTGAGCGACGATCCTACATTTTAAATAAAAATAATAATATTACTTTATTGTAAATTAACCTATTATCTTTAAATAGCAAATACATGCACACGTAGTTACTGTTTATTGTAAATTATAACAGAGCTACTTAACAATAATGAATAATGAATAATAATAATAATAATGAATAATAATAATAATAATAATAATAATAATAACAGCATGTAACTCACTCCATCAATTGTCATGTTAACTTTGTCTCCAACTCTAAGTGTGCCTTCGATGGATCCAACATGCAACACATAGCCACCTCTAACTTGAACATCACGAACTATAAACTCTGTCTCTTCCTATAAAAATTAACAAAAAACAATAGAATAAATAAATAAATTAATTAATAACACTTATAAAAATGTAGCTTAAAATATATAAACAGATTACTAAATTTGTATTGATATAAAAGGCAGTTTTACTATTCCTTACTATTACATAAAGCAGGCAAGGATTTATGCAGCATGAAGATGTAAAGTAGTATAAAGTGGTTATTATCAATTAACTTTCACACACAAAGCACAAGAAAGTTTTGATGTCATTCAGTATAGTGATAAACTAGTATGACAAGAGGTGATTACAAGCTATAGAAACTCTTAATTGCTGTGGTCAAACCCCCCACATCCTGTCTCCCCCATAAGTACTATTCCTACCAATTGCTCAAGAATCTGACTACAGCCCTTCACATCTGTTAGTACTACCACGGCAACGGTATCCTAGCAACTGCCAATAACACCTGGCACAGAGAGAGTGCTAATGATGAATAGCCCATTCATTATCAATCAGATACTCACCAGGCACTTAATGGGCTTAAAACAACACCCCCATGCATTAACATACTAAATTAGATCACATACATACATGTAATAATGACATATAGAAGATGAGATGAGGTAAGATCCATTAGTTAAAAGAAGGAGCGAATACATTAGATTCAGTTGACAAGAAGCACATGTAATTATAATGTACATTAAAGGTAATTAAAAGCATTTTACAGCTGTTTCCTACCTCTCCAATCTTTACAATGTATCCTTCGTCATAAATCTGACCGCCTTGCTCTGCATAGAAGCAAGTCTTATCAGTGAGGACTCCGACAACTTGCCCAGAAGAAACCTCATCGACAAACTCCTTATTGTATCGGAGGGCAATGACAGAACCTTCACAAGATTGGAACTCTGAGAGAGAAAGAGGGGGAGAACGAGAACTATGACTTTATTTTTGTGCACGTGCATGTTTATACTTAAATACAGGAAGAGAGGTTAGTTAGTGGGTGTATTTTTAGAGGTCAAACAAACAAATATTCAGCTCAAAGTACCAAATAAAGTAATATCTCCCAAACCTATTTGCTAAACATTTGGGCACTCAAATATGCAAATGATAAAATCCTATAACAGGGGAAAAATCCCAAACCATATAAGAATGGTATATATGCACACTGGCCAGTTACCTAGTGGGACAGGAATTGCATGTACTGTCCACTGTCCACATATTTACGGTCTAGGCGGCTTAATAGCGGAACACATGATGTGATAAAGTACATGTAAGAGACACTGAGTGTAATAGAGGCTCTAGCAGTGTACCTGTATATTGAAATATACATTCATAACGATTGACCAAAATTAGAACTCCCAATTTTGTTCTCAGGAACTGAGAACAATAATAATCATATTTATGATATTTAATTATAAGGGAATTAGGGTCACTTGGAATGAAAATAGATCCCACAATAATTTAACAGGCGCAAGTACTACACGCTGTAATACTGCAACCGCTAAAATATTAACATCCATATAATAGTTATATAGTGCATTGATTATGAATGTACATGCTGCTTGAATTAACTAACTGTAATTCCCAGACTCGTCACTGGAATAATCATATTTAGACGAGTCGTTGGTGGGAGGTACCCCTTTGGATTGAAGGTGACTGATAGCGTGGACATCCAATTGAAGTGACTCATCAATCTCACGGCCTGTACCACGGGCTTTCTCCTAAAAGAGAGAGAGTTAAATTAAAATTGTTTGACATGCTTCAAACTGAATTCTTGCCAGAGAAATTGCATTTTCCATATTATGCATTACATTTCCCTGTTATTCCAGGAATTTTCGTGATAATACTTGCTAATGCAAAACATGATTACCATCTCTTTGTGGTTTTGCTAATTAATGAATGTAGGCATTTTAAATGAAGTATAATAATAGGCACACGCTAATCATCGCAAGAGCTATGAGCTTTGATGAATGAAGTCCTCAGAAATTTGAACTCAAAAATTATGTCATGATTGATGCAATCGTACCCCTCCACTTCCCTGGAATTTATTTCCAAGAAAACCACAGTAAAATATTCTGATATGCAAATAATAGAAGTAAATGCGGACAATGTGAAGCAATTTCCTTTACATTTGAAATGACGTCAAGAACATCAGAGGCAAAGAAAGGGAGAGAGAGAGGAGTAAAAGAGCTATACCTTTCTCATGGTCACCAATCCAATTAAGATGCACTTACGCAATATACAACACACACTATCATAACAGCAAAGAAAATGAAATTAAACATGCGCATCAATGATCTAACCTACATGTACATGCATAATTGCATATGGAGTAGTAATTATAGTAAAATGCAGCAGCTAGTTTACTACAAACTACGAATGAAGTGAAATCAATACTCTTACATTAAATTATAATCGATTCACTATTATTAGCTGTTCTTCTTCTCTTACTTGTGCCATAGCCTTTGCCTTTTCATATCCCTCCATGTCAACTGTTACTTGTCTCTCCTCAGCCATAAGTTGTGTCAGGTCAACGGGGAATCCATAAGTATCATATAATCTCCAGGCAACATCACCTGGAGAGAGGGAGAGAGAGAGGGAGAGAGAGAGGGAGAGAGAGAGGGAGAGAGAGAGGGGGGAAGAGAGAGGGAGGGAGAGAGAGAGAGAGAGAGGGATAAGATAAAACATTAAAGGTGAGGGTTGGCAATAAATGTGACAAAAATAGAATTAAAAAGGTTGTAGCAACAGAAATCCTTCAAAAGCAGAGAACATTATAAAAACAATTTTTAGCATCAGTCCGAGCGATTGCACACAAGCTAGTATGAACAACAAACATTACGTAACAACAACACATTAATATGAAATTAACGATCGATTACTATTGATTAAAAGTTGGAAATATCAATTTAGCTTTTTCAAAGATGGTCATAACTTAAAATGCATTAAATTGAGATCTGCTAATTACCGGGTAAAAGGTTGTTCTCAATCTTGCGAAGTTTCCTCTCAAACATTCTCTTTCCATGAGACAAAGTCTTGAGAAACTGCTTCTCTTCTTCATTAATAGTATCCATTACCTGCAGTAAATTTTTAGAATTACAGCAAGACTCCCTGTAGTAAATTTTTTAAATCAAGACCTCTGTGGTACATTGTACAGAATATTTTCCCAAAAATAGTTCTTTATTTTATTATGTTGTATATAAAGAGTTGAATTAGATTGTTGGCATTAATCATACATGTACATGCATACATGTAAATACCCAGCCATTATTCATTCTTAAATTTATTATTATGAATCACATGGATGTGTCTTAGTGTGCATGTGTATATACTTTAATACCATTTCTGGATCTTTAGTAATCTCAGGAAATGCCTCTCCCTATTATTTTGACAAAAACAAAAACAAAAGTAAAACAATCAAATCAATAAATGCCATCAGTATAGACAAGAATTTGTAGATGCATGACAAACTATTGTTACTAAAGGAATTTGAATACATATAAGAGAGTATGTACACATCCAGTTAAACATTAATCATTACTTATTCCATTAAATCCATAAACGATTTAAACGCCATACAATTAGAGGCTTGATAATAAATTGAACAATGACACTTGTACATTGCAGACTGTAGAGCTTTAATTTAATATGTACACGTGCGCTGGGATCCATTATATGCCCAGGGTATGTCTATACCTGACAATACTTGTGGAAGAATTCATACCATGTAGACACAACAAATGATCAGTTAGGAAACCATAGAGTACAATACATGCACACACAATGGGCACAGTCTACAATCTAGTGGAAGGATTATACAGGATTCCAGCACATAGTAATCATACTGGACCACACATACCTCTCTCAATTATTGTGATTCACACTACCACTGCATTAAGCAGGTGGACATTTAAATGCGCCGATACATGCACATAATAAACAAACAAGCTCAGACATTGGATGCAATTCAGATGGAGGAGGATGGAGTGGCTAGTGTTACCATTCTTAGGATCAAATCTCTGACAAATATTCAAGTAACTGGCTTGGGTTACATTTCTGCACTTAATACTCTCATTGCAAACTCTTAGCTGAATAGACTTGTACCGATTCAGCACATACTACAATTACAATTGATATACTTACAATGTGTATTAAACATAGTGTGTATGTGTGTATTAATGAAGTATATACGCATGCGTGTGCGTCTGTATGAAGTTACTGGCTTACCAATACGTCTAAAACTGTAGGAACAAGTGATGCAAATGTCCCAGGCTTGGCATTCAATTTTTCTGTTATGTACCGCACACCTCTTCGTAATATACGTCGCAACACGTAACTATAATAATAAAGAGAGAGAGGGGGTGTGAAAGAAAGGCTATAGTTCATAATCCAAGATGGTAGCAACTGTTAATAAGAGAAGATGATAAAATGGAGAGGAGGGCATGTATATAATATGATATCAAATGCTGCAAGTATTGATTGCTACCTCCCACCTCAAGTGGGAGAAGAAAACAACATCTGTAGACTGAATATCCTTATCTTTAACATAATAACAAACACATCAACCCAGTGAAAAGATTGTATTTAGAACGTCATCTTCTCTCCCACTCTACCCCCCTTTCATGTTTTAGCAAACACCAATTATTAATCCTCATGCACTCTCTCCTAATGGCAATGATCACACGCACACACGGTATTGCATGCGTGTACATATTGCACGTACAATGCATTCATCACTCTCCCTTTACTTCCTCCTTACAGTCATTATGTGATCATACATGTACATGACAGTGCAAAATGATGTGCCAGTTGCCATAAAAAATGTGCAGATGTAATAGTATTTGTTTAGAGTGTATACACACCAAGTAATAGGACGTAACACTCATAAGACTATCAGTGGACACATTGATATCAAACATTGATAACGATCTTCTTCCTAACGATAATCGCTCAGGGAAGCCTCAAATGGCAAGGACTCGGGTACATCTGGTAGACCAACTAATCATTGCTTCCTATTCTTGTCAGCAATAAGGAAGGCACTTAGTGAATAATCAAAATAAAATTAGACAATTGACACTTTGTGGAGACAACTGATTCAATTGCTGTACATCATGAACATTGAATAACTTTCTTCTTTCTTTGTATTAGGGCAAGGGATATAGTGTGAAATGAATACTTAAAAGCATTTCTAAAATCTAACAGTTGCTGGAGATACCAAATACCCACTTCAAAAATCCACCCAACAGAATCCTTTGCTAAAAACTGTTACATCAAGTATAGGATTACAAGTGGATACACTATCAGAAGCAGCTGTATAGCAACAGGACAGTTGTGCCATACTATAGGAACAACAACTGCTATAGAGGAAACCAAAATACCATGAGGTAAGAGACAAGTGCTGCATATGCTATAATTAATGTATAGCCACATCAGAGTTGACTGGAGAGTCAAAATGACATCATCACCAATTACCACTGCATTAAACCATTAAGTATTGTACTATATAATAAAAAGGCTCTAGTATTGGGAAATATAAAGGAATTACTACACTATTTATATTGTTAGCATGATTAACTCACCCTCTACCAGTTGCGTCTGGTTTGCCTCCATCAGATATCGCTATTGTTAGCGTACGAATGTGATCAGCAACTACTCTGTATGCCATATCAACACCATCAACATCTTCAGCTCCAATCTTTCCAGTATAACTCCTTGAGCCTGTTTTCTATGAAAAAAGATGACCCACCATAAATGCTATGTATTTTATTATGAACAAACGTGTATTGGTGCAAGTATCGTGCACAAAGTCTATACTGTTGTAGCTGTATTACACTATTGACCAATAATGTGGTATAATCATACAAAAAATATATTAAAAGCTCCAGGACTATAACTACGTATATAGTGCATGTGGTGGAGACTGTAATAACTTGTGGCGGAGGATCTACACACGTACACATGCACACAATGAAGTGCAATGTGCACACTACGCATTAGAAACCTTCCAACCAGACCACAAGTAAATGGAATACTATACATACATGTATATGCACACATGAATATATAGATACACATGTAGATGTACTTGCACGCATGTATATATTAAAAATACATATTTTAAGATTGTTAATGTCAATTGGGGAATATAATTATTATGGAGCAATATGGGACATATCAGTGTATACACATGTACATGTACACGCATGTATGACTGGTTTGTTTTCACTGTTAAGAGATATTAGCAAAGAGAGGGAGTACAGTGTAGAGGTGAGAAGGTTATATAACTGAAAGTACATCCTTTTAACAATATGCAAGATCTATACAGTGACAGAGTCGTTCCTGTTGAGTCATTCATAAACATGTACTTTCTATAATAAATGACGCTGCGCCTTAATTGCAATTCAAATGAAGCCACCATGTCACATCAATTTATCACGTAGCCCTGCTTGTATGTTTATACATATGCTAAGTTACTAGCATTTATGGGACTTTGAAAGGAAGTATACACAAGATTAACATTAAATCAGAAATACACGTCAGGTTAGCATTAAACCATAACTTAAATACTTGCTTATATATATACACACACTGCAGACCAATACTCTACTGCCACAGAAACTATACTGTACGTACTAAAACAAGGACTAATCTTTCAAATACCAATTAGCGCAAAGGCATTATACGTATTTATATCATATTTACATTCAAAAAATTCCACAGGAACAAAGGTATTGTATCACATAATAAAAACTATGCCCTCGTCTGAGTGTACGTGACCTGCTCTCTTAGCGACAGCTGCCAGGTAATTTGGGCGGAACAATCACTATTTCTGATTCTGTTTAAAAACAATCATCGCTTACTGACCAATTCTAGAGGCCAGTATGTGTATAACTGCCAATACACACATAAACACATTATTATAACAAGTACTTAGCATCATAATTGATTGTGGAGATAGTAAACATGATAATTGTATAATGGGGTATCACTACTATGATAGTAGAAGCAGCCATCTGGATCCTGGAATACTACATTGCAATGATAATGATGCAGCACTAACAATCCAAGCCGTCAAACAGGCGACACTCTTTGTGATATACTGTAGCCATTCACCTGTACTAGTGGTGGCATTATAGCATGCATTAGAAAACCCATGCAGTTAAGATACATGTACTTAAGTAGTTAGTTAAGCAAAAAAGATTATTTATTATTATTATAAGGACAAGGTTGGAGACTGCATAGTAACATATAAAGCTATACAAGTAGGATACTTGTTATAGAGAAGAGACTTCCCTTCACAAAATGTGTCATAAACCAGACAAAGCAAACAGAGATTAGAGCAAGGAAGAATAAATCAAGTAATTTAATAATTACATGAAACTTCCCGATTGTAATCAAAACACAAGCATACATCACCGGTAATCATGGAAACCATCATGAATTTGAGAGGGAGAGGGAGAGGGAGAGAGAGGGGGCACAATCTTCTAATAGAAAATAGAAGAAAAGGAAGAATATACATGTACATGTACATGAAAGAAACTGTAGAAATCAAGAGAGAGAGAGACAGAGTGACAGATCAAACTTGCCCACAAAAGCCCAAAGAGGCTTCATTAAACCCACGAATGATAACTTTATTAACTTAGGATATCACAGCCTCACAAAATCATTCAGTAACCACGGAGATGCTAGAGGCTGACATGGCAACTAATGTCCTGCAGAGAGTGCACCCAATATAGTAAGTACATACACTAAATGCATGGGAGTAGTGCCCACACAAAACCCACAGACCTACATATCATGTTACAATACGGGCACATGATAATGACTTCACGTGAAGAGACTCTCACACACATACACATCAGGTGCATATACATGTACTACTAAGGCTACAAAATGTGGTATACAATAATGCAGATCTATATAAGTAATGGCATAATGACATTATCATTATTATAGGCTGTAGCCTTCGGTATAGAGAGACACCTTGCTGCCATGCATATTAGATTAGGGGCCATAATACATTAGGGGGAGACGGAAATAATCCCTTTTACTCATGCATTCACTCTATTACTAAATCTGCAGTATAATCTCATTATCATTGCACACTAAATACATTCATAAGCATTAATTATGGGCACTTTCAATGCTGATGAAGCAACTAGATTGTTCCCAATATCATATTCTACTGTAATACAATTAGTTTTGCACAATATTCTCTTGAGTAGCAAGTAAGGCATTCCCCTAACTCACTTTCCATCCTAATTACTATCGTCATCATTGTTATTATTAGCGTATTGGAACCTTTAGATACTTTGAATACGTATAACATATACTCCATTAGGTACGTTATCTTGAAATCATTATAATGCATTTATGCGTAGTTAATAGCGAAGTGATAAAATCTGACCAGCAAATGCTTCTTTTATTGATTTGTAATTGCTTCACAACACATCTCCATTAAAACTTCCCAGAGTTTAAATAAACTTGTAAATGCACGCCTCAACCACATATGATCATACTTGGAAGAGCATGATTCCTAATAGCTCTAAACCGCATGCTCCATGAGCTGACAATTAAGTACGACAATAATAGTCACTATTATATACGCATGTATATGGCTTTTGGAGTAACTTTTAAAAATTTGTAAAAAATCCAGTTTTGATTAGAATCTGCTCAAACTTGCTACACAACATGACAATATGTATATGTATTAGAAAAAATTATAAAAATGAAAAATTCTCTCTTTTTTTATTTTTGACGAAATTTAACCAAAGACCCTGTACTATAGTACAGGGATTTTGGTTAAATTCTTGAGCAATATTTAAAGTTAGAAATTAGCTAAAAAATTTTGCACGATAATATGTATCAAAAAATATAAAAATAGAACATTCTCCTAGCTGTACTATGATGTTTTGTGTACTGGGCAACATGCCAATTCCTGTGGGAAACGCTGAGCAAAAGGAGAGTTATTCAAATACACGGTATGCACATTGTACATGTATATTGATATAACAAAATAATTTGTTATATCAATTGTATCCTTAGAATTCATTGTTGAATTCTTTGCAAATATTCTTCGTGGGACACAATTATGGTATTGTGCCCACAAACGCTAACATTTCAAACGTTTGTTTGCAGGGGTGTGGTTTTGTATGCATTCATTAATTAGACACGCCTACAAAATGGAGGAATTGGCTACGCTCTATGAAAAACAAAAGCCTCACAAAATTAAAAACCGTTCACGAAGCTACACGTGACTATAAAAGGAGATATTTGGAAGATACAAGTATTATACATACATGTACATGTAGCTACAGCGTATACTAAAATAAGAACTTGTAACATTATAGTTATTAGATAATAGAATAATTGAATTTGAGACAGAAGATATATCATGCAGTAGTGATATAGGGGCTAATCTAAAAATAGCAACGTATTATTGATTACAGGTGCTGTATGTATACTCACTGCTTCTATGGCATCAAAGATAGGAAGGAAGAGGTCAGTGTCATAGTTGGAGAACTTTCCCTGGACTACTGAGACTATCCTTTCAAGGCCCAGACCAGTATCAACATTGTTTTTTGGTAGTGGCTTAATGCTCCCATCAGACTCTCTGCAAATAGAAAAAAAAATAACACTCATAATGGACACCAGCAACAAAAAATCATAATAACAGCACCAAAAATAATTAAAGCAATTTATCGTCATATAATATTATTTAAACGATACGCGCATCTATTATAAAATAATCATTAGTGCCTCGAAATTTAGAGTACTACCAAACAACACGAAGGCACGATTGCAATCCTTTGCAGTATTAAATCATAAGTTGATTAGCCACTTATAACCATGCAACCACTATGCTATGCATCAACAACAGCAGTCCATAGTGTTATTTGCAATCAGGAATAACGATGAGAATTAAACACACACGAGCAGCAATGGTGTTTACAATAACACACAGAGAGCGAATATTTGCATGTACTGTGCATGCATGAATGTACACACATAAAAGAGTACGTATTTATATATATGCAGCTGGTAAGGGTATCCATGAGCGTTCACCCTGGAGTGAAAACACGTGTGAAGGGTAATGTCACATTACAAGACATTAAACATCTGTCACAAGTATTGCAACACTTTAAGATATGCAAAAATCACTTACTATGAAAAATCATAATTATGCATACTAGCTCTTATAAAAAAATTGAGTTTGAAATTAATGCTACACATACATGTACTTGTGTGTATAAGTATCCAAATGATCTATGCAACAATGCGTGTTATAGGGAAAGCTTACTCTCTCTTCCCTTCTCATTACCAAGGTAAAAACCAATTAGCAAAGAATCAAATCATAACAGATTAAGTAGTTAGTGGCAGGGCTATACAGTCTGACATCATGCACAGTTGCACACTCTGTTCCTATTTGGTGGGCTTCAGTATAGACTACTCATCCAAACATGAACTATATTCGAGAGTATAAGGTAAGTATGGTAATTCTATGGTGAGGAATGAAGGGAGAAAGAGGATGCCAGTAGAGATGAGTAATGACATAAATCATTTATAAGTAATTCATTAAGTAAGAGAGAGAGAGAGAGAGAGAGAGAGACAGAGAGACAGAGACAGAGAGAGAGAGACAGAGAGACAGAGAGAGACAGAGAGAGACAGAGAGACAGAGAGAGAGAGAGAGAGAGAGAGAGAGAGAGAGACAGAGAGACAGAGAGAGAGAGACAGAGAGAGAGAGAGACAGAGAGAGACAGAGAGACAGAGAGAGAGAGAAGACAGTGCAATATACAGGAGGGACTAGCAGCAATTGAAAAGTACCTCAACAGTAATACATTGAAAAAGTACCACTAAATACATGCAAGGGTACATAATATTATGTACCCTTGATACATGCATGAAAAAGTAACTCTATATTAATATATTAGTAGTCTCTGCTCTAAACAATAGACCTACAGACAATCTTCACATACCTACACACTTGATAGTATATTATCTGCCATTACATGAAAAAGAGTGCTAGGATAACTTTTCAAGGCAAGAGATACCCATATTGGATTCCATGTTGACATATTGTGCTACACATGCTTGCAGACAAGCAAAGAATGGAGAATGCTGGATAAAGTCTAAAAAGCAGCTCAAGCAATATAGAAAATGCAATAATATAATTATGACCATCATGCGTGCAGATATTACAAGCCTATAAAAGCCCCCTTCAATGTAAAAGGAATCACATTCCAATGGGATGGCAGTGCAGCTCTCTCTTCTAAAGACAAAGCAGTGCAATAGGAGGCCAGGAAACGATTATCAGTGATAGACACACATCAACACTGGTAATGACCTTCATTACTCTCTATATGCCAATAACTATGCATAAATAGAATACCCTCCAATGCCGGGCAGCGGCTGTTTTCAAGCTACAGCTGCTAGGGCGTGTACACCTTATAAATGATGAGGAATTTTGTTTCATATTTTGACTATGTTTTTACATCCCTTTGCATCTTCCAGTCGACACTCGTAACTGAATAAAGATAACATCGCCTCAGGACACACAGCACAAGGAGAAGAATAGGATTACACATGTCATGAATATAGTCAAAACAAGAAACAGTCTCTAATTAAATAACCAGACTCATTATGACATAGAAATGTTGACAAGACTCCATAAACGATTGTAGAGATACCATATGTTAAAGATGTACAGATTTACAGTCAAATAAGCTTCAATTACTCATCGCCGATCATTGGTGGAGGACTTACCAAGTAACGTGATATGAAAATATTGACTAATGGCATGCAATGTAGTCATACAGAGGAAGGAGGATGCTACTGCTAGGTGAATCACACAGAATATGGAGAGATTAAGAATTTGCGTCTATGTGTACACACTTGACTGAAGTAATGATATAATGGTTTGTGTAGCAAAAGCAGATTAGCTCATTATAGGCTATAGTAAATCATGAGAGGAATACATACATGTATGTATAGTATACATGTACATGTGTCATGAAGAGCATCTCCTTTAGCCTCTTTCATACTTATTGCTACATGCAAAGTCTGTGTGACTTAAATGAGATATGACATGCTATATGTATAACAACAATAATATTATATCAGTGATATGAAATATTTCGCAGTATTACTAATCCTCTAGCAGGCCAGAGACTATTGTGGTTTCTGTTAGAATAAGAATTACCGGGAGGAGCTGGGGAAAATTTGTCAACTAATAATGCTCATGCCCCCTTGATTACCGCAATCCTCTAAAATTAAGCAACCCGCACACACACACATCATGTATTGTCTGATTACTTGAGGCACAATAAACAGAAGAGGAGTGAAATGAAGTGAAGAATAATAAACTGTAACAAAATACAGAGAGTGCGTGGATAAACTATGCATTAGCTCACTGCCTCTAGTAAAACACAGCAAACAAGGAGAGAGAAAAACAAGAGCCACTTTATCAGGAAGTAGTCTGCCCTTCGTGCATATATGGCATTCAAAAACATGCTTTTATTTTCATAAAACAAACAGGAGGAGTTTAAACAAAAGTATGCTCTTTACCATGACAATGAGACTCTGATCTCAATGATAATGATTCAATAGTACAAACAAATGAATGACAGAATCACTACTTATTGTTACATGCACATACTTATCATGATGTATTCACTGTTGTTCTTCCTCAAATACATTCCACACAATAAAGATAACAAAGAGAGAGAGAGGGAGCATTATTTTTGTATAATAGTGCGAATATAATTTAGATATTTCTACTACATTCGCTTCAGGCTACCTGGCAATTAGACTACATCGCAGTCATTGTTCACACACCCACGATCATTATTCCCATGGCTACAGTACAGCTATAATAAATATGACCGCATTAGTTGGCAATGAAGAGGAGGAAGAGAGCGTAGTTTGGATGACTGTCCCATTCCCCCACATTACCAAATAATTTGATGTAATCAGATACATGGCTCCGTAGCATTATAAGATAATGCAAGGATTCCAACAATAATCATAAACCATACAAACATCTATAAAAATAATTTGTATCTATAATAATTAACATATACAGATGTTGTTTTGTGCATATTGATGGTAGAGGGGGGGGCACTCACTTGTTGAACTGCATGAACACAACATTCCAGAGTTCAAGCACGTTAGGGTCGTCCATGTTCACGCGATCAGCGACAAACCTTCCTCCGATACGATCATAGTGTATCTCAGAGCAAGGGCCACACGGCCCCACCTCTCCCATTTCCCAGAAATTGTCTTTGACGGAGAATGGGAGGACCCGCTCCGGTGGCAATCTAAAAAAATTAAAATGGAGTTTTATTTTTAGCAAAATTGACAATATACATGCATATTGTATCAAAATTGGATTTTTGACAAATTTTTAAAGTTGCTTAAAAAATTGGGCCAAAGTCCCTGTCCCGGGTCGATTTTGCCAAAGATGAAAAGAAGGGAATTCTCCATTTTTATATTTTTCCTGATGCATGTACATGTACTTATGTTGCATAGAAACTTTGAACAGATTTCAATCAAAAATGGATTTTTTAAATAAATTTTTAAAGTTGCCATACTAATAGTGTTGCAAGCTCATAAAGCATGCTTCTAAGCTCACTTAGAATGCTTTGTGGGGAAACCCTGTACCATTGAGGTATTAACACTTCTTTTTGAAATTGATGGATAAAGCATATCACCTTAATGTAGCAAGCTGTACACAACAACGCAATTTCATTAGAAGAGGAAAATAACAAGCGATAATTAATATAATAATTGATAAACATGTACATGTACGAACACTAATGCAAAATAAATAGCTGAGATTCACATGTAATCTAATAGTAATCAGTTTTACTGGCTGCATACATACATAACATACACACATAAGCAAAAGAATTCACACAATGAATTCACACAATGTACATACATGTACACACAACTTACACAATACATGTACATACAATCATGTCACATTACATTAGGCTTAAGGAGTGAAACAAAGACATCAAGAGCTTAAGGCACTAATTGAGTTTAGGTGTAACTGCTTTGTATATACACACACACATAACTAATAGGCTAGTATTACTACTACCACTGACTATTAAGAGTAGCTTAATTGATATAATGTATACTGTGTATAGCATAGAAATGAAAGCATGTTTGGAGCGTGTGCAGCATGCCCACTATGCAGCATACACAGGCAGGAATGATCTAAGTTGTTTATGCAGAACTAAATTATGTGCAAACACGAAGCATTCCAGAACACATAAACATACAAGCATAGATACATCAGGCAGTAGCCTCAAGCTTGAGGACTGATTGGTCTTGTGTGAATGAGTTAGGGAGAAGCCATGTGTTAATGGGGCTCTGACTGTCAATACTAGATTAACGCTATGGAGTAATTAAATATTTAGCAATTGACACCCAAAGTAATAAATTAATATCAAAATCACTTCTTGTAGGCTCTTTAATAGCTACTATAAGGCAGGGCTTGTTCAGGGTGTCCTACAAATGGCCAGGAGCAAGAAAACCTTGCAGTTGCCACTAAAACTCAATCCCAGAGCTAGCAAAAAACAAACAAAATAATCCAATTACAAACAAACTCAATTATAAAGTGAACCCTCTGCGTCATGCGCTTAGCCTGTGACCAACACAAAGAAATAGGTACATAGAGCCAGTGCCCATGGTTCTATTATAAAGGAGACAGTCTGCCCTCTCAAGTGGGAACATCAAAAAGACTTAGTTTGTTGGTTCCCGTCCTTTATGAGGCAGTAGTACAAAAGGGCCACTGGCATGTAGCTACCATAGAGATGCTGTTTACCTCAGTACTTTGAAACTAATTACAGCTGCAAACCAAATGTAAAACAGTATATGCATAATACAGTGCTATGTACTAACATGCTATTTTAAAATATTGGACCTTAATTAAATATCAGTCGTACAAGCAGGTGGAGAGTCCACGGGTACACTTAGTACTTACATACGCTAGAATGGACAAAATAAGCCAAGCAATCAAAAACTCGTTACACACCACTAGAAATAACAAATACTAATAATAATAAACATCAAGACATCTTTATACCGTACATGGCCATTACATTACCAATAGGAAACAATTACACTATACACAGCATGTACATGTACATATAAATATACATGTATATGTACATGCAATATGGACATACAGTATTATCAATACTGATATTGCATGTAGAGTAATGCATTACACGTAAGCATTATAATCTTATATGTACTACATATAAAGGGCATTATTGTGTACATTACATAGACTAAGTATTATATTATACAACAATTAAATATGCATGGACTACCACACAGACCAGATGGCACTTCGTAAATTAAATTCTATAAAAGAAGCTATAATAATTGGTTAGCCATTGAGGGATACATGAGAGGATTCACCATCAAGTCATGTGTTCAGTGGAACACAAAGGAACTCCAGAGATGAAGGAGTTGGAGAAAGAGAAAGGGAAAAGTATTATTAAGGAATGAAGAAGAATGTGAGGTTGTATAGAGAGGGAAATGAGATGAACAAAAAAGAGGAACTATATGGTATTATGACATAGTGTACACAAACTACACGTAGAAAATGACATCTACCATCATACAATAAAAACACAAATGCAGCCGTATAGAGTATAGGCTGACGTGAATTAGTATGGAACCAATGACACAGTACTATAAGCTGATTTAGACAGGAAAAAGAGCAAAGTCATCATCCCAGACAAACACACAAACAAAGTGACTTACACAGACACAATCCACTGGGAAACATAAGGAGGAAGAGATAGATAGTGAATGAATCAACACTTTGGAATCATTTCAACTCAAGTATAGTGTTAACATAAATCAAATTAAGGTATGACAACAAAACCCTCCAGGAGAGCCACGAGATGGGAGGGGGAAGATTAACCTCCTTGTGATGTAAGTATATCACATTAAGGGACAAAGAACAAGGACATGTGTCAGGAAAAGAAAACACTGATTAGCTTATGAAGGAACAACAAGAATCCTCAATACAGAGGGAAAACCTTCCCTTCAAAAGATATAATCACATACACAATGTACATGCAAGAATAAACCGAAAAGCATTTATACATGTACGTGCATGCTGATGCTCACCCCGTGTTAAGCCATATCTCTTTGCATTCGTCATCTGCCGGAAGCTTTAGCTTTTCGTCTCCACCAAAGTATGTCACGTAGAGCCTGTCTTTAGGTAACTTCAAAGACTCCGTGAGGAAAGACCAAGCCATCTTTATAGCTTCTTCCTAAAAGAGAATTTGAGGGAGAGGGAAAGAGGCATGAAATAAATTTTGATATAAAATAAATTAGAATTTTGACAGTGCATGACACTAAAATCAGGCATGCACGTACTGGAATATTTCAAAATGAAAAACAGACACACAGAGACACAATGGATTAAAGATGTAGGAGCATTAGGGTGACGAGATCATGTAACTCACAAAAACAAACAGAGTCTAGCGAAGCACTTCAATCAATGGATCCCACACAAAGAGGAATTGAATAATAATAATAATGATAATAATAAAGAAATTTAAAAACAAAATATCGCGTGAATTCACAAAGATTTGCAGTTTTGCATACACAAGTGAACATATTTGCTACAATCACACACACACACACACACACACACACACACACACACACACACACACACACACACACACACACACACACACACACACACACACACACACACACACACACACACACACACACACACACACACTTGAATTATAAAGGTACCAGTATACTATAGACATGTGAATGCTGGAATTGTAGATTAATGTACATACATGCATATAAAGCCTGCCATTAAGAAACTGAATGTAAATCTACACATAGAGCATAGGGTATAATACTGGAACCATAGCTGTGTGAGAGAAAAGCTATCTCTAGGCTAGAAGTATGTCTCCTTGTTTACAGCTACAGTTACCAATCAAGCCATCATGCTCAGGTGCTTAGCAACAGTAATGCAATTAGTGAAAGAAATGAAACAAACATATGACTATATTTGTAGAAAAAACTTAATACTCGCATCACATTAACAGCATAACATTATCATGAGGAGGCATATACATGCAGTAATATGTAATATAGCCTTAAAACAAGTGCCAGCTTAATAGGCACAAATACAGTATACTTAAGGCATGCAAATGCAGTAAAATATGATACGGCGTATGTGGGCATATAGGAAGGAAGGCAGAGCTCCTACAGATAGTGTTGTCTGTATCAAGTGATACTTCGAATAACTAATGGAGGAGGAGAGTTTGGTAATATTGCTCTAAAAGGAGGTCTCCTCCACTTAATATCAAATATTAAATTACAAACAATAAACTCTCGGATTGCAAGTGAAACACCAATTAAAACAACTACTGATGGGCTAACGAAACATTGCCTCAGGCCAGAGCCAAGGGGAGGAGTCTATGTAAACACAGACTGTGTTATGCTGTGTTATGCGATGGGCATAATACGATACTACAATAACAATGATTAAATAATAATACTAATAAGAGCCAGGCTGAATAATGCAGTGAAGCAGAAATGGCAAGACTTAGCATTGAGGGAAAGAAAGAGAGAGAGAGAAAACTAAAAAAATAAAAAATAAAAGACACTCAATACATCCTTGACAACACCAAGAGTACTCTTGGTCTATGGGCTACAGTAACTGCCATAGCAACCAATGACCTATCTCTAATAGTGCTAATTGCATGTGTGGTTTCACATTTCCTAGTATATGTAAGTGGAGATCTTCATGTACTAAATATATTCATAAAGACACTGGGTACCAGCTGGTGGTGAGTAAAGCAACCTATCACATTTAAAGTGTGTGGTGAGTAGGAGTGTATTCCTCGCTGATATGGAGAAATAAGCAATCCTAGTGGATTATGTAAGAGACTGTAATAGACTCCAATCGCTAGAATGAAATTAGTAAATTAGACCGTATGAGGACTTATAATTCCCACAGTACTACGTATACTGTAGACATGGATACACCTTAATGATACAAATAAAGTATCGCTCAAAAATCATTATTTATCAAAACACTATATTATGTAACAAGTGATCATCATGCGAATGCTTAGGATAGATACCATTTTGTGCAATTAAAATACCTAGCATAGTATGTTACAGTGGCAATAAACATGTATAGACATACACAATGAGAGAGAGAGAGGAGGTGGGGAGAGGAGAGGAGAGGGGGGAGGAGAGAGAGAGAGAGAGAGAGAGAGAGAGAGAGAGAGAGAGAGAGAGGGGGGTAAGGGTTAGATTAGAAAGATCTTTAAAGATGCAATAGTAAAATTCAATTACTCTGCAAAATTTCGTTTTTTGCAAAATCAAAGCATCAGAAAAACCCACTCACTTTGAAGTAGTCTCCAAAAGACCAGTTCCCCATCATTTCAAAGAAGGTATGGTGGTAGGTATCCTTTCCAACGTCATCAAGATCATTGTGCTTGCCACCTGCACGTATACACTTCTGGGAATTGGCAGCTCGGGACAAAGTAGCAAAGTCCGAAGAAGGATCAACGGTTCCTTGGAAAATGGGCTTGAACTTGAGGGAGGAGGAGGGAATGAGAATAATGATTACAATGATGACAGGTGGCGACAAAATAGAATGAAAATAATTGTAATTATAAGCCATTATACAAACTCTATAAAAATGCCATGCATTAATTTGGAGTAAAGCCACACAAAGCTCCCTCACTCGATCACATTTTATTCACTTGGTGATCATTTAATGGCTAAAAAACTTGCTAATTCCTGGTACACACATTAATACTTTGAGCAACGTCCATGTACTACATTTTTCATATAAAGGGACAAGCAACAGTTTTGCATTATCGTTATTCAATGCTGTTTTACAGACAGTTATTAAATCCATTATGATATAACATTAACTTTATAATTTATAAAGTTATAGTGTCATAGAACACTTTATAGTGTTCTTTATACAAGAAAAGTATGCTAACTATATACTTACCTGGTTCATGCCAGCATTTGTGAATAGTAGTGTTGGGTCATCAACTGGTATGGTAGACGATGAGGGAACAAATGTATGGTCCTTTGATCGGAAAAAGTCGATGAACATTCTACGAATATCTTTAGCCGTTAAAGTGGAATCCATTCTTGAGTGTATGTTTTAAACCGTGGAAACCCTAAAAAATGAAATAACGAGAGGAGGAATGCTGCAGCTGCCACATACAATAAATTAAAAATTAGCAGCAACATTTCGACGAAATGAGTCCAATACAATATAGATAGTACACATATTAATATACATAGATCATTTAAAAGACAAAATGGCAACAAAAGAGGTAGAATAAAATCATAAATAGATTCATTACAAAACATTGTAGTAAAGAAAAGCTATCATTATCATTTAACTCAATTACATTCAAAATATGAGTTGCATGTTGCCTGCAATATGCATACCTTGATATTTTCATTACCTTACAAATTGTGTACAATTTGTGTGAAATTGCAAATTCATTCCTCCAATTTTAATGCAATTAACAGCTTTGGCACAGCTGTTTATAGGGTAGATAATAATGTCACACAATTTGGGGTCATTAACAATTGTCCCGGATTGAATATTTATCATAATAATAATAAAAGACAAACATTGAGGACAAAATAATAATAATTATAATTAATGGTCTGGGACTATCAGTAACACATACCTCCTTCCACCATGATATATGCTCATGGAAAGTACATGTACATGTACTTAAACAAAATAAATAATAATGCTTGACCTGGCTTGATACTAAACATTAGTTATCATTATCCTAATGCATGCACTGCACAGCATGATCTCAAAATGTCCCACATGAACATACACAGAGAGTTCCTAAAAGTTCGTGTTCCAATATATTAGAACAAATGGGAAACCACACAGTCAAAAAATTATGGACAAATTACAATCATTAGTTTTATTAATTAGGTACAAATAATAATTATTAAAAAAAATTCCTTAAATTTGACGTCTAAAGGTTGCAGACTACACAAGCAATTAGTCCCTTCACAATAACCAGACTATATATAATCATGAACAATGAGACAACACTTTAAAGAGAACAATGGCTGCTACTAAGAGTCCTTCTTACTATGTTCCCACTAACTAACAGGACAAAGACTTATCACGTACGTGTGTACAATGACACAGACGCAGAACTATGATGCAATATATCGAGATATCGTGTTACTAAGAGAGAGAGAAGGGAGAAGAATTGGGGAAAGCCGATACAAGATACTAAAATGGTTTAGGGTTTCTCTCTGGGGAGCAAATAATTAAACAGGAAAACCTGTACAGCTTTGACTCACTTTCTTTAAAGTCCTAAATGAACAACAGGAACCCAGTAGAGGTTGCTAACTCAATGGTGGAAACATGTGAATGACATGTCGACACGCCCAAGTAAGCATTCCAGGCGTGGCAATGACTATAAAATGATCTTGCTGGCCATGAAGTTTCAAAAACTAAAGAGAGCAAGAGACAAGGGTGCTTAAACTTTACTGAAAACTAAAGGGTAAGTTTTTGCCCCTGCATTCATCCACCAGAATAATATTATTCAGGTGGTTTTCTCGCAGTACAGTTAGCTCTGTGCATGCGATGAGCCGGCGTCCTAGCAGCCTGGCTGGGCGCTTCATTTGTGACGCTATTGACATGTCTCTTTGATCATCATGTATAGGTATTGGTATAATGGCAACAATAAACTTCATCCTGGCTTTGGTCGTGGTCTTATGCATCATATTAATACTTGCAACTGCAGCCCCAGTTAGTAGTAATACTAACCAGACAAATACAACCACTACAGCTCTGAGACCCAACAGTACCAACACTACCAGCAGCAACAAGTACATAAGCCTCATTTTAAACCTCTACATCATTTATAACATGCATCTCTTTTGTATAGTTCTTGTAATTGTGAAGAGCCAAAAGGAGATCCAATCTGTGGCAGTAATGGCATAACCTTCCCCAGTGCAAGTGAACTGTGTTTATACAACTGTCGTCAAAATAAAAGTCTTACGATTAAATATGCTGGACGATGTCGAAGTGAGTCTTGTTACACCTTTTAAAGTAACACAATTTCATTACTTGATAGTAGTGCTAATTGCATACCTTAACATATTACATACAGTTATTAATTACACAACTCTCTCTCTTTCTTATCCATGCAGACTGTACTGAGTATTCACTCAATTTGAGTGTAAGGGGAACCAGCTCACAGGAAAGAAGGGACATGTTATTCAAATGTTTGGCAAAGACATACACACCTAGTGACCTTATATCCCCTCCTTACAAACCTGAGTGCTTCAGTGGGAATGACAACCATATCTTTAAGCCAAAACAGGAGAACCGCCTTTGTCATTTGCACTGGTGTGCATCGCCTGATGGAACTCCAATTACAGGAACAGTTAAATTTGACTATCAGCCTTTACAGTGTGGTAAGTCAATCATACTATATCCTATAGCAATCAGTCAAATTTTATTATTTTAATAGATGGCATTTGTACAGTTGGTAATGTAACATACAACAATGGAGACAAGCTTATGAGCTCGTGTGGAATATGGTAAGCCAATAATAGTACATTTGGGAAAAAATTAATGTCATTCTTTTTTTCAATAGTCAATGCACAGAAGGAACAATGTTATGCTATGAAGAATACTGCGAGATTGAAGGTATAAAACTGGCATGTTGCCACTTGTCACTTTTAATATACGCCTGCTTTATTTGTAGAAGATGACATTTATCTCCTCAACAGTTTAAAGATGGACATTTTAAAGTTCTTCATTATGCAATACCAACTCTCTGATGTAAGAGCTGAGGTTGGCTTGCATTACATCAGAATCCATACAATAGGTGAGCACATGGCACCATGCCTGCTAAAGCATTTTAACAATTAGAGGAATCTTAACATTCATTTACTTGCTTTCTATTAATTCCCATCTTTAGACATTCAAGATAGTGAAACCCCAGCTTTAACTAGCTGGAAATTCCAACACTACGACATGGACAATGATGAATCGCTAAGCCAATCTGACCTTCAGCACTTCTATGATGAAGTCTATAGACTTATAGGAACAAATTCATTCAAGAGTCACTTTGATCGCCTATTAGACGCAGATAACAATGGAGCTGTATCGAAGCAGGAGTTCAGGGATTTATTTATACTAGAAGAAGGTAAAGGAGTGCATAGTTATCAATGGCACTGTCATTATTGTATTTCTCTTTTCATTGCAGCTAGTGGATCTTTCTCGTCTTCTAGTGGCAGAAGAAGCGTGAACTAAAAAAATTAATCAATTATACGTACATCAGATGAGATGTCCACTACGAATCACTTTTTGGCACTCCCTGTTTTTTATATAATAACTATTTATTTATATCATACATTAAAATATTGTATTTTATTATTATTATTATTATCATTGATTATTACTATTATTAATAATTCCGACTGTACAATCTACAATGTCAATCAAAACTAAAGTGCTGCTCAATCATTATAGCATGCATGATGCCTTGCTGCATTTCTACAGTTTCGAGGCTTCTCTTAAACTGCTACAAAATTCACTCACTACAAGCACAACAAAGCTTGATGCATTATGTAATGGATGGAAACACACAAAAAAACAAATATTTAATTCAGAATGCAATTATTTTAGTGATCTCATCCTATTAGTTTATTCATTATCCAATTATAAAATACAACACGTGGTCTAGACTATAGGTGTGGCCAAGAAAAGAAACTAGCCATGGGTCGTAGCAGATCCCCAAATAGAAAAGGTACAGAGGTAGTGACTATGGTGAGGCTGTGAACACTGAAACTGGTTGTTTTATGTGAAGAATGACACAATAGGCTCGACTATTTACTACAGAAACCCAATTAGCTTTATCTTTTCCGTCTCTGTTGTTTATGTATATATATATACATAGGCTCAGAAAGAAGTTCAAGACGAGCGTCTCCATCCCGTGACAGAAAGAGTAGAAGAGATAGGGATAGAGGTGAGAGGACTAATCGATAATATGGGTATAGATTATTGGATGACTCAGCATTAATTTTATGCCTATGTAAATATACTAATAAAAATGTCCACCATTATACGTGTATTGTTAACATTGTGTTCTAAATGTGGGAGGATGCTATGAAGTGACATTAGGATCTTTTGAATGAGAGAGTTTTCACGTGTGGAGTACATCAGATCCCATCATTGTGGCCATTATGAGGTTTCCCTAGATAGCATGACGACTAGATCCCTTGTAGATATTTATTTTTGACGATTAAAAATATATTTATTATTCTTAATTTTTAATCTTACAAGTTCACGCCTATTGTTATGTTGCGTGGGTGAGTATTTTATCCAGACAGATTCTGACCATAATTTAATTCATTACTGCATGGCTAATTTTGTGTTTACCGTCATATCGTGATTAAATGCAATTTGAAAAATTGTTATTATACTCCGACAGGCCTTGTGGGTTTTTATACTCCAGTCTCCTCGTAGAAGGTACCATTAATGAGATTATGGGGTCACATGTGTGTATATATTGCATGTTAAGCTTATTCAATAATTTGTAACAAATACATTTTTAGCACTATTCGATATAATAATTTTAATAACAAGTGGAAGAACAGCAGTGAATATTTACTTATTTTTAACATTATTTATTTATTTATTTATTTCTGTAACTATTATTACCTTGTTTATGTTTTTATTGATGCATCCTCCCCAGCCCTATAGTCAGGATAATTGGAACATGGTGACATAATGCATTTAACTCATTCATTAGGATCACAATTCAATAACGTAATAGAGTTATCCGTGAACCTTTTTTGGATGAGTAGCCATGTTGCCAGCAAACACTTTTCCCATACTGTATTAGCACAGTTTGAAGGACAGTGCCAAACTGCCAATTACTATTAGTTAGTCTATAATTAGATGGTAAAGTTTTTGACTAATATTCATCGCCTTCTCTGTGTATGCTAATATCCTGATTGATTTGTTTTCGTCTTGGAATGCACCCCTAGTCACATGTAATTGCTTGTTTATCCCTAATTATCAATAGTTTTGCTTGTTGTATGATTGTACTTGTAGGATGTTTTAGGAATACCCTTACCCTTTATTGCTGGTGACATATACTTACATGTACATGTCAGGTTTTTGTGTACATGTGTTTGTATGCAAGTATTATGCTCATATTGGTAGCTCATATTCAGTTTGGAAATCCTGTGTTGTATATCTTGCATATTTTGCTTAAACAAGTGTTGCATTATTTGTTGTTGCGTCCCAACAAACAAAAGCCAATCTAAATTCAGGAAATGGCCCACCACCTATTTCTAACATACCTTTCACTCTCGTAATAATTTTTGACCATAAATGTGTCCTTAGGAAGAGTAGCCTATGTCTTCTGTTTGGTTAAAAAGCTTCATCAATTTGCTACATGGCTTTCCCCCCATTAGTTTGTATTACTGTAATCTAATAACTTCAGTTTAGTAGCTCCTGATGTGCTGTATAATAAATTGCATGTGACAGAGTTTAAGTCCAGACCCACAACCTGGCTTTAATTAAATTTTGTTGAATGGATTTAAACAATTTGTCACATTTAGCAGCTGTCAAGTGACTAGACTCCTACATTAGAGGCTGAGATCACCTGACATTATTTACTCTCTTGCTGTAATTAAGATTTCCCCTCAAACAGAATGTTGAAACGGGATTGTTTTGAGCTGTGAATAATCTACATACAGTGTCTATGCACATAATTATTGTAATGGACCTTGCATGTGCATGTACGTGTATGTATGTGTATACTCAATGAGATTGTTATAACTCTTGTGTATGATTTTAATGACTAATCAAACTACATTATGGTTGATATATTTGATTACAAAGTTCAACCAGACTAAGATTGACCTCTCATTGCCGTAACCTATTAAGGAGATTTCACAGGTTCGTTAAAGTACAAACACAATGCGAAATGTGATATCTTTAATCTTTATCACCATGAGACGCGAACATGTACTCACTTGCCTTGATTCAAGGTGTGTTAGTTATAATGATCCTATATTTGGCATCATTAGTCAATTGTGGCTGGTAAGTCCATGAAAGCTAGGCTTCTTACAATAAACAGTGGGCCCCTCTCTCTCTTTAATAGAAGGCCCAATCTGGAAATGAATTTTTTGATTGATAGTCCAATGGTGATGCCACTAGACTATAATGGATGTCTGTAGGCTTGTACAAATGTTTCTACTTCATTAGCTTTTTTATACCCTCCCGCTTCCTCACCCTTTCACCCACTCCCTCCCTCTGTTCCTCACCCTATGATCCTCCTTCCCCCCCTCCCTCTCTCCCCCTTCCTCCCTCCCTCTGTTTCTCACCCTATCTTCCTCCTCTCCCCCTTATTCCCTCACTCTCTCCCCCTCTTCAAGTGCGAGTAAATCAACCAGGCTTGTAATTATTTTCAAATTATGACACTAAGTGGTTTTAAATTAGATTTTAATTATAGGATCAAACAGAAGCCGCTCTCCTAGTGGACGCAGAAATCGCTCAAGGTCGCCTCACAACCGTTCAAGATCCCCTCGCAAGTACAGATCAAGGTAATTAATTTGTTTTACCTCTTCCTTTGGTCCTTTCTCTTTATTGTCATTTCCTGCTATGGATTCTCTCCTTTATTATAATCCTGTAGAAGATGTGTAGTTTTTAAAATCTCCACAACATATTACATTGTAAGTTTTTTTAATTGTTAGGTCACCTGCAAGGAGGGATTACAGAGACAAAGAAAGAGAGAGGGATAAAGACAGAGAGAGAGACAGGAGCTACAGAGACAAGTATTATTAACTTAATTATACACATGCACATGCACACACATACCAAAGGAAGGAAATAAAACTATAATACCAATCATTATCAGCACATTGCTCCAACTGGGAGAGTCCTTACCGCATGCATAACTCATTAGGTGCTCACTTTTGTGTGACTTCTCTTTGATTTGTATGGCATGTGTTTTATGATGCGGAGAGTGTCACTTCCATGCAGTAAAAATATCAATTCTTTCACTTAAGATGGAAGTGATGTCAGTGTGATGCAGGGGGAAATGAGATTGATAGTTTTTGATGTGTCTGGCTTGAGTCAGGTTGAAGATCATGACTGTGTGGCTGTCAGTATAGTTAATGATAACTAATTTCAATCTGGAAGGACCTCTTCCTTTCATCTTGCATTATTGCCTTAATTACTCTTTGTTTGTTTGTTTATGTTGCCTATATATGCTAAGTATAGCTCTTTTTTGTAGGTCGCCTGAGAGAATGGGCACAACTGTTGATGATTCCGATGAAGATGAGCAGAATTTAGACGGTCAGTTAGTTATATAACATGTTTTCTGATACATATTGATGTCTTTATGCTATGTAGAATGTTTGAGCTAATTCCGACTTAAATTTTTGGAGTTATGGCCATTTTAAAAATGGGCTGATTTCTGAAAAGTACCCTGTACTATAGCCCATGCTTTTTTTCCAAAAATGGCTCCGAAATCACATCCAATTTTTATTACATTTTCTGATGCATATTGATGTCCTTATGCTATGTAGAAAGTTTGAGCCAATTTCGACTTTAACTTTTTAAGTTATGGCCATTTTAAAAAATGGGCCAGTTTCTGAAAAATTCCCTGTACTATAGCCCATGGTTTTTTCAAAAAAATGGCTCCGAAATCACCCCCAATTTTTATTACATTTTCTGATACATATTGATGTCCTTATGCTGTGTAGAAAGTTTGAGCTGATTCTGACAGGAGATTTCGAAGTTATGGGCTTTTAAAATATTCTATTGCACATACATGTATATTGAGCCGATTCATGTTATCATTGATGTGTATTACATTGCAGATGATGGAAAAGAAATGCTCAAGTTAATGGGATTTGCAAAATTCAAGTCGACAAAAGTAAAACTAAGAGAGAGGAAGGAATAGAGAGAATATAAGAGAGCTATATGTAGAGTATATACATGTAACTTTAATTATTATGTGTATGTATATCATTGTTTCAGGGCAAACATGTTCCTGGCTCATGTAATGCTAGTGCTGCTAATATAAAAATTGAAAAGAAATACAGGTATGCCTAACACACACACACACTTATGGCCACACAACTTACACTATCTAATATTATTACTATGAAATGAATGTATACAGGCACATGTATGTGTCTATGTTTATGTCTGAGTACATGCTCTAGTAAGGGGCCACACGTGTCACTATTGTGGCTGCTGCATATTTTCAATGGAAGAACAGCAGTGTACTAGTGTAGTATATCAGCTATCGCACGCAATCTTTGTAACACAAGTCAGATAAGACTGGACACACAGCTGTTGCATAAACATATTACTTGTGCGCTGATAACCGACGAGCAAATACTCTTATTAATTAACATGTTTTGATTGCTGTAGTACGTATACCTGACAGTATTATAATTGATATAGTTCTGTGCTTCTTTGCCTCAATTAAAGGGATTTTTTCTTTGCAATTGTTTCAGAAGTAAAGCAATGAAATGATATAGCACAATGACTCGTTATATGAAATTAATAAGAGTTTGCAACTAAAACTGAAAAGTTCCCATTCTCTACATTGAGGAAATGCTGCCACTTAATAGCATCCTGTAGCCATGATGGTATCTATACTAGTCTGATCTCATTGGATTGAAATGCATTATTGAATCTTTAGTGACTAAATACATTACCAAGTACACTCACTGATTGACACTGAATGTTCTCTATTGACATTTGCATGGAAAGGAACCAGTCTCTTTCCTCAATCAGTGATATTAGAATACGAATGAGACTATAGGTGGACTTGTAATGCAATTAACTGCAATTTGTTTGCAATAATCATCTATAATTATTAAATATTATCATTGATCATCATGTATTATAGGCAATACATGAACAGAAGAGGTGGTTTCAATAGACCACTGGATCCCATGAAATAAAGGAAATCTCATTACAAGCCAAGCAATTATTATCATTCTTTTGTATTGTTAAAATGCTAGATTGTGTCATTTATCTTGTTATCCTTCACTTAATGGTCATTTATTCCTCATTATATTTACACTACTCATTTTTGTAACAGTTGATTGTGTGATTAAACTTATTAATTTTTCCATCAATGATTATTCTTTAATAACAATATGTGACCATAATTGACAAAAGGGCCCTTATGGCGGATTTTAAAATTGATCCTTATAATGGAAAATATCAACTTGTGAGTGCTTTGTTAGACAATCATTGTTTCTAAAAGTTTCATGGTAACTTTTTGCATCCTGTGGAGTAATTTTATGATAAATGGAGCTCAGGAAGTTGGATTTCTTAGGCTAGAAAGACAAATTTCACTACCCGCCATAAGGTACCTTTTGTCAATTATGGTCACATATTATCATCAACTTCTCAAACTATAAACCACAAAAAATCCTGCAATTAGAAGTGCACAATCCTAAACTCATTAACCCAATTTTAGTGCAGAAAATTTTTATTTTCCTGAAACTGTAACTATATTTAGAAGCATGAATGCCTATACAAACAATGATGCACAGGGGGGCATATATAAGTAAATATTAAGTGTAATTAATGACAAACTGTGATATACAAACACAAGGGCTGCATAAAATGTAAACAATGATCACAAGTTATAATAATCAATCATGGCCAGTCTCTTCAACTGGTACGGCCATTGGAGTGAACTCTTCTGTAGCTACTGTACCATAATTAACCAACTGACGACCAATCAAATATCTGAGAAAAAGATTTGAAGTATTAAAATGTTCATGAACAAACAGGACAGACACAACACGAAGTGCATGAAATCACCAATAAGCTGAACTTTGTATGAACTTGGCCAACTTCAGTACATAAACCACGTTGACCTTTCAATACAAGGAAGCTTATTGGTATAATATTATTATTATTATTTATAATGCTATGGAGTGCTTATTAAAGGAGGAAGAAGGCAAACAACTTACTCTTTATTCCTAATATTGGAGTATATCTTTGTGGACTGCTTCACAATTATTAGCATCATGCTCAATGCAACCAGCAAAAAGAAAGAAAGTGCATAGCAATAGCGATACCATAAGAAGCTCGTTGCATAGCTGGTTAATCCTAAAAATAATAATAATAATAATTATTATTATTATTATAACAGTGTATAAAGATTGCAGAGTTTTAAATGTGAATCTATATATGCAATAGTAAAATTAATAAGAAATAAAGAATACCCTGCAGTTAGTTGCATCATTACATTATATCACATTAAACACAGCTACTCCAGCAATACTAGGAGAATGAAGTAATGGACACTACAATGGGCCAGTAATGGATACTACATGTTAGTGAGACTGTCACTGTAGCACATGTGTCATGGACCATTGGCAAGATGGAATTATCATGAATCCTGTTTTCATCACCACATACAACATGATAATAGTACCGATTGCAGCTACATGCAGAGTCATTGTGCTGGTATTGAGTAACTAAATAGAACTTCACTACAATGGACTAATAATCATAAGAATGTAAACGATACAGTCAGTAATTGTTAGTTGCAGTTGCAAGAAATTTTCATGCACAATTGCATGAACATTATTCCAAAAACTAATAATATCAATAAATATATACAACATTATCCACCAATGCATGCAATACTAATACTGATATCATTGAGTAACACTGTCTCTTCTTGTCTAAATTATTCATGCTCAATTCTCTTCATTGGAAAGTCTAATATAGTCTAATGCTTTGATGCTATATAAAGCTTATGCATGGACTAACACAGCCTATTTGTGATTAAATATTCTCTAGTAATAACAGCTACACTAGAACATGTAAAGTGGTACTGAGCTGCAAGCTATAGCAGGAATGATGTATTGACTAGTACACAGAAGCCTTTCCTATACAACCGGATCTATTGGCTATGAATGCATTCAGAGAAATAGCTTCCTTAAAACATGTAGTGCAGTAAACAACACTGTCATATTAAGAATGTATCCAACCATGAGAAAAGGGAGATGGGCACTAATTACTCTATAATTTGCTCAATATACTTTATCCTGCTTTCACTGTCTCTGCTATGCAAACACAAATAAACACTTTACAAATAAACAAGTATGACAACAACATTCCATTCATATTTCAATTCTTCAATCATTTACCATTCCATCCATTCTTCCTCGTACATGTTACATGTGCATAACTAAACTAACCTGTCTGATAGAAGATGGTTATAAAGAACACGTAGGGAACTGATATGAACAAGAAGAGGTAAGAGATAACAGGCCATGCAACAGAGACTAGGACAAACGAGAGACTCATGTTACGGACGCCGCGTTGATAGAGTTGGTCCAGAGTGCGTTTGAATGACGTGTCTGTAAGCCAAATGACGCCACAGGAGCACTTCATGTGTAATAAGCCAAGGGCCCATTCCTAATGGAATAAAATGAGAAAAATAAGGAAATAAATGGCTAAAATTAAATTTAAAATGTAAATAAATAGCAAAAATAAAGCAAATAGATAACTATAAATTTAAGTAAATAAATGACAAAGGAAATTAGTTTATGACTCAATAAGTGATGCACAGCAATGCCTTGATATTATTAATGATCATTATAACAATCCATGGAATTGTCATAATATGTAGCAATCCTTTTGAAGTAAACATGGCTGCATCACACTTATTGCATTACGGAGTACATGTGAGTGCTCTCAAGTCACAGCAAGTGTCATAATCTACCAAATACAGGAACAATACCGCCAATTCGATTTGCATTCACCTACACATGTACATGCATAAATATAAACAAACACAATATCTACATGTAAGCAATACTAGCTAGAACACATCCTAATGGTATAATTCCCCTTTAAAACTAGTAAACATCCAGTAATGATGGAGTATCCGTTTATGCACGCATCATAGAGAAACCAGACAACACAAGACAGGGGTATTAAGAAAACATAAGCTTAATAGTCATTATTAAAGACTGTGTGATAGTAAACAGCATTAAATTAACAAACAAAAGTATTTGCACGTCCATACATGCACACAAACTCGGACTACATTAAGAAATGATAAATGTGTCACCTTTTGCGATAGTTTTGATTGGAAGTAATCAAGGATACAATTATGATGTAGTCAGTTTATTATATGGAATGAGAGCATAAAACTGGGACAGAGTCGAGCCAACCCCGCATACCAAATAAAATATCGTTAGATAACAATTGTCACTGACGCAATTGATATTGTAACTACATGTATATACATGATTGCATTAATATTTTTAATCCTTTGAGTTTCAGTATAAGATGCAAGGGCCGATTGAAATATGCTGTATCATTAACTCCATCATTTATTACATTGAACAAAATAAATGTAACACATACATGTACATGTATGTATCAAGAGTACATGATTTATTCACATAAAAACTCGCTGTATACATATACTGCTCTTATGATTAAAATAAAATGTAACACGTACATCAAGAGTACGTGAATTTTTTCAATGTACATGTACATATACATGCATACAGTATATGGATACAGTACATCACATAAATGTACTTACAGTGCTGAAGTAGGTGATAGGTGTTCTGTTGGTTGGTACTCTTATTGGAGAGATGATGAGTAGGTCAACAAGATTACCCAACAGTAATGGGATGACGATGAATAAGAGGAAACCAGCTATCGCACACTTCATACCCTAAAACACAATCAAAATTAATAAAGAGAAAATAATTAGACCAATTCATCGCTTCTTTGAAGTCACTCTCTCTGATCTCTTTGTTAAAAGTAACCAAAACATGTAAGTCTTCTTTGATTTATTATTATTATTCCATTCCCACCCTCTCTCTCTCTCTTTTTTAAATGCTATCTTCTTCCAGGAATATACCTGATAGGTCCAGAGTAGAAGCTGTTTCATGATGACACCAAATCCTTCTCTTGTCTTGGAAATGATGGCAGTGGCAACCCTCACTGTCACCCACACCACATACATACCAATAGCAGCTGTGTATATGTCTGGAGGAGCAATTAAACCAATGTACCCCATCAGGGTTCTACCTAATAAGACTAGAGAGGCAGAGGCAGAAGGTGAATAACTTAATAAAGTATGTGGTGATAGATGCAAGCAAGTACCTGGCCCAAGTAGAAATGCAGCACTGACTGTGATTATACTCGTTACAGAAATAAACAATAGAATAGTGACCTAAAAAGGAAAGAAGGGTACAGAGCACTAGAGCAGGACATCATTTGTATAACACATTTTTTATATGTATTGTTAATTTGTTATTTGTATATAATTAATTTTGTGGAAATTGCAAAGCACAGTATGTACAAATTGATGATCAATTGGCATGAAATTGTGAAGGGCAGATTCCAGAATCATTTGTTTCTCGTTTGTCAATTATACTCTTCCATGAAATGGTGGTAATTTGGCAATCATACAATTAATACGAAATAAAGAACCAGAAAAACTCGTTCCTAGGGTTAAACCAACTATACTTACTCTAAGAAAGAAGTATTTTGTTCTCAAGTAAGGTTTAAACGGAGCAAATCCTGGGCCAAGTACTTCAGCAGGGCCAGGATGTACAGGACCTTCCCAGTTAGGATCATAAGGTAGTGTCATTATGACGTTACCGTGCATATCAACAACCACACCCTAAGAGAGAAATAATTATAGAGAAGAATAGTGGAATTAAGAGTAATGATAATACTATTAAATAAATAATGCTTACCCCAGTCTGTGGGTTATCCAGTAAATATGAATCAAGTTTACTAAATGTATAATAAATAAAATAAAATAAATAAAATACAAATATTGTATGGAGAAGTACAATGTGGATATAATGTATGGCCTATATATTGCATAATGTTGCATCACACAATCATCCTCATTATATTTGGCAATTTTCTGGTAATAATCATACACTAATTTCTTCACCACAGATACACACAGTCACACAGGTTGATATTCAATAATCAACCCTGTACTATATATAGCTACACTTTCTGATACATGTTCTTACATGTGTATATTATATATTGTGTAGAAACATTAAAATTGGATTTTTCAAGTAAAATTACATTTTTACAGTAATGTACATGTAGGTCTCATAGTATGTCATTCACTTACAGTATTTTAGCCATAAATCTAGACCACATGATAACTCCATTCTTTATGGCTGCTCTTGTATTGGAGTGCTCAAGTAAAGTGGGTATTACGAACTGAAGCAGAATCAACTCCAACTGGACCTCTCTTATAGGACTCACAGTACTAGAAATAAATTCATAATTATTTTTATCATCAAAATTAAAAATACATAAAAGTATGCAAAATATTTATTTAATAATTGCATCAATATTACAGGGGTTACCTCATTAGCGTTAGGTTGTATGGCAAGAACCAAGGGAAGAGGTATACAACGAGACGACTTGGTATGTATATCAATACCAATATACTGACACCAAACATAATCTAATAATAATAATAATAATAATAATAATAATACATGTGTATGCGTTCAGTTATTATTTAGAATATATTTGAAAAAGTATTAATTCTTTTGTCTTACGTTAGACATTAGGAAGCGTCTGAAGTGCTTTTGAAATGGCTGACTGATCATCTACATGTAGGAGAGAGAAAGGAAAAAGAAGAAAAAAATAAAGTAAAAATGGAAAAGAAAAGAAACGAAAGTAAATGATAGAGAAAGAATCAAGCTTACATCTTGTATAGGATGGAAGTTTTGATCGTTAAGGTTCCTTAAGAACCACATCACCCCGGGACGGAGTACTTCACGGAGCAAGACGACAAACGAAGCAAAATAGAAAATGAATATCATCCCAGCCAACCAATGAAGAAACATTACAGTACCTAAAAAATAATAATATTAGTAATTAAAATTGCATTAAAAAATACAACAATTTAATATAATTTTTTGTAGCTAAAAAGTTAAATTTTTAAAGTCATTTTTTAAAAATAAAATTATTACCAGGAGCATAATTGAGGCTTGCTTGTCTAGCCTTCAGACTAGTGCCTAGTAAAGACTGCAGTACAAAAATTATTAAATAAATGAATTTATGTCTTTCACATACAAACGAGCAAATGTCCAGCCACCAGCCGCAGCAGAGTGGAAATATTCCAGCCTCAAGGAGAAGCAATGTTGATATCTTGAGGGCTAGGTAAGCCATACCAAGGAAGCTCTTTATTCTAAAAATAATATAAAAATAATAATCAATAATTAAAACATGTATATGTACATGTATGTGTATCAGAAAAAATTATAAAAATGGAGAATTCTCTCGAGTCATTTTTGACGAGATTTTGCCAAAATCCCTGTACTGTAGTACAGGGACTTTGGCCTGATTTTGAAGCAACTTAAAAAAATCGTAAAAAATCCAAACTTTATCAGAATCAGCTCAAACTTTCTACGCAACATAAGAACATGTATATGTATCAGAAAATATTATAAAAATGGAGAATTCTCTCCTAGTCATTTTTGATGAAATTTTGCCAAAATCACTGTACTATAGTACAGGGACTTTGGCCTGATTTTGGAGCAACTTTAAAAAATCGTAAAAAATCGTAAAAAATCCAAATTTGATCAGAATCAGCTCAAACTTTCTACGCAACATAAGAACATGTATATGTATCAGAAAATATTATAAAAATGAAGAATTCTCTCCTAGTCATTTTTGACAAAATTTTGCCAAAATCCCTGTACTATTATAGTACATGGACTTTGGCCCGATTTTGGAGCAACTTAAAAAATTCGTAAAAAAATCCAATTTTGATCGGAATGAGCTCAAAATCAGTTCAGTTCAAAAAATAGCCAAATAATAATAATAAATAGTCAAATAAATAAATAAATAATCTCACTTTGCTAATTTGAATAATCCAACCACATACTATGCATATATACATAGCACATCAGGCATCACAATCATTAAGAAAAATAACAAATAAAGTGGCATCTATAGTCCATACAATATAAAGGTGGGGAAACTACATGAACATATTACATTAGCATCTATTATAAGGTTAAATATATAGAGGATACATATAAAATAACGATAAGAATCATGACAATGACATAACCATTGATTGTGGAGAACAATATCCTCCAGTTATCATTCCATGCCTGCATAGAAAAATAACGATAATAAAAACAATACTAATAAAGAAGAAAATATTACAGTTACAAATTATTAATAATAATTATTAATATTAATAAAAATATACATAATTACAAAATATACATGTACACAGTTTATGTTAAATACCAGTTGGTCTATTGACAGGTAACTTGTAAATAGTTGGCCGACTTTGTTAGGAATAAGTCCTAGAAATAAATGGACAATCTCAGTGTATAGTGCATTAGTACATATTGTACTGGATTTACCAAATATTAATAATAGTGCAGTCATCAGTAGCAGCATCCACATCACATGTTCCTATAAATTAAGATATAAAATTTACACTAAATACGTGTAAAAAATTAGATGCATGTACCAAAAACTGGTAGGAGCCATCCAATCCTAACATCTGTAACAGAAAAAAAAAACAAAAAATATGAACTGATTGCGGAATGAAAAAAGTTGATTACTTTAGTTAGTTGATCAGCTTGCAACGCTTCAGCATTGGGATCTGTCAATGAAAATAAATATGAATATACATGTACAATACATAAAAGATGTCAATATAACATATCATTATGGTATTGGTATCACATGTTAATAAACATATAACATCTCAATGGTTTCGTGTTAATAAATGTGTCCAGGTGCTGCTGTGTACCTTGAGGCTCTCTGGCCAGCCCCACTAGTGCTTGACCAATGTTAGGTCTTGCTGGAGCATTCTGTCTCCTTCTCCTAGCTTCAGCCTGTAGCAAGAAAGAAGGCAGTGTAACTTTAGCTCCTAGCACACACATAAACTTATGAATGATGGTAAATGAAATTTAATAAATATGCAGTAAGTACAGTATAAAGGATACAGCAATACAATGCACATTTATCAATTTTTTTGAGCTAAGCAACCAAAAATATGCTGCAATCCAAAAATTTTTCCTGCTTGCTTCAAAATTATACGATAATACTGCCTATGCAATTATTTCCCATTTACTTGGTCTTGTTGGTCGTTGTTGTTATTCCTACCAGTGACCCGTTGGTACCAGGTAGGGATCGTCCTCTCCATTAGCACAGGGTGAGCTACCCTCACCTCCGCCATGTGACCCGCCATCATGGCCGCTTCATCTTCGAACTTCCGGTTATAAATTTGATGAGCAAAACGGGACGATCCAATCATGTCTCGCTCTCCCTCGGAGAGTTCATCGAGTGTGTCTGAATCAAGGGTCTCCATTGATAAGTAACTAAGTAATAAAAAGAAGTAGTATGACATGACATAGTAGATCTTGGCATATACATGTACATTATACATACATATGTGTATGTGATTCATGCTTGATTTCAAATCAATGAGATTGATTCAAATCAACGATGCAGGATTAACTCAATGAGTATAGATGAGCTGAGTCCTTACTGTACTATTCTCTCATGTTCTAATTTTTGAGACACAGTCAGCTCCATGAGTCGATTAGTAACTTCATCAAGCTCTGCCTCCAGCTCTCTCTTTCTTGATTCATCAGTGATTGGTACTGGTCTGTCTTGATGCAACTCAAACAATGTGGCTTGCTCTGGTGTCAATCCTGTACACACAAAAAATAGAAATAAGTCAATCATGCAAGAAATAAATATATGTACATGTACATGAACATTACTAAAAGTTAGAATAGACCAAATGTATATATATACATGTACATTGTACACATGAATGCAATTGGTTTTCATTCCTACCCCTTTCTTCTAAAGATGGTAATGGTGTTGCATCAACAATGGCAGCAGCTTCAGGAGGGAGTCCCACAACATCAGACGATATGATGTACTTCTTTTTCAAGTCCTCGACTATATCGTTCTTCCATTTCTCGATCCCTTCAATGTTCTTGAGTCTGGCTGCCTTCAGTGCAGGCATATAGTGGTTCATTGGTAACTCCAGCTGGTAGATCAACTCCATTTGCCTCTTTCTCAGCTCAACCCCTTCCTCGTAAAACCGTTTAGCAGTCGCATCTTCTAACTCTTTGATGAATTTCTATAAGAAAAATGCTAAATGTAGATACATGTACATACATGTATATGTATGTACAAGTACATTATATGTAAAGTAAATATATACATTATGTACAGTACATGCATGCATTATGTCATATAAAACAGACCTTTAAATCTAATGAATAAAAGTACTACTAACATGTATACATATACTATGCACACCTCGTTATCTTTCCTCCATTTTTTATTCGACTCGTTTATGCTAAGTCTCTCCGCCGTTCTCTGCCTTTTCCTCATGTCGATGTGTGCGTCATTAATCAGTTTAGCTTTCTCATCATCGGACATGTTGTCTCTCGGAGTCGGTTCTGCTTGCCTCTGAGCCTCTTGTTGATCAGCTGTGAGCCAGTCAGGGCCAGTGCCTGTTGTCAGCTGGTCCTTGAGCCAGACCAAACTTATGAAGGCCAAGAGCGACACAAAGACAATGAAGAGTCCAACTAGTCCCTCTAGGATCAGATTAGCACTGAAGAGAGAGAGAGAGGGAGAGAGGGGGAAGGGTGAGGAAGGAGAGAAATAGAATCAATAAGAAATGTAGGGACAATAAGGAAATAATAGAGTCATAATGGAGGGAGCATTAGTCTAATGTACTACTTACAATGTTATTAGCTCCCATGGCAGTGTTATGACACCCCAAAAGTCTCCTTTAAAAACGACGCAGTAAACTCGATCTGTCACAGACAGTGGTTAGTCACATTATGTGGAACTATTATTTGTCTTACATGTACAAACTGGTAGGAGGTATAGCCATGTGAAGAGAACAAAACAAAAATGGAACCATCTCTGTAGCCTTTGGTTCAGACCACGAACTAAAGTCTTGTATATGTAATTGACTGGCAGCCATCTTGGCATATCAGCTCTATATACTAACAATAGATAATAATGAAAAATATTACGTTAAAACGGAGGTTAAAATGGTATATTTACTTGATGCAAACTGAAACTTATAATGACAAAGCTCGCAATATCTACAATAACAAATAAATACATAAATAAATAATAAACTAAACTTACTCTTTCCTGCTGTGCTGGAGCCACTGCATTAAACTAAACATCAGATTTTAAAATTATATGAAAATATTATATATACTAACCAATCTTGATGAACATAACGTATGCTTCCAGTACACAGGCAAGGATGGAAGAGTGGCCTATCAGAAGTACCAGATAAACGGCACACACGACAAATATCTGTTTAAACACAATAGGATATACAGTAAATCAAGAAACAAAGAAAACCAGAAAAAACCTACCTTCAGCGGTGGCCATTTTTATTTGTGCACGTGACTTAAAATGTAAAGCCACGCCTAGTATTATCCAGATGATGAATTTTGGTGCAGTTTGGAGTTGAGTTGTATGCTGCAGCTCGGTATGCTGTGTTGTATGACTTGTATTTAAAAGAAGAGAAAGGTACTACAATAAAATAAAGCACAGTTATTTAACTTACTAAAAATGCCCCTCTATAAAGGCATATTAATAATGCTGCAACAATTCTTTAATTCTTTGTAGTGTTGCCTAGACTGAGCAGTGATATGATTATTATTATTATACTTAGCAATGTAGTCTTCAACAATAATTATTCTTACCTATAAAAGACATGTAATTCTGTAGTATTTTAATAACCTCCTTGTAGTGCTCTTAGCATCACTAGCAGTAGTAACCACTAGTGATCCCAGGCAGCGCCACGAGGAGGCTGCACTACATTGCTGCCCAAAAAATAGTAAAGGCCTGGGGGCGCCCCCAGGCCAAAAATAATAAAAAATAATAATAAATAATAATAAATAATAAAGGCCTGGGGGCGCCCCCAGGGCCAAAAATAATAAAAAATAATAAATAATAATAATAAATAAATAAAAATAATAAATAATTTAAAAAATAATCATAAATAATAATAAATAATAAACTACCTATGCCTACTGTTTCGCGTTTCTACTAGTACCAATATACAACCGTTTCTTACACTAACAAACTAAACTATCACCTATACCAATATACAACCATTTCTTACATGAACAAACTAAACTATCACCTATACCAATATACAACCATTTCTTACACTAACAAACTGAACTATAACCAATACCAATATACAACCATTTCTTACACTAACAAACTAAACTATCACCTATACCAATATACAACCATTTCTTACACTAACAAACTGAACTATAACCAATACCAATATACAACCATTTCTTACACTAACAAACTAAACTATCACCTATACCAATATACAACCATTTCTTACACTAACAAACTAAACTATCACCAATACCAATATACAACCATTTCTTACACTAACAAACTAAACTATCACCTATACCAATATACAACCATTTCTTACACTAACAAACTAAACTATCACCTATACCAATATACAACCATTTCTTACACTAACAAACTAAACTATCACCTATACCAATATACAACCATTTCTTACACTAACAAACTAAACTATCACCTATACCAATATACAACCATTTCTTATACTAACAAACTGAGCTATAACCAATACCAATATACAACCATTTCTTACACTAACAAACTAAACTATCACCTATACCAATATACAACCATTTCTTACATGAACAAACTAAACTATCACCTATACCAATATACAACCATTTCTTACACTAACAAACTAAACTATCACCTATACCAATATACAGCCATTTCTTACACGAACAAACTAAACTATCACCTATACCAATATACAGCCATTTCTTACACGAACAAACTAAACTATCACCTATACCAATATGCAACCATTTCTTACATGAACAAACTAAACCATCACCAATACCAATATTCAGCCATTTCTTACACTAACAAACTGAACTATAACCTATCTAGTACCAATATACAACCGTTTCTTACACTAACAAACTAAACTAGCCTATATCTACCATACCAGCCTATCCTGTATAACTATAACTTAGTTTTCCATCCTATGCTATAGCCTCTACTGAACCTTAGCTATGAACCAGAGTACCTTACATGTCACACAATGTACACGTTGTTGGTCTCTCTCGAAAATCCCATCTTTTAAAGGCACCAGGAACTAGCTATAAGGGAAGGAAGCAACAATTATAATTATATTGAAGTACATTTAAACTATTTAATTAAGTACATGTACTGTTATTAATTAAGTACATGTACTATTATTAATTAAGTACATGTACTATTATTAATTAATTAATTATTTAAACTATTTAATTACATGTACATTACTAATTAAGTACTAATTAAAGGGAAAGGTAGAGGTTGGAGTATTAGAAATAAGAGGGGAATTAAGAAAAGAGGAATAAAGGAAAGATAGAAAGGAGGAGGAGAAGGAAAGGCTCATCTTTCTACCAATCTCTCCCTCACTCTAAAGGCTCATGTCTTGTCATTCTCAGATGCTCATGTCGTCTAAAGGCTCGTCTTTCTACGACTCTCTTCCTCACCCTCTCTCTAAAGGTTGGTTTCTCTACTATTTGCTCTCCTTTCTAAAATGCTACGTCTTCTAAAGCACCAGGAACTAGCTGGGGGAAAGAAGTAATGATTGCAATTATTAAAGGAAAAGGTAGAAATTGAAGTACTAGAAATAAGAGGGGAATTAAGAAAAGAGGAATAGAAAAGAAAGAAAGGAAAGAGGAGAAAAAATACTTCTGACCCTTGAGTAATCCTGGAGTAGTATGGTAGACGATGAAATGCTAGTATCTTCATTTTTAATTACTTAATTACCATTCTTACCTACAGCGACAAGAAGGCATGCTGTATTTTGACAACTACCTGACCTCTCTTGAACACTGCAAACAGCAGTCAGTTTTGACTAACTGTTGACCATGCCTGACACACACATACATACATGATAATATCAATACATAATTATCCTACATCCCAGCACACACCAGGCAACATATCTCTAGTAATACTTGGTATTTAAACCTAGTGAGCAAGATGCTGCCAAGAATGAAAAACTGATCATTGAAGTACACACTAATGAGAGTGTGTATTCGCACACACCCCCACCAGTATGTTACTCCAATGCACCAGCTTTCCATTCTTGACAGCATCTCCCTCACATACTACTAGAAACATACTGCCTAGTGTATGACGGGACAACTATAAACAAGCACATCAGGCATGGCGGTAGGAACGGGTGGTGTCCTTACACTAGGGTCAACAAAATAATAATTTCACATGCAAAACATCGCGTATAAACGTGATGGCTCATTTCTCCAAGAGCCCGTGACGTGACGTAGCTATACACAAAGATATCAATATTATAATTATCATGCAAGGGAAGGTATGTGTGTGTTTACTAGCCGGGCATGGTCGGCCAGCCCAGCTAGTAATAAAGATAACATGCTGTGATATCCTCCTTTCAGTAAATCTCTCCATGAATCGTCCTGACTTTCCCTGAGATGCTAACTGCTCCCGACTTCCATTATTTGACAGCAGCGTACTAGTCTTGCTCTGCCCCTTGAAATGTACGAGCCCTGTTGAGACTTGAACGCTAAAATCAAATAAAACAGAGAACAAATTAACAAGGACTCAGTACACTATAATAACAATTACAATAGAACTACATGTAGCAAACAAGAGGCTATAACAACTGATGGCAAACAAGAGTAACAACTATAATGGCAAACTAAAGGCTATAATAACAACTGTAATGGCTATAACATTTTTATGCTAAATTTAAAACTGTATATCATTAGGACCTTACATGTCCATTGGCCCCCAGTTAATTGGATCAGTCTTTTCATGGGCGTGGCCTCCAAAATGGCGGGAACTTTAAAGAGTACATGAGGCCACATGTCCGCAATGAGAATCAAGGCTGCTAACCTGTATAAAAGAAAAATAAATAAATAATATAATAAAAGGGTAGAGAGAAAGAGGGAGAGAGAGAGAGAGAAAAGGAGAGCTAACCATAGCAGGTGTAGCAGCCATTGAAGAAAGAGGTCAAAACCTGCCATGACCTTTTAGAGAAGACAGCTGAGAGGAACCAACTGCTGTTAACTGTTAACCTGTAAAGAAAGGAGAAATATAAATGAAGGAGTGTTTTAAAGAGACAAGGAGAGAGAGAGAGAGAGAGAGAGAGAGAGAGAGAGATGAAGTAGCCATGACTAACTGTAGCTGACTAGGAGTGGAGAGCTTTTGAAGACTGATCCGTTGGTGCCAGGAGAAAATGGAAGAAATGACCGGAAGAGGAGGGAGAGCTCTTTTTATAGTCACTGGGGCTTTCCCGGGAAAGGTCCTTACCGCGCGAATCTGATTGGTCAGGTCTATTGCTCCACCCTCAGCACAGTCAGCAATTTTGAGTTTGACCAAATTTGGTCAAAAAGGCCTCTATATCACGTGAGCTCAATTCAAAGGCGTGGCTAGTTATTAAAGCTAGCGTTTTTGCAATTTCGTGGATTTGTAGTTTTAGTAATTCAGAAAAAATCCAATTTTGATCTGAATCAATCCAAACTTTCTACACTGCATAAAAACATGCATATGCAAGTACTGATTATTACCAAGAATGAAAAACATGATCATCAACTAAATAATTTCTTACTAAATAAATACATGAGACTAGCTGTAAGGATTAAGCACCTTACTTTTGCAATAAGCATTGCAAAGCAAAGACAAACATAAATTAATAATAAAAAATTGATGAAATTATGGAAAAATATGGATTGTCTTCTTGAAGTGAAATGTAGAATGTCCAAGTATAGCTGACCAGAACTGAGAAAGAGAAGTATCATCTTCTGGGCCATGTACTCTTGACTGGGCCAACCTCTCTAAGACTACACTAGTGCTTATAAAGCATGCATTAGGAAAAGGCTATTGTGGGTTGTACTTAATCATATTCATTACATGTATGACATGTACAAGTACAACATCATAAGTACATGCACTATCTGGTAGACACTATAGGCACTTTTTATGGTAGCATTATGGTTTGGAATATTACTATAGTACTGTAGACATTGACATTTTAAATGCTTAAATTAAAAATATAACCAATTCAATGCATACAGCTGAACACAATAACCGTATAAGATAAGACTATAAAAGCAAGAAATTAGCATATGTCACATTATCACTTTCTAGCCACAGTAACTTGAATTATCATTCCAGCAGGTACAGACTTGTGAGTGACTGTAATATAATTTGTATCCTCTTTATTCCAAGTAGCTGCATCTGATGGCGAAATTGTGACCTCAAATCCTCCAGGATAGTGCTGAGCTTCATTTAAATATATCTGTTATAATAGTTCATAAAAGTATCAAGTTCATATTTTTGTACTTCAGTTATTGTTGAGGTACAACTTTCTGTCACTACATAACTCAGTACAAATGTGCTTGTTTTTGAATCATATTTCATGCTAATAGTTTTTCCTGCAACTGCTTGTGCATAAGTCCGGCTTATTAACTAAAATAAAAGGGCAGCACTAAAATTATTTTGTATCATCATAAATTATACTTACAGCAGTTACATTGGCATTGATTGAACCATTACTGAACCAGATTGATCCAGAATCACCCTATGCATAATAATTATATCAAATCATACTTACATAACTAGACTCACTGCCCTTTCAAAAGGAAGGAGTCTATACAATAATATAACATACTGTAATATCATAATAAGGTTTGAAGTCCCAAGCCATCCATGACTATAGAAGAGTGACAATAAATATATATATCAATGTAGCTCAACTTGTAAGTGCTTGTTGGCTTCATCCATTACATTTGATGGATTAGAGCTTGTTATAGAGAACTCAGTCAAGAAACCTAAAATGATAACAATAAGGAGTGATAGTTGAAGTTAACTATAGTTACATACCACCACACTGGAGTCTTTTTAGGTCCTTCATCCGATAATCAAATGATACGGATGCCTCAATCTATAGTTATAAGAGCAGTAATATATATGATCAAGAGATCAAATTAGTTTACATCAGGTGGAATGTAAAAGTGATATGAGAGTACACTCCTGTGCTCATTTCCCTTGCCACCAGGGACAGCCTCAAATCCAACTGTCCATTCATCCCACGTGACTGATTCAAAAAAGACACTAGTCATGGTGTGAAATGTTAATTAAAAACTATGAATTTGGTGAACTTACTTATGACAAGGGTCAACATTCCATATTGCAGTACTCAGCTACAAGATAAGGGCATACATTATAACAACTATCAATGTATCTTACAGTGTCATAAACATGAGCTAAGTTCTTTTTATCTGCAACTTGAGGCCAGGCTAGTAACGGGTCACGATAGATATCTCCTAAAATTCAAAACAATTTAAAGTATGTATTGAGAATTTATAAAATACCAGCCCATGGCTCGTTGATAAGTTCATAGCCAACAACATTTGAAAAATTTTGGAATTCAGTGGCAACTTTGACCCAAAATTCTTTCAGCTCATCCAAAAGACCTTAAAGGAAAATCCATCAAAGTTGCAGCATTCCTGACACATGAAATTACCATTTTTGTTGTCATAAATCTGCTGGAACATTGCACTAGTTGCTTCAGTTGGATAATACTCAGCCCAAGCATGCTTAGCACAATCCTATAACAAAGAGACCGTACACTCAATTCAGAATAAAATAATAATTATTTACTAACCTCTGACGTTGGATGGCCTGTTGCATTATCAACTATGTATGGACGAGATAATGGTTCTGGGAAATTCTTAGCAACTACATGGAATATGTTAATAGCTTTAATAATTAATCCAGTAATGATACCTTCTGGATCAATGATCCAATCTGGAACTCCTTCTCCACAAAATCTTGCTGACAGTACATCTTGATGCATGTCAAGCAATATGTTAATGCTGTAATTAGCAGCCCTATTTTATAAAGTATTAAAATACTGACACACATACATATGTACTACTCTTACTTACTTGTTAACTATATCTTTGGCAATGCTGAAATATGTTTCATTGAACTGGTCTTTGACAGGCTCAGCTCCTGGCCACATCATTCCAAGCCTACACAACATGTACATATTAAGTGTTACCACTAATAGAACCATCCCCCTACTCTGCTAATTGCTGTACAATTGTTTATACATTATACAGGATACTGAATACATTGCTCAGCTAAAATGACATTGACAATGTAAATACAATCATACCTTACTACGTTAACACCAAGTTCATTCAAAAGTTTCATGTCTTCATCAGTAAATGACCAGTCACTACTAAATTTCTGAGTGTTTGGGATCCAGGGTGGTCCTTTCACAACGACATTGATCCCATGAAAGTATCTCTCTCTTCCAAAGTTATCGACCATTTTGTTTGTAGTGGTATTCACATTGTAGCACTCAATTTGATCTTGAGCTGAAGATAAGCCAACAGAAAAGAGCTGCAAAAGAAGAAGGACATAATAGCAAAACATCATCAGCTTTTTTAATGCAAAATACAGATTCAGCAACTGAGCATTCTTTTCCAATAGTCAGCTAATTTTAATTAATAACCACACCTGTTATTGTTGTGGGCGTGGTCACAAAATGGCGTCCTGGAGGAAGGCTTTGTTTTCTATTAGTCCATTCATTGCAAGTCATAGAGTACCGTCTTTCAGACAGTCGAGAGTATTTTCAACATCTTTTACTTCTACTCGAGCCCTTAACAAGAGATATGGTTGGGTATATAGCAGTTTTCACAGACTACAAAGTAGTCAGACAGCATCCTCAACTCAACCCATAACAGAATTGTCCCTCTCAGACTCTTGTGTTAAAGTAAGGGATTGATAAAGAGGGTACGATACTTTATTATTAATTTATAGAGACTATTAACGGTATCAGAGACACCAGACACGATGCTAAGAGTGATGGTTGAAGGAGGAGGTTGTTCTGGCTTTCAGTATAAGTTCAGTTTCGACACTACAGTTAATAAAGATGACAAGTGAGGCCAGCTTAGAATATGATATGTTAAATACAGCTATAACAAAATCACGTCAATGTTTTAAAAGAATTCTTTAAGAAAAATTTAGATTCTCATTCAGATTATAATCAGGGTTTTCCACAAAGCATGCTAAGTGAGCTAAACAGCATGAGCTGACAAGCACTGTGTAATAATCTATGGCATTTTGAGAAATTTTAAAAATTCATAAAAAATCTAATTTTGATTGGAATCAGCTCAAACTTTCTACACAACATAAGAACATGTATATGTATCAGAAAAAATTATAAAAATGGAGAATTCTCTCCTAGTCATTTTTGACAAAATTTTGCCAAAGTCCCTGTACTATAGTACAGGGACTTTGGCTCGATTTTGGAGCTACATGTATGCCAAAATTCTTTGGGAAACCTTGATTATAATTTAATTATTGTGTCTGATAGCATGCTTTATACAATTTTAAAATCATAGAATAGAGTTTTTTTATATAGTGTGTGTTTTGTTTTTAGGATATTTGAGAGAGAAGGTGCGCGTGTAGTCATTGATGAACTATCATTAAGCTTTCTCTCAGGATCAACTATAGACTATCATCAAGAAATGATCAGATCATCATTCAGAGTTATCGGTAACCCTCAGATGGAGATGGGCTGCTCTTGTGGTGCCTCTTTCTCTCTAAAATAATTTTTATGTCATTTTTGTACTGTTTTTTGTGTATACAATTGTATTATTATTATTATTATCATCTGTCTCATTATTATTTATTGAGCCACTCCCTTTTAGTTGAGCCACGCCCTTCTCGCCTAGCAACAAAACTTAACGAGGCAGCATGTCTAGCATAAGCAGCTTCCTGGGCTCAAAGTCCTTTTTGGAGTCCAGCACCCTCAGCTCGGACATATTTGGGACAGATGCGAGCCTAAGGATGAGTCTGGAAGTCAAACAGTACATAAAGAAGATTAGCAATTGGTACAAAGGCTGGCATAGATGGCAAAGGAGGATTGTGATATGTCGCATGGTGGAGCATTGTTCTACGCCTCATCTCCAGATCCTCTCTACTTCACTGGAGCCAGTCCTCCATCTTGACTTTGCCAACTCTCTCAACCCGCTAATGGCTGCACTACATCAGGAGGGCTCTCATTTATTCAAGATCCAGCGAGCAGCAGTCATTAGGGACTCAGCTGACGTAAAGAAACAGCGGCCCAAGCCTCCAATACAGGAAAAGACTAAAGAGATGATAATGGGCAGCTCTCGTAAAATGGCACTCTCTCGCTTGACTCCAAAGAAAGAGAAGCCAGCTCCGCCTCATGTGAAAGCAGGAGAGGCCATGTTCAATAAAGAAATGAACTCAACTGGTGCAAGAAAAGTTAAAGAAAAACAGCAGACCCAGGTCTTCTTTCCAGCCCTTCCTCTCTCGCACACGAAACACAAGCCCTCGCCTGCTTCGTCTGATAAAGGGCATCACTTTACTTCTCTTCCTCCGATAGAGAGAAAGTTTAACTCGGTACCAAACATTACTGTAGTTAATTCGAGACATGGAGGGAAAATAAAACCAGCTAGACATCATCCACGGGCTATCACTCTTCAGCACACCAAAGACTTGAGCTCACAGCAAGAGCACTGGATATATCAGAAGAAGAGGCTGGAAGCATTCAAACTCCAACTCAACATGATATCTGAGGTAAAGAATCTAAGACTTATGAATGACATGCATGTACATGTATTGCTTGAAGTTATGAGTTTGCTTTTTATGTTAATTTATAATAGTGGATGACTGAGAGTGGCCATCAAGATATCTCTTATTTGCTGTTGGAGCTGATCAAATTGTGCGATGAGGAGTTGCTTGGTTACTTGGTCCAATGTGTTTATCAGAAGTGAGAATCAGAGTTTATTTATCACCTATTATGACTTGTACTCTTAATATAGACTTCAAGCACACATTGGTCTTAACAGCTTCCCTGATCACATCCTGCTCAAAATATTCTCTTTCCTAGATGCTCCTAATCTCTGCAAATGTGCCCTGGTGAGCCTTATATCTATATTTTATTTATGTATATGCATCTACATGTACATCTATACTTAGGTATGTCATAGATGGTATAATCTTACCAGCAAGCAGGAGCTATGGAGAGGTCAAGTTGCTGCACTAGGCTATAGGGAGAATATTGGTAACCTGGTGAGATCCATTGAAGCTGTCAGAAACTATATTGATGGCTCTACTCCGAGGCCACGCGTTGTGATAGACTGGAAGAGAGCTTATAGGGATCTCCTGAAACTAATGTCAAGAATCAAAACAATAGTTATCAATAAAAGTAATACCAATACTTAATATATTTAATATTATACACATACATTTAAGCTGTACTGTGTACTTTTAAGTAATGAATATGATTGTCATTTTTCTTTTAGCAATGGCAGTACTTGAGCAAGAAAAGGAAAAGAAGGAAGAGATGATATTAAGGAGTCTCACTCCAGCTCAGCTGAGGGCTACAATGACGCTACGAGAAATGCTTGAAATCGGTACATAAATTAAATATAACTATTATACTTGTATGTACATTGTATGTTGTTGTATTATCATTTAACAATTGAGCTTACGATCCCAATAACCAGCTATGTGTAAATGCAATTCACTATTTTAATCAAGATTCCATCTGATTGTAATACTGCATTGTACCTTATTAATACCTGCCCATTTTGTAGTCATGTGTGTACATTCATGCTTATATTGTTAATGTATCAATTTGTCTCTTTATCAGCTCGCTTTGCTAGCGGAGTAAGTGGGAAGTCGTCCCGGGAAATCTTGCTCTCTGCTCCAGAGAGCACCATCACTCAGTGGAGGAGGGAAAAGAGGGAGAGACTAGAGATGGAGGCAAAATTGAGTTTTTCAGCCATTGTGGCAGGAAATAAGTCTATAGAGAGCAGCGCAACAGATAAAGGTATTTTTAGTTCCAAAAATGAATACTTATAGTGTGTGTACTAATATTAGCTGAATTAGCAAGGTTGGTGAAAGTGTTAAATTTTAAGAGTGTTATAATGGCATTTTTTCAGAAATTAATCAGCCCATTTTATGGACATCATTAAAATTACTAAGAAAGTGTTATTAATTGTCACATATTTTGTGACAATGGAACTAATGGGTTTTGCTTGTCACGGATTTCGTGACAATGGAACTAATGGGTTTTTGCTTGTCATAGATTTCATGACAATGGAACCAATGGGTTTTGCTTGTCACGGATTTCGTGACAATGGAACTAATGGGTTTTTGCTTGTCACGGATTTCATGACAATGGAACATTGCATGTTCTTAACATTGCATAAGAAGTTTGAGTGAATTTGTTTAAAATTGGCAATAGTACTTTATAATTGACCTCATGTCTAATTTTATGTACACTGTAGATATTCGTGTAACGTGTACTACAACTACCTTAAGTGATGAATCCTATTACTATGATACTTATGATCCTGGCAAGATGTCGCCAGTATTGACACAAAGAAACTCTAAGAAGAAGATCCCACTCAATGTCATACCACTGGTTGAGTGTGCAACAGACATAAGACCTACTGTCCCTTCCCTGGTAAGAAGAAAGAGCCTTATTCTCTAATACTATTACTACTTCATACTTTAGCCTAATCCTGACGGGATTGAGAGCCTCATACTAGCTGGTTATCTCTCCCCAAAGGACAGGCCAAGGCCTGGACGAGTAAAAGGACTCTCCTTTGTGGATAGAATAGCTGTAAGTGATTCAATATTAATAATAGTAGCATTCTAGCTAGTAGGTATGTTCTTGGTATAGCTTATGATGTGCATTTTGTTTTATGTTGATAGCCTCTGGGTACATCAGTATTGTGTGTCCAATGTGATGAGAGGAAGATAGTTGCTGGCTGTGCTGATAGGCTCATTAGGATCTATGATATTAGGAGTGGTCGCTTTGTAGCTTTACTGGAAGGACATACTGTAAGAAGAAAACAAACAAATTATCATATGACAACATGTACACATACTTGTAGGGTAGTGTCCAGTGTGTACAATTTGATGAGAATAAGATAGTCTCTGGCTCGTGGGACACAAACTGCATTGTGAGTGTGTACATGTACTAAACTCACATCAAGACTAATATACATGTATGTACATCTATAATTATGAGTATGTAGGTTTGGGATGCTATTCATTTCGTGGCATTAAAGACATTAGGAGGTCATACGGACTGTGTCTCGTGTCTTCAGTTTCATGAAACTATACTGTAAGATTGAGACAATGTAATAAATGTATACATGTATGTTCATGTATATATAGTGTGACTGGTTCTCATGATCAAACATTGAAGATTTGGGACACGCCTTCCTGGCTGTGTTTAAGGACAATCTCAAATGCCCACTCACGTAAGACACTTTAATTAAAATAATTATAATCTACACACTCCTTATATAGAACCAATTACTTGTTTATTTTTCAATGGACTCACAATAATTAGTGGATCAGAAGACAGGTATGAGTACAATTATTTTATTTATTGTCACACAATTGTCGTCTTTGTTTTCTAGCAATGTAAATTTCTGGAATGTCCATACAGCTGAGAATCTCGGTTCCCTAGAGCACTATAATGGAGTCACGTCTTTGAAACTCTCAAAGCTTCTCTTGGTGACTGCTTGCATTGATGGAATGATATATTTATGGAACGTCACTACTCATGGACTGCTCATGCAGTGGAGTCTAGAGTCTGACATCATAATTGTTGATATTTGCGTTGACAGAGGGAAAGTATATGCTGCTGCCAGGTAATAATTTGGCATTAAAACACATTCAATTTCTTCTATTAAGTTTGCTTAGTTTTGAAATGTAATTTTATATATATTTTTTTAATTGGTATTTTAGTGATGGAGTGATTCATGAATGGGATATAGCTACAGGTGCTTGTGTCAGAATGTTAAAAGGACACTGTAGACCATTGACAGCATTATGGGTCAGTAATAAATACAGAAATATCTGTTAGTATGAGCATTTTTCTTATACATGATACATGTAGGTTGGAAATTATAAAATTGTCAGTGCTGCTGAAGATCAAAGCCTTTGTGTCTGGCAACCAGAGAAACCGCCTGTTCAAGTAAGTATTTATTGGATTGTATACTAATGTATTCATATCTTACAGGGGGAAGAGGGAATTGAGAAATTCTATTCATTTGTTCCAGTAAAAACTGTCATGTTGTAAGAGACGATTCTTGTACATTATGACTAATTATTGTCAATTCATCAATTTAAATTATTGCAATTAAATTATATAATACTGTGATCTTTGATTAATGATTAATTTAAACTTGTAGTTGCTTATACTGCAAAGCATGCATACAACGGTATCTGAATTTCAGCAGTGAAGTAGTACTGCTTGTACAATAATTGTTCGTAGAATTTACACACATCTGCTGGTAATTTATTTTTGTATTGCACTTGATGTGTTATTCATCTACACTACACAGCTAGAGATAGTGTAACAACTTGTTATTCATTGGTCCCTAGACTGATCTCTGATTTCTCCTTATGGATACCAGTCTTTTAGCCCTACAAAACCTTTTAGATACAATTTCCACTGTATCCAAAGATGTATCGACTGAGATTGCCAGGAGACCACACCAGATGACACAAATTAGGGCCATGTTTGTTCGTCTAGATGCTTATTATGGAAAAGTCTATTATCTAGCAAAGTACATTTGTGACGAGGAGGAGTACTTGATACAGGCTGTAGAGGAAGGCAAGGCAGAGGATATTCAAGAATTTCTTGGGCAAGTAGCTGCCAAGGCAGAAATTTGTGAGAAAGACCTGGATAATCTTATTGAATGCCTTAAAAAAACTCTTCTGCAGCAAGATGGAGACCTCAAGAGGAAAGAAGATGCACAGTCAACAAAAATAATTGGTATTGGTACATCTATAATTGGAGTTATAATACTAACAGGGTTTGGACTACTTGCAATAAGTTCTAAAGGAGACACTAGAAATCTTGGTTTTAAAGGATTCGTTGCTGCTCTTGCAGTTACCTCAGCTGGGATTTTTGTTGCCATAAAAGGATCTTCAACAAAATCCAGCAATCAAGATGATCACTATTGTACTTTATTTGCCATCGATGAAATAAAATCATTCTTTAGTCAAAGTGAGAGTAAGCTTTGTACAGCTAAGAATCGTCTAAAGTCAGCAACAAATCTCATTCAACCTCAGTTGCAAGACAGTCGATCTGTCAAGAGTTCGCTTGTTCAGGACATAAGAGGTATAACAGAGAGTGCTCGCTCTTTGAAAGAATATTGTGAAGAGTTTAAGGATACAAGTAATCTTGAACATTTCATTTCATACTTCACAAGCAAAAAACACAACACTATGTAGCCAGTGATATGCATTTAGTTAGTTTATGTTATTTGAACTGAAATGAATGCAATTGTCATAATTATTGTTTTTGTATAAACTTTGTCAGTCATTTGTCATCATTACAAGAGCACTTACTCAGCAGTAATGAATTAAATTGTTGAAATATGTAAATAAACATGTAGCAGTTATAAAAGCTGAGATTAATAATAGACAAAATATTTAGATATTAAAATTTTGATAAAATTAAAAAATAGCCGCTATTATAATTATTTCAATAAAATTAATTATTAAAATTCCATTTGGTCATATGACCCGGCTAAGCAAGCCACTACTCATGATGTTGGTAAACTAATTATTCATGACATCATTCTTCATATATGTCACTCTGCTCAATTAGCAAATTACTCTGAAGATCATACTTGCTTATGCAGCAAACTTTAAAAGCAGAATAGAGCTAATATCACGAGTCCTGCTACTATTTAGTACACCTATGTGGTTAGTGTTGTCTGTTTTATCATTTTTCCCACCCACTTTAAGAGTAAGCCTTGACTTTGCTTGTTTTGGGCATGGATCTACAACTTCAGTGTGATTCACTTAAGCCTATTGAGGAAATTTCAGTTGAAAATCTTGCTGAAAAAGTCACTGCATAACTAAGAATTACAATCCAAGCACTCCCAGATACTTTAGAGTTTCAAAATACCAGCAGTGGTCCACATGACCAAAAAGTAACTGAAGCCGTTCAAGAAGCTCAAAAAGCAGTCGACTCATCTTTCATAATTGCAAAGGATTATGTCAGCAAGGTTCACTTACTTGCCAAGTACATATGTGATGAAGAACCATACACAATCAAAGCAATTGAGGAAGGTAATGCAGAAGAGTTCAAGGACTACCTTGAAGAAGTATTAGAAAGGTTGAAAAGATGTCAAAGCAATTTTGAAGCATCTATAACATTTATTGATAATAACACCAAAGAGTTAGATAAACAAAAAGAACAAGTTGAAGAAAGAAAAGCAATTCCTACATCAGGAGGAGCAACACTAGCTGCTGCTTTAGGATTAACAAGTAGATTGACTACAGGGCACTGTGAGAGAGCACTCAAAGCAATTGAAGAAATGAAATCTAATCTCCAGAAAATTGAAGAATCATTAAAAACTGTAAATGCAGCATTGATGGCAGAAATTGATCATAATTATACAGATATATCTGATTCTAAGCTTAAAAAGCTTAGCGAAAATAGGGGAGTAGTCAAACGAGCTCTAAAAGCAAAGGTAAAAGAAGTAACAGAAGGAACAAATCGTTTAAAAGAGTACTATCAACCTCTCAATGAGTCAAAAAACCATAAGGAATTTATACAGAGGATTGCATCTACATCTTAAGATTAATGCCCTCAGTCCTAAACTAATTGGAATTAGTTTGAGCAACATTTTAGTGTAGTTAGTTTTGTCATTTGCCATAACATTAATAACTATTAATAATTTTTGTTAAGTTAAATAATCTTATTCTTTTATTTGTTTTTAATATAAATTATTGCACAAATTATTGCTTAATGTACACTCTATCACCAACTTTAATGTTACCAGGTGCAATGATACCATAGTCAGCTCCAAACAGAGGGCCACCTCCTGCATAGCGGCTGTTCTCTACTCCATACACTTGCTCATAGCTCCTGTATGTACGGAGGGTTTTCAATGGCTCTCCATCAGAAGACTTGACTCCTAACTCTTGATCTACTGTTGTCACTACACATCTAAACAAAAAATATCATTAATATATTACTATTATTATACAAAGACATTTATAATAGTCAATTGTTATAGAAATAAATATACATTAATAATGTTGTACTGACCTTTGACCTGGTGTTATTCCACGAAGTATGCAGCTGTCTCCTATTTTAATCTCTGACCAACAATCCTACAAGTATATTAATATTATATAAAATAAAGTGGTACAGACTAACCTCTTCATGAGGTGGACAGCCAGAAATGATGATGTTGGGCCTGAAACGAGTCATAGGAACAGGTTGAGCTAGTTTGGCATTGAGTTTGTTCAGAGACGACTGAGAAGCAATGAAAACTGGAGCAAACTGAGCAAAACTAGTCTAAAAAAATAACAAATAATAAAATAAACTAAACTATTAATAAAAATAAATTCTGCTAATAATATAATTATTATTATACTTCATCTTTTGGCTGGCAGATATCAGAGTATTTATGATGATCAACTAGTTTCCTTGGCTTTTGATCAGGTGACATGTACTTAATCCTGCATCCCTCAATACCAGTTAGACGAGATATCCAGTCAGCAGCTGCATCACCAACATCATACGCTTCACCAGTCATGTTAAACAATCTAAAAATATGATACATTATTTCTCCGCCATTTTCCAAAAATTTGCTTCAAAATTTGTGCTTTAATGTTGTGTTGAAAAAATTGAGGAACTTAAATTTACACCTTGTTTTTATCTTGTGGTGCTAATAAGGTGTGAACAAGCTTACACAAATTTCACAAGAGCATTCATCATTAAAATATTAAAGATAATTTTAAATCTACAATTCACATGTTAGGTTTGACTTATTATTGTTACTTACTGGACACTAGACACTGGAGCAGGATTATCTGCTGATGGTGGTTCAATTGTTATTGCTTCCATTCCAGGCGCATTAAGAACCAGTGTTGGATTCTTTCCATTCTCTTCTACCAAAGGAAGTACCGTTGCTAAAACTGGAGCCTTGCTCTGATAGACTATCCTGCCATCTTTATCCGTCACCACCCAACATCTATAAATATAATAGGTGGGCAGAAAAATTCAGAGAGAAATATAATGATTATTAAAAATATGCATAGTGGGCCATTACAAGCTAAATTTTATAGTAGTAATTTTTATAACCAAAAACAATGGGTTATAGTACAGCGTCTTGGGCCAAATTTAGGCAAAAATGAAAAGGTGAGAATTTTCCATTTTTATAATTTTTCTGATACACATACATTTTGTAAGTAGTTTGAGCTCATTCCAATCAAAATTAGATTTTTTTTAAATTTTTAAAGTTGCTCCAAAATTGGGCCAACTAATTTAACAAATCATAGCCATTATAGATCTATAGATTGTAGTTGTACTTTACTGCTATACCTGTCATTCTTAAAGCCTCTGGCAAGACATTCAATCTCATTCACTTCCAATCTGTGAGCAGACTTCAATGGATACAACCACAATTGCTCCACAATGGCCACAGGCATTGTAAAATCTTCAGGTCGACTTGCTCTGCTTCTCTTCCTCCTGGAGCAGTACCAGTAGGTTACAGCAGCTAATCCTGCAGCTCCTACAGCAGCAACTGTTCCAATTATTATCCAAGACTGCTTACTCAGTGATGACATGTTTTTCTATAGGTGTGGCTACCAGCCTACCACCAAATTATCATAGGGAATAATGGAAGGCAAGTTTGAGGCTGTGCTTCACGATGATTATTACAAAGATATTGAGTTGTGTGGGTCTAGTTGATTTTTTGCTTATTTTTAATTTATTTGTACACAGGCTGGTTTAGTTGTGGTTTAATTGCTGATAAAAAGGAAGCTGCACAAATTATAAAGTAAATAATCAGTGTTTGTGGTAGGTAGAGCCTAATTGTAATGTTTTTCATTCAGAAAATTAGCAATTTCACATCCAATGTCAAATTATTTGCATTTGAAACGAGTCAAACAATTTAATGATGGTAAGTCAGTTCGCTTTTAGTTGTATCCCATATGGTCTAGCGGTTAGGATTCCTGGTTTTCACCCAGGCGGCCCGGGTTCGACTCCCGGTATGGGAACACCTTATCTTTTTATTCTTTTTTTTTTTTTTTGCATTTTTGGCTTTTATTTTTTTATTCTTTTTTGCATTTTTGGCTTTTATTTTTACAGAATTACATGTACTTATAAAAAGGGTAGAAGATAATGAAGATTCCATGCTTTTTATTGAAGGCATCACACAAATTTATACTATTCAGGTTCCTCTTAAAAAACCACTTACTCGAAAGCAATTTATTGAGTCTCAAAAATTCTGGAATTGCCACTTTTTTGAAGATAAAAAGTAATAATTGTTTGATTTATTGCTAATAAAAATTTTTTGCACAAGGTTAGAGAAATATGTGGCTGGATTAATGTTTACGTCAGAAGAAATAGAAAGACATAAATGCTACATGAAACTTGCTCAAGATGAAGCAACAAAGATTATGTCACCAGCAGGTATGTGATAATGGACATTAGAAAAAGGATCATATAGTTATGTATTAACGATGTTTAAATCTTGACAAATAAGGCAACTTTAAAAATAGAAATCAAGCTGATAACATTATAAGGACATGTATATGTAATAATAAAATGAAGAATTCTTTTTTAGCAAGAGTACATATTACTCTTGTTTTTAGCCATTTTTAATAATCCTGTAGTTTTTTAAGGAATCTAAAAATTCGTAAAAATTCAAATTTTATCGGAGTCAACTCAAATTTAAAACACAGAATAAAAACATGTATATGTATCAGAAAAAATTATAAAAATTGAGAATTTTCATTTTTTCATTTTTGGCGAAATTTGGCCAATGACCCTGTACTATAGTACAGGGACTTTGGCCTGATTTTGGAGTAATTTTAAAAATTCATAAAAAATCCAATTTTAATCGAAATGAGCTCAAATTTTCTACATAACATAAAAACTTTTGTATGCATCAGGAAAAAATATAAAAATTGAAATTTTTCTCCTTTTCATTTTTGGCAAAATTTGGCCAAAATCCCTGTACTATAGTACAGGGATTTTGGCCTGATTTTGGAGCAACTTTAAAAATTTGTAAAAATTAAATTTTGATCAAAATGAGTTCAAACATGTTGCATGTATGATATATTAGAAAAACTACAATTATTATGCGCTAGTATTCATGTAATATTACCAAATGTCTGAATGTCTGATGAAAATAATGATACCTACTATAGGTGGACTTATCGTTGATCCTGAACAGGATATCATACTTGCTAGAGGCTATACTAATACAAAATGGCACCCTCTCCAACATGCAGTCATGAAATGCATTGATGAGGTTGCAAGACTACAAGGAGGTGGAGCCTGGAATGAACCTGCAGCTGTGAATAGAACTAGTGATGATAAAAGAAGAATATCAGTAGATATTGATGGTACTGCTGTAGAGCAAGAGTCTGGAGCTCCTGTTGAAAAAAGAAGCAAAATTGAAAGTTATTTATGTACAAAGTATGACCTCTATACCACACATGAGCCATGTATTATGTGAGTTGATTGCTGCAATGAAATAATGATGATACCAATGTATCTGTTGTAGGTGCTCAATGGCTCTTGTTCATTCAAGGATAGGAAGAGTTTTTTACATTCATCCGGATCCTTTTGCAGGCGGGATAGGGTCTAGGGTAAAGATTCACTGCAGAACTAACATTAATCATCATTTTGAAGTATTTAGAATGCATGACTTTGATAAAAAAGATCTGTATAATGAGTAATGACAGCAATTTATTGTAAAAATAATTAGATTTACACTCCACCCATAATCATGGAGAGGTTGTCAGAGGTTTCTTTTATCCTCCGTGGTAAGTCTCTCTTTATTTATTGCTGATATTAAATAGCATTCAGAGCTAGGTAATGATGCATTTGAATCCATTGGGTCTACTCATTTACCCGGATTTACTGGAATTGTGTTTGGTGGTCACATCCTTTCCTTGGCAGTCAAAGCTGCAGCTCTGACATTGAGCCATTCCTCTAGTGATCGTAAACTGGTTAGACTCATTGATGCAGTCCATTCCTCGTTCATTAGACCTGTTAAAGTTGCTGCTAGTGTCACGTATAAGGTGTACAATAAGAAGGATGGTGCCCTATTCTCTCATCGCAGTGTATCAGCACTACAAGAAGGGAAATTAGTTTTTACTTGTTTTGTGTCATTCAAGTCAGTCACAGGAAATAATCAAACTGGAAAGGTAATTTACAATAATCAAGAAAAGCCATCAGTTCCTGGACCAGGTCATCCCGAATGTTTGTCTCCTGAACAAATAAGATTTCATGACTTAAAAAATTTTCCATTTCAAGTTTATTTTGCCTCTCCAAGTGAATGGCGTAGAAAAGATTGGGACCCAAAAGATCCAGGAGCTGTTTCCCCAGTACCTATGAGAGCCAGGTTAGCTTTATATCAGGGATGAGGTGGTTTGAAAATACCACTGACAGCTAAATTTACACACAATGTTCGTCTTTTAATAATAGGCTACCTGTATGGATGAAATCAAAGCAACCAGTACAAAGAGTTCCAAGCTACGAAACTAATCAAAATAATAATCGTCTTGCTATACTTCTTGCATCCGACTATGAATTTGGAAGATTGATAGAAATTGCCGATCCATATTTGTCATGGGATAAATTTGCAACACTTAATGTTAGCCTGTGGTTTGAGGATACTGATGTTAACATTGATCAATGGCACCTCTTTGATATGAAGCTTCTATCTGCAACAAAATGGGCAAGCAATGCAACATTGTTATGCATGTCAAAGTAATTTTAAAACACTCTATTGTAGTCATTATTTATTTATTGTTTTGTAGAATATTTCAGAAGGATGGTGCTCTTGTCGCTACTGCTGTGCAACAAGGATGCTTCATATTTTCAAAATTATAAAAAAACTAAACGATGATGATATTTTTTAGTTTTAGATCAAGATAATTAAAGTTTATAAACCTTATTAAAACCTCGCCCTTATCATGGATGATGCCTTAAGTTTGGAAGGTAATGATTTTTTTTTACTAAAAATCTAACTCTATTGGTTTTTATAGTCATTGGTCCGGATTTATATGAGAACATACCTCCATCAAGATCTCGACCATCAGTCTATGGCGGTCACACAGTCTCTGTAGCAATTAAAGCAGCACTGCTGACATTGAGCCAAGAGTCTGCATCTGATAAAGTTATCAATTCAGTCCAATCTTCATTTGTAAGACCAGTTAGACCACTAACTAGTGTCACGTATAAGGTGTACAATAAGAAGGATGGTGCCCTATTCTCTCATCGCAGTGTATCAGCAGTACAAGAAGGGAAATTAGTTTTTACTTGTTTAGTGTCATTCAAATCAGCCACTGGAGACAGTCAAACTGGAAAGCTGATTTACAATAATCAAGAAAAGCCATCAATTCCTGGACCAGATCATCCTGATTATATCTTGAGTAAAAATCATGAGTCGTATCCTATCATTGTCAAGTTATTATGGCCACATAAAAACGAAGCAGGTCTACCTACTTTACCAACTTTACCAAAGGTACCAAGGTAAGGAATGTATCTAGTCCATGACCACAGTCATCAGAGTCATTCTTGTATATTTATAGTGGGGGGGGGGGGTAAATCCTGTTTTCCAGCTCAAAGATTGCATTCCACTTACTTTGTGTTTCAATAGGAGCTGCGCGTGGATTAAACCAAAGAAGGCTGTCACATCTCAAGATCAAAATGACAACAGAATTTGGATATTATACGAATCAGATACAATATTATCGTCACAAATCCTCCCACAATTCCCGGACGTTAAATTCACATTCTATACATCACTGGATCACAGTGTATGGTTCAGTGACTCTCCTTACAAGATTGACGCTAATGATTGGTATCTTTACGACGCCTGTTGCTTATCCTCTAATTCTCATACAAGTCTTAACACATTGAGGTAGAATTAATGAAATGTACCGTTTTATAAATTAATGCTTTATTTTTTTATTTTTCAGAGTATATAGTAAGGATGGTGAATTGGTAGCTACTGCAGTCCAGCAAGCATATATACAAACAGCTACAGCTAAACTATAGAATTAGCCAGGCGAATTTAAACATTGAGGGGGGCGAGCATGACATTTTTTGAAATTTCAATGATAAAACTTGCTGCAGTGATAGTGCTTATTGTAGAATCATTATTGCTTTGCTTTGCTTAAAATCATTATTATTGTCAATAAAATCATTATTATTATTATTATTGTTAAATAACAATTTGGTATATGAAAGTAAAAAGCCACTTTTAGCTATATAAGTTAAAAGCAAATGGCTACTGGGAGTTATGACTCTCTTTCAGTCACCACTTCCCCCTCCTACTCCAATCCTTTGGTGTCCATTGTATGCACTTTGGATCAATGCGTATTTTCCTCTTTGCCATCGAGCGCTCGTGATGCTCCAGTATTTCATTAGAGAGACTGATGACGTACTGTCCCTTGTAGTAATGGATGAGGTTGTGATACTGAAGAGTAGACGTGACGTCATCTTTACGTATACTTGTCTGTTCACAGAGCTCACTGAGAAAATAAAAAAAGAGCTAAGATGAAATGAAGCATACAAAAGACGCACTGTACAATGCATTGAAGTGTAAATGAACCACAAAATCCTCACTTGATTGTCACAAAAGGTATCGTCTCGTCTTCTTGGTTCTTCATGTTGATCAAGACTTCAAGTAGTGTCTGAGTCCAGTAGCTCCGATATGACAAGAGACCAAGATCTGAGAGCGGCTTCTCGGGTGAACCAGTTTTACCCTCAATCTTTGAGAGCTCATAACCTAAAGAAAATAAATTAAACCAGTGATGTACATGCACACAAAAAACATGCACCATTTAAAAATTGTTATGTAAATGAGACATTTATGTGTACATGTAATTTTGCATACATGCTTCTTACTAAATTCTATCAGTAATTTCCCGTAGCCTTTTCTCTGGTAGCAAGGCAATGTAAGAATACAAGCAACATTGTAATCTTCTGAACTCTCTTTCTCCTATTCATGTAGACATTTTAAAACAGATACAATCCTTCTCTTGATTACTTTAGAAAAGTAGCCCACTATATGAAACCCATGCTCATCATACTCTGTCATTATATAGAACAGGAACGGGTCTGTGTCATAGTACAGTGTCTTGTGGTCCAAAAATAACTTCGCAAGCAGACACAAATTTTGAGAGTAAGCCTACCAAATTTAACGGGCAACCCAGTAAAAATGAATCATTACTTTGTTTTTCCGACCATCAATCTCAAAAAAAGAGATTGTGTCTTTTCTGTATATTTCATTTCCAGGAGGATGGAAGATATTACACTTTGTCTGTGGTAATAAAGAATACACTTTATATATAGCTTTACAGCAAAACGTACAAAACAATAATGTTATGCATACTCAATTCATTCTATTGTACAATAATCTTACTCTGTGTCTTGCAAGACATGTCAAGCTCTTCATGTATTTAAGACAAAACTCACACAAATAAATAACCGGCTCTGTAGTGAGCTCTTGAGGATAGGGAGAGAAGTACCACGGCTTTATCCTGTGCCTTCCCAACTCGAGCATCTCAATATTCTTCATTCTCGTGACAACGTCGTCACTCGCGTGAGTTCCTATTGGTCGATGCATGCTACCAGTTTGAGGAGGGAGCTGAGCTGGACTGGATTCACCTCCAACTGGCTCAGAGGAATTCTAAAAATAGAAAGAAATAGAGGGGGCATTAGTGAAATAAAATAATCGGTCACTATCACTATACTTTAGGAACAAAAATTAATACTGGTGACAAGGGAAAGAAGTATAGTTTGTGAAAGAGAGTAAGAGAGACATACAGAACAAATAACAAAGAGACAACACTAACATCATTCTCATTCTTCCTCTTCCTTCCCAAAGCTACCGAGGACCTTCTACTGCTACTAATGACAGTCTCTCCGGAGGACGGAAGTGGAGAGCTTGCTCCAGATATAGTTACATCAGGCGACACTGCCCGTGATGTGTTCTTAATGAGAGCAGCTGCTGCAGTGGAGGTCTGGGACTTTGACTCTTTACGAGGTAATTGTATGTGATCGATGTCAAGTTTATCTGCAGTAACCCATTCGTCCAGCCTCTTATTGTCTATAAATAAATAAAAATCAACTCAAATTTCATTAGAATACTTCTGATTTAAACAAAGGTTCGAATATGGATATTACAATCACAAAATTCGTATTAAAATTTTATAAATTACTTACAGCTATTGTAATGGACATAGAACCTCCACTGACCGTTAGAGTCACATTTCTTACTAATTATCTCGGCCATTGCTAAAAATGGCAAAAATAAATTATCCCAATTAAAGCACACACTATTCTAATTAAAGCACATTACTTACGCCATTCCTCTTCGTCCATTGTTTCTGATCTCAAGCACACCGGCAGTTGACATCCTTCAAATATACAATCCTGTTAATGATAGTAGATATCATGGAGCACTATATGTATAGTGTATGTACATGCATGGCTATAAAAAGATGGTTCATATTTGATCAATAAGCTTAAATCTGATATAATAAAAAGTGAGGTATTCTTTCACTCAAATTAATAAGGCAGGCTTACATATGGAGAGATAGAAGCTGAAGAATCACCATTAGTAACAGAACTCTCTCTAGACGCCATTTTTAAAATAGGAGGGGCTTAAATTTAAGTAGCCACGCCCTTTGTAATTCACGTGATGACATAAACCACACCTCTTGCACACGTGGGTAAATATGGCGACCTCTTTGGAAGGTAATTAATAGTTTGTACTGTTTTTACTCATTTATAATGATACTATTAGAGCCTACTAGTTCTGAAGCTGGTGCATTTGAAGAGGTTAGGTCAAAAAGAAAAAGAAAGAAGACGGAAATGGAATTAGAAGGAGTAGGGACTGAAACAAAACGACCTTCTTTCCCTCCCATTGATGCCTCGTCTGTTCTAGTAAGACAGTAACTGTATTACTGTTAGATAACCATATGGGCTAAAGATATTATTAGTAATTCTAATTTATTTGATATTGATTTGATATTGATTTTAATTTTTAAAACTCCCATCTCAGGGTGTTAAACCAGAATTTCGTAGCATACCTGTCCCACCTCACAGATTTAGTCCGTTGAAGGATCAGTGGATGAAGATATTCACGCCAATTGTTGAGCATCTGAAGCTTCAGATTAGGCTCAACCTAAAAAAGAAACATGTTGAGATCAAAGTAAGTACATACATGTATACTATTATTATTATTATTATTATTATTATTATTATTATTATTATCATCATCATCATCTTACTGTTGATAAATAATTAATATTATTTATTGTAAAATTTAATAATAAAATTGGACAATTTTGACCAGTATGCATTTTCTTTTTTTTTTGTTTCAAATTTGAACTCATTCCGATCAAATTTGGATTAACTCACTGGCTGTACGATTATTGTTAACACTAGTTTCCTGACTGATCTCATTCTGTTAACACAAGAATGTGTCCCATTCACACGTACATGGTGCCACAGACCCTAATTCATATAATGTTAGTCCAGTGTTGGAATGCAAACAATATTGTCAGAAACCATTAGCCCATTCCTTTAAACTCAATTACATTAACTTGACATTATATAAATACAATATATTATATCTATAATGACTTGATCTTGATACTAAGAAACGATTGAGTCCAATGACTTAGTCATTACAGTACATTATTCAGTACATTAATACAGGCCATATACATTATGATGGTAGTTAGATCATTCCGATTAGTAATGGCTCACATAGCATTTACTGAATATTAATACTATTATACTAGTGATGTCATGATGCTAAGATTGATAAGTGTTAAGTATTGGCTATTAATTTAGTGCATGTACCTCATTTCTCCTTTTTGTAATAATAGTAAAATTTTTAATTATTGTATGTCGCACTTCTTATAATTATCGAAATAAAACTCCATCTCTTATTGCATAGAATGTGTGTGTGTGTGTGTGTAGGATTGGCTGTGTTTCATTCTTATCCAGTGAGATGTCTTCCATGTTTTGTCAGCAACAGTAACCTCATTCGATGATCATAGGTTATTATCAAAGAATGGGATGGGAGCTGTTGATATTAATTATCATTTGATTTTAATATGCGGTATGTATGTACTACACTTCAGCATTCCATTAAGAGTCGAATTACATGCCCATAGGTTCCTTGTAATGATGTACATTAATGATACTATATTGATGTACATGTACAACAGTAATAATTGGTTACATATGTTATATCAAGAGTACATATTAGGTATTATGTATTAGGTATTATGTACTCTTGGTTATATATACATGTATATATATAATACATGTACATGTATATTTACTTGTCAATTTTTATCTCAGATGCACATACATGTATACTGTATACCATGTATGTATTATTATTATTGTTTAGTTACATAATTATTTTAACAAATTCTATGCTCAATTCTTTTATTTATTTAATGGATAATTTAACACCATATAAGAGCCATTATACACTGCCTCAGGTATTGATTATACAGTAGTAGTACAGTACTTAAAGTGTTCACTGCAGCACAGTTCAGTTATAGTATTATTAATAGTATCAGCTATAGCTTACGTAGCATGTGATGACACTGTTACTTTGAAACAATTATATAAATTAAGTTAACTGTCACTGGGTTTACATTGCATAGCTGTTTAATTCAATACACTACACACACACACACTCTCTCTCTCTGCTACATGTTGTATTATTAATGTACATAAATGAATGCATACAGTATACAGTATATAGTGTATGTTCTGTTTCCTTGCATTATGAAATTTGGTGATTGTTTTGATTTCAGTGTTGTGTGTTGAGTGGATTCTGTTATTAGCTTAGCGTGTCCATCATTGTCTTTGTGTGTGTTTATGTGTTTGCTCTATGTTGTGTCACAGTGACTGTAATACTAATAATTTGTTTACTATATCCTTTTTGTTGTTTGTATGTTTGAGATTTACTTAAAACGAGCTCTTTATTATTAACATTATTATTATTATTATTATTATTATTATTATTATTATTGTATTTTTCCCAGACCTCACAGCACACGACTGATATTGGGTCTATACAGAAAGGAGCTGATTTTGTGAAGGCATTCATGCTTGGGTTTGAAATCGATGTAAGCAAAAAGGCCATTGTTGTCTGTACATGGAGAATAACAGGCTATGTGCTTGTCTTTTTGATGCATTAAAATTGTATGTTGTTTGAAAATACATCTAATTGTTTGGTATGGTTGTGCTTGATTGGCGAGTTCCTGTTTATTCCGACAGTAAGAGAGAGGCAGTTACATGTAGATGCAGCTGTAAGCATGCATGTACCACAGTACCAGATACAAGTAAACATTTCCTGATTACAGTTTTAACTGACACTCTACTCTATCCATATTATGTACATGTGCATGTGTGCAATGTAGCTAACAGCTGCTACTTTTTTGCTTATTATAAGCTCTTTCTTTTTTTCTTTCTCTCTCTTTTCCTTTTCTTTTTTAGGATGCTTTAGCCCTTGTAAGGTTAGATGATCTTTTTGTTGAAACTTTTGAAGTACAAGATGGTGTGTACATGCATATTGTATTTTCATTTCATAGTTATTATTCTATGTATATACAATGTAGTTCGTTCATTGAAAGGTGATCATCTCTCAAGGGCTATTGGTAGGATTGCTGGGACTGGAGGGAAAACTAAATTTACAATTGAGAATGTGACAAAGACCCGTATTGTATTGGCTGACAGGTTTGTCTCAGTAAACTAGCTCAGTCTATTTTTAGTAAATCCTTTCAATTCTGTATAACACAGTAATCTTTCAGTATATTATCAGTAACATCATTTTTTATTATTGAGCTTCACTTCTCGGTGTTTTGAAGGAAGTATTAAAGATGTACACGTACACAATGGCTCACCTGTACCTGCTGGGTATTTGTTTTGTGTATACACGTAAATATTTGATTAATAAATTAATTATTATTTCGCTGGAATAATGTTATGTCATGATTTTCTAATATATCATATTCTAGTTTTTTTTATTATTATTTGTGTATAATCATCCTGCTACAGCAGGACATGGTGTAGATAATCTTATATGGTGTACTTGTTGCTCTGGTATTGTCACTGATGTCATTACAATATTGTTGGACATCTTGTTACTATGTGTTTATTAGAACATACTCTCTCTCTCTCTCTCTCTCTCTCTCTCTCTCTCTCTCTCCTAGCTGTTTATCACTTTATTACACACACACATGTACACAGTTCACTTTTGAATCAATGTGTGTATTAATATTATTATTATCAATAGTCATGTACTTATAATGTACATGTACATGTACTTACTCATGTGGTTTTTGCACTGTCAGCAATGGGCCACTCTCCAATATGTCTTGCCTCATTAGCTTCAACTAAATTTATTTCAATTTTTTATGTACAATATACTTAGCACATACAGGTATATATACATGTACAATAGAATAATGATGATTGTTAACATGACTCTCACTTGTTGTTAAATCTGCAATTACTAACTATGATGTCAAACTGCCTCAGCGGAAAGAGTTCAATAAATATCATACTACAAACCATAGCTATTACGCATTATTTTACCAAGTATATAATTACAATGATTTACATTCAGCATATTGTATGTCAGTGTTTCTATACACTTGTAACCTTTTGATGTCATGATATATATGGTAACACGTCATAGAATGACTGTATATGACTGGAGAATGAGTCATAATTGCATGGAGTATGGGATGAAGCCATGTGCGCCTTAAGGGTATGTAAATGTATACGTGATAATATAATTATAGAATCTATTAGTAATGTATTGAGATGCTTGGGGGCATTTCTTGCACTTTATACTCCCTTCAAATTATGTATGGAAAGGTGTATAAAAGGTGTAGGAGCCCTCTAGGTAAATAATATGGAGTAATTCCTTTGATATGTTTCATTGAATTTCACTGGCCATGCAGTTTCATATTGTATTGCCTCCTCCATCTCTAATTCTTATTGTAGCCTTTTATCCCTACCTGTTGTGCCAGTGTGTGATGGCTGTAGTCTTGTGAATTCATTTGAGTTTTGAGTATACACTTTAAATTATTTATAATTCCTGTCCATATTATTGTTATGCCTCGTTTCTATGGCTAAATGATCAGACCAGCTGTTATTATGCATTCATGGCCCCGTTTGTGGTTCTTTGTACAAATTAACGTACACATGTATGTGTGTATGTATTTATGGGCCATTTCTCTATTTACATCATAATTAAGTTAGTTCAAATATTTCAATATAGTCTGTACTGTGTATTGTCTGTAATTGATCATAAGTCAAAACACTATTATTGCCACTGCTACCATTTGTGTCCCCTATACATGTACATATATTATATTCATTGTGCCTGTGGCAATCCTGTTATTTTCCCAATAAGATAATGCCTTAAAATTACTTTATTGCATATGTTAATTGGACTAGTACATGCATGTATAACATATGTTAATGATTCCGTATGTTTTTTCCTTTATGTTGCAAACACCATAGCACAGGATATAATTATAATTAACTTGTTGACGAATGCTATTTTTGCTTTATCTCTTCGCATTATTGGCAGCCTTTGAAAAATTATTATGAGTCAAGCATTTATAAGTTTACTAACTTTTCCTGGCAAGTAAATGCTACTCGTTTCATTTCTTTTGACAGGAATATTACATCATTCTTTATTTCATATGATTAGAGAGAGAGAGAGTGCTAATATGTTAATGCTGATACAGTAGGTGTCTGTGTGTTCATGTGACTCTATTTGATCTATAAGAAGTTGCATCATGTCTTTGTCGCATAACCTTTTATGTATATATATACTGTAAGTAATATGCTGTCTAGATTATAGCTATTAGGAGGAAACTGAAAGCTTATTTTATAAAGGAAAGTGTTAGTGTCATTTATTTGTGTATGACTGTGAATGTGGGGGTATTAGGGAGTAGAGCTTGACTTCCTTGACATCCAGTAATTTGTTATAATGTTATAATAATTGAGCTATGTAGCACCGACTAGCTCTCCCACTTGTACTCCCCTCTCTTTATATTATTTTATTATTTCCATCTCCCACTCTATAATTACTGAGCATTTATCGTATCTATTATTAATAGATTGTAACTCTAAAATTATTGTCTGTCACTTTTTCTCTTTTGTTTCAATGGAGCTGTTATATTCATGATGATTTTCATTATCATAATAGACATATTCTCTTATTCTGTATCCTAAAATTAGTGTTACTATATTTAGAACATACACATAATGCTCCAGCTACATTGTATTTCATGTACTCTGTATTATGTGCATTCAATTTTTGCTCCCTTTATCCTCCTCCTCCTCTTCTCCTCCTCCACCTCCTCCACCTCCTCCTCCTCCTCTACAATTTGTGCTACTCTTGTTTATGTACACACTGGCTTACCAGCAGCCTCTCTGTCTCTATGTTGTACCTGCTTTGACTTTGTGTAGTGCCAAATAGGTCGTGGCCCTTCTACTTGTTTTGTATATTTCATGTCCTTTTTGGTGTACTCTCTCTGTATTAAGTGCAGCCCCTCATTCATTTCTATGTGTATATATTCCTCTTTAAGTTATGTATTACCATATTCCCTTTACCTTTAATTAACAATATCTTTTATCATTGCATTGTCAATATGTACTCAAATTGGTTTGATTATTGTTTATCATTCTACCAAGTGTCCCTATGTTGTTTACAGCAATTGGAATATATACCCTTGCCTTAACATACATGCATTAATTGCATCAATTTTCTTATGCAATTTATAGTGATCCTTCACGTATATGTACTTGTATGTAGATTGTAGACCACTTTTAAGGTGTCTGGATTATTGGCTGCGAGTGATGTACACGTACATGTATGCCTTGTACCTCCTCCTCCTCCTCCTCTCTCCTTCTCAATTTAGTATTATACATATTTCTCTGATTAGAATATGTAGGAGTACGTGTGAAGGTGTGATTGTTCTAAGGGCATCAGTATAATAAGGAGTAGTGTTCAAATTACATGTACATGCTATTTCTTTCCTCTTTCTTTATCCTCCTTTATTTGCTACTTTCTTTCAAATTAATTCAATTTATTTAATGTACATGTTTGTACATGTACATGTCTTGTTGTCTTCTGTCTTTTGTTATTTTCTGGAACTCACGACAGTCGTGATTTGGCCAAGGGATGATAATAGAATTCAATAATTGCTTTGAAGTATGTGTACCAGTAACCACAAGTGTATGATCTATTAGTAAATACAAATAGCCAAACAGTCATAGTCCATAAAGAGAAGAAGTACATGATGAACATTGTCACTGTGTGATGTAATATACATGGGGTCAATGATGCAAGTGATATGGTTACTATGTGAAACAAATACCTATACCATATATTATCTGACGTTAGCCTGTAGCTATAATGAAGCCTTAACTCATTCTATAGAGCAATATAGGTTCTATTGGTTTATTGTGTGTGTGTGTGTGTGTGTGGCTTTGTGATCTTTTGTTAGTAAATGTATATATTCATCGATATGTGTGTGTGTGTGTGTCTGTGTCTGTGTGTGTGTGTGTGTGCAACTGCATATATTTCCTCAATCTCTGCTAGCCATGGTTTTTTCCAAAAAATGGCTCTGAAATCATCCCAAATTTTAATTACGTTTTCTAATGCATATTGATGTCCTTATGCTATGTAGAAAGTTTGAGCTGATTCCGACTTCAATTTTTTAAGTTCAGTCATTTTAAGAAAATGTCAAAATTCTGAAAAAATCCCAAGGCTATAGTCCATGGTTTTTTCCAAAAAATGGGTCTGAAATCACCCCCAATTTTTATTACATTTTCTGATACATATTGATGTCCTTATTCTATGTAGAAAGTTTGAGCCAATTCCGACTTCAACTTTTTGAGTTACGGCCATTTAAAGAAATGGGTCAAAATCTGAAAATTTCCCTGTACTATAGCCCATGGTTTTTTCAAAAAATGGCTCCGAAATCACCCCCAATTTTTATTACATTTTCTGATACATATTGGTGTCCTTATGCTACGTAGAAAGTTTGAGCTGATTCCGACGTCAATTTTTCGAGTTTTGACCATTTTAAAAATAACTCCAACTTTCTACTATTCTTACTACTAGTGTATGCAGTAGCTCATTAATTGGTTCATTCGGTCCTACTGGTGGGTGGGTAACAGCTGGTCAGTAGGTGTCTTGTTTTGGTTCTATTTTCCCTTTAGCTGCCAAATGTCAAGCTGACAATCTATTTATGATCCTAAACTCTCGTCTCCATTGTCCCAAGTCAGACTCAATGATACGCAGCTGTTATGTATTGTGGTTAGATTTGGAGACAATTCAGTATCATATTATAGATCTAACAATGGACTATATTTTTATACTAACTTACTTGATTAAAATGTCCTGCATCTATCAAGTCTGGTATTTAGTATATTCATTGAAATCTTGTTCCTCTTTTATGAGAATTGTTTTATCAGTTAGTTACTATCAACTGATTGTGTTAGTAATAATGTTACTATTGTAGTATGATCATTATTACTATTACTATATGCCATATGTCCCCAGCAGAGTGTACTTTATGTTAGCAGCTGATATATTTGAATGAGTCTAGCAGAGGATGAATGAAGGTGGCATTTTAGAAAAAGTGGGGAGATGGGGAGATCTTGTCCTGTGTGCATGCTTTTGACAAATCTTAAATTAGTGTAGATCTACATGGTATGTACATGTACATGTATGTGTACAATTATCACAATGTGCTGTCTGCCTTTGTCGATTTCTTAAATTATAGAAAAATGAGGCTCAATTCATTAAGATAATTCCTGAAATCCTTGACTTTATTTTTACTATTGGCTATAATTGGCCAATAGGTAATACAAGTCTATAGCATAATATACAAAGTGCATGTGTAATTTACCACACACTCTCACACACACACACCCACACCCACAGAGGGACAGAGGGGGTATAGTGCGCCAGTAGTATGTATATTTCTTATTAACTCATAGACTCTATACATACTCACAGACACAATACTCCTCCACTGTCATTACCTGTACACCTGTACACATGTACATGTACACGTAAGCTATTATGACTTTAATGTTAATATCTTAGACACTAGAGCCTCACCTACCTACATATCCAATACAGTTATAGATTGATCTGTTTTTACCCATTGGGAAGTTGGGCCCTGTATTTTTATTAGGGAATGTGTATGTTGTTATTATAGTATAGTACAGTTCATGTGATGGTGTGATGTTGGTGATGTTATGGTCTGATTATTGTAAGTAATCTTATTTGAAGAGATTGATAAGAATTCTTTTAATTCTATGGTTATACTAACTATTTCCTTTGGGTATGCCTTGATGCCTGTATCCTAGTCATTCATGTATATTAATACACTGACAATGTTAAATGGCACACATTGAATCAATACAGCATCGTATCTACATGTACATGTACATATCTATACTGTGTATGTGTATATGTAAATGTACGTGGATTTGTGTGTGGTAATGATTTATTTATTAACTCTTAGTTCCAGCTGCTTTACATTAGTTATACTGGTATTATGTTTAATGGTAATTGGTAATGGAATGCAGAGGTCCATGTTTTCATATCAGTTTAATTGCTGAACCTTACACAAATATGCAGTCAATCATTCTATCAACAGTATATCCATCATTTCCGACATAAACATAATTGTACTTATGTACATGCAGTACATGTAAGATCACATATGTACTTTTTAACCTTTGTTAAAATGGGCATGCCTTTATTATTGGGGAGTTTCCATATTGTTATTTTTACTATATCAAACTGGTTCCCATCATGAGTACAATGGAGTTGAAAGTTGAGGTTTGCTTGTGGGTTCTGTTTTCCTTTTGTTTGTAAGCTTCAATTTCCTTCTCAAGTGAACTGATAGGGTGTCTGTGACTTTGTGACTATATCTAATAAAGTCATTTCTTACTTGAGTAATATTGCTATATCTATATACTTAATCTCTCCTTTTATCTTTTAATAATTCCCCCCACTTGTTAATACAAATCAAGGTACATGCACATGTAGAAGGCATGTCGGTGTGCATGTTCATGTACATCATAATTATTGCTACAAATTGGTAGCTTTAGTTATATTATGCTTACTACACGCATGACCTTCCCTACCTTCCTATTGTTACTGTATATCCTGTCCATGCATGTATGTATTCATTATTGGGTGATTTTATCTTGTGTATGTTTCACATGTACTCCATGTTTAATCCTGTGAGTACATGTACACATATCCTGATGGGGGGATTTATTGTATCGATGATGACATTAAAAGCAGTCATTTTAACTCTGTTTGGAGTAGTAGAGATTCATAGAGATGATAATAATTTTCATTTAGTATTGTTTTAGTCAGACCATCAGATCATTTGAATCTGTTGGTGGAAGTACTACATAGAGATATAGCCCATCTCATAACTTGATCTGAATCAGCTCTAACTTTTTGTATAGCAATTCATGATTTTTGTAGTTGGAATGACAAAAATTTACGATTTTAAAAGTTAATGCATGTATATTTTGAAGAATGTTAATTTACATGTACATGTACACGTACATTTTATAAAGATGCGTGTATGTGTGTGGACTCTGGAGATTGTTTTGAGCCAATTATTTGAGCGTACAACTTTTTGTTTACTAGTCTCCTTGTGTGTGTGTCCATTCACTGTACGTGCAGCTCACGATAACGTTTATCATTATCAACCTTTATCATGTATTTATACGACTTTTTGGCTTTCTATATTCATGCAAGTTTCCTGTCTCTCTCTCTCTTCTCTCTCTTCTCTCTCTCTCTCTCTTCTCTTCTCTAATTGTGTGGTCATTTCTTGTTGTTTTTGTTATTCCTTTTCTTCCTTTTATCATAAACATGCTTTGACAGCAGCTGTAGAATGTCACTCTCTCTGACGAATTGCCCTCTATAGTGTATTCACATCCTGTTTGTTTAATTAGCTGTGACCATGAATATCGTTATAGACTATGAATATCATTAGCCTTGCCTTGAGATGGTTGTGTGTGTATTTCTCGTGTTGTGTTGACTACATGGTTCGTATTTTCCATAACATTATATAATGTCATTGTGTCTTATGCACAGACTCATCACAACCATGGTAATTCCTAACAACGCCCACCCCCGATTGTTAATCGATACTTGTTGTGAACATAATGTCTTCACTCACTCACCGCAAGGCTTATTAGTCCCAGGATTACTCACTTTATCATTAATATAGTGCATGTATGATGTATTGACAGCTTTATATCAGCTATTTGATGTGATATGATCTGGTCATGCGAAAACTGTTTCTCATGCTACATGGGAATATTGTTATACCAACTGTTATAGCATCATGTGTGTATACGTATGCAGGTGATGCTTGAACGTATAAACAGTGTATGTAAGTTTGTGGGGGTACATGGTATTCTGCTGTGTTGGTATATGGTATGGTGTCTGTACTCATGTCTGTATCTTTAATGAATTAAACGTAATCTCACTAATGGGTCTGTGAGGGTGATGATGTATGTGTCTTTGGCTGGGTCTATAAGTGATGTAATGTGGTCTTTGTGTCTAATATAGAGAGTTCTTTGTTTCTCCTCTTAGCATATGTCGCTTCCCCTTAATATCTGCTACATGTGCATTTTAAATATCAATTTTAAGGGCCATTGGACATTAGGTATCATCAGAATCTGGGGAATACTAAAACATAAGCTTTTTTAGTCTAAACATCATCATACTTATCATTTTACGATTGATGAATCACTCTGTACCTTTTATTTTATGTCTCATTCCTCACTCTCCCTCCCTCCCCCCCTCTCTCTCTCTCTTCCCCCCCCCTCTCTCCCTCCCTCCCCCCTCCCTCTCTCTCTTCCTCCCCTCTTTCTCTTCCTCCTCTCTCTCTCGCCCTCCCTCTCTCCTTTAGCAAGATTCACATTTTGGGCTCCTACCAGAACATCAGAGTGGCAAGACATGCCATATGTAACCTGATATTGGGTAAGTGATACACATTCACTCCTTTGTAATATTAATATGATATTATTGGTGTGAACACCAGCTGTATATTTGATACGGACATTTGAATGGGATTATAGCTTCATTCATTGGCGTATGTGTGTACCCTGTACTACCCCTATAACTCCTCTAGTATTGATTACTTTCCATGGGTAGCTCCTACTATTGACTGGTAGTTTTATGACTCTTCTATGTACATGTACACATTACCAGTTTTGTCTCAGTTTGTCTTTCACTCTTTGTTGTCTTTGACTAAAATTGACCCAAGTTAATGTTTGCCTTCTCTTACGTGTATTTTCCATTTCGTTCGCAATCCTTAATTGTTTATCCAGTGCTCTCTGTAATCTTTTCTAGCTACCACCTATTTTAGTTATAATTGCTCTATTAACCATATTAGCTCAAGTATATTGTACATCTTCTACCCACTCAACTGTACTGTACTATGCACAGATATGCACTTTATTATGTGTTTAAGCTCATGCGTGCATATACAATGTACATGTATTCTGTCTAAATATGGACTATAGCACTTTTGACTATAATAATTACTGTAAGTGTCTGATATATGTACAGTATGTATAGTTACTCTCCTTCCTTCCTTCCATTATGTACATTGTACATTCCATAGGTGTATATGCACTAAAGGATGTGTATATAGAACTAACTATATAGACTGTAGAGAGCCTTGTATTAATAATGGCATTTGTTTTTAATTTAATTTTAGGATGTAATCAAGCTCCTTAATGCAGTTATATGGCATTCCATTAGTTCTTGTGGCGTGCGTTGCATTAAATCCAATGTCATTATAATAATGATACTCATGGAAAGGAGCTATAGAGTCTAGTCTGTGTGGAAAGAGTGACAGATGGAGCTACGTGTACATATATATACATTATATCCTATCTCTGTGTAATTTTGTGATCCACTATAGCCATTTATGTAGTACTGTATATGTATATGCCTTTTCAATGTGTGATGATTGGTTGCATCATCATTACCAATAAATGATCTTTTGTTGTTAATGACTGTACTTATGAAATTAAGATAGGGGCTTGTAGCATTAAGTGCTTATAATTAGTAAAAGATGTCATTCAACCAGCTGGTAGCAGAGTGTACACAGACCAGTTTATGCTGTATACTATATGTGTTTAGCATTAATTTTGACAGCAGTTATAGTGCAAGTATTTACACTGTACTATAGCGTCTCTAATATTCTTTTTCTGTTGACAGCAGTTATAGTGCAAGTATTTACACTGTACTAACTATAGTTTCTCTAATATTCTTTTTCTGTTCATAAATCAAAACAGAAGATGTAGGAGGTGAAGGAATAGAACAATGACTATGAGTGTTGTTTTACACTCCTCCTCCATTCATCACACTCCTTTTTATTGTTTCTCTTCAGAAGTGGGAGTAAGAGGAGGGAGAAGAGAAGGTTTGGCATTGAATCAATGTGCTCGTGCAACAGTGCCTGTATCCCTGATTAGGATAATTAGTTGTTTTGACTACAGTTTAGAGGGTGGGAGGGAGAGTGAGAGAGAGAGGGAGAGTGAGAGAGAGAGGGAGGAAGGGGATAAAAGTGTGCATGTCCATGTAATTGTCATGACTGCTTATTTTGGGCTGTTTTAATGCTTTTTTATTCTAATTTATCAAACAGTTCAATAAACAGCTAGTACACAAGTCGGTTTGTTCATGTGTTAGTGTGAGTGTGTTTATTCGGTTCGTTTGTTTCAACTTCAAACATTGTCATGAAACCATAACACTGTTTATAATAATAATCATCATTTACTGTTTGTGAATCCAGCCCGTGTACAGCATGACTTTATACTTATGTCTTGGTTGTGTTTTTCTAACGATAACAATTATCAATAATTATAAGTTTAATTCACACGAGCTTTGTACACTAAACTGCCTCTATAATTATCCTAAATATTAGTTGGCCTGCACTTAGCTACATGTAAGAGTTTGTCTATGTATTGAAAGTACATGCAATAGTTCGCCTATTACATCTCATATATTATTATGCTTAACAACTATTAATTCCATAATGCATGTACCCTGATCTATTTAGTCATACTATTATCTAATACACAAAGTCACATACTTCATATTATAATGCTCTTACTGCACGTATGTGTCATGCTTTCATATGATTATATATGTACTAATAGCTATAATGAATATAAATCTTGATTGGTTTCTGATGTCAGTCAATCCCCTAACACTGTCTGAGTCTGTCTCCTTATTTAGCATTTGTCTGTATAACATTAGCCTCCTCTATTAGGAACATTGGCTACACAAAGGCAGACATTATTATGCTAAAGTTGCACATGACTTTAATGAGGCCTTTGTTCACTATCATGCATTTATAGTATGTTGTTTGATTTATGCTAATAATACTAAAACTACTAATAATAACTGATGTATAATAAATTGTACATTACATTCATAATGTCAAGCTGGTTGGTTTTGATGCACATACATGCTCTAGCTACTAGTTCAGTAATGAATTCTGCTTGAGCTCCATTTCTCCTCATTTGTACATACATGTAAATACGTGAATAAGAGCTAAGTAGTGTATTCACGACAGTGTTGCACTCGATGTACTTGTATATATAAGGAGTGGTAGGGCTGGGTATGTGACAAGTCTAGTATGAGGAATTTAATCAAGTGCTATTATATCTTGGCTATAGAGTCATTGATCGGTCTATCTGTCACTTTATATTAAACACCGCCAGTAAACAATGTTTCATCTTTCTCCTTTCTTCTTACATTATTTCAATCTCTACCTCCTCTGTCTCTTATTAGATTTTAGAATGACAATGAAGTACTAAATACTAATATTGCATTACTTTCTGCATGTCAGTCTGACTCAGTTTAGTTTACTAAAAGTGCTTGGGGGATTGTCCTACCTAACCACATTTGGCAGGCAGATAATTGAAACTTCCTTTGTAAAGCATGCACCAGATATTGATGGATATTATCAGGCATACTTGCCAAAGGAAGTCTATCTCCACATAATGTGTGTTCAAGTATTTTGTGGACCACAAGACATCTAATAGGCTCCCATAGTCCGGCCCATTTGTGTGTTGTTGTTCGTGCAAAAACTTTCATATTGTTTTTTTTTCTTTCTATTAAGCTAATCATTCGTTGCATTACTTCCCATACTTTACATTCACTACATGTTATACTCTGTGCCCTGCTATACTCCTTTCCTCTCTTTTCACACTTTGTATGTCATAATATAAAGACACTTTGTGACTTTTATAGTACATTGTACTATAAAAGTCTTTGTATTATGAGAATTGGTGACTTGATGGTCGGCCAATAAATGCACAATAGTAAAAACAATTGATTCCTTATGTTCTGTCCTGTGAAACTTCTTTATCTGTCAGGAAATGAGGAAAGGATGTGAATCTGAATTGAGGAAATACCAAATATCCCTTTGGTTTACTTAGCATTTGATTCTTAGTATTAGGCTAGCAGAGTCAGACTGACAATGAAGATGATAGTATTATTGAGTACATATATGGAATACAAGAGGAGAAAGGTTGTGTCTAAGTGGCAGTTGAATTGTCCACATGTGTTTGCACCTGTGCCTCCCTCCATTTTGTATGTTACACATTTATGGGAATTATCATAGTATTTGCCAGCTTGTACCCATACAGTGTTTGTGTGTGCGTCAACTTATGTGTGTTGTGTATTCCTCTCTTTAGCCATTATCTCAGAGTGTCTCTTATTGAATTATTAGTGTTTGTATGCTCGTATCATTTAGGAAAGAGTCTCAATGTGTTTAAATGTGTGAACATGCAACCGTGTACATGCAATGGTACATGCATTTAGGATACACGGGTCACATTTGTTTATTGCAGTTCGTTTGATGCCTTGCTCTGTGTTTTCCCTTACTAATGCATGTACATGCAGATGTGCATATCATGTGTGTACATCCTTTTATGTGTGTCCATGTTGTCATTAATTAATAATATTATGGCAAACATTGCATTTGCATGTGTTAAAATATGGTTTATTTCATATGTGTGGTATTATATACCCTCATTTACTGATGCTATTGCTATACATGTAGGCAGTCCTCCTTCTAAAGTTTATGGGCAAATGCGTTCCCTAGCTAGCAGGACTGCTGAGAAGTTATAAGAGGTCGTGCTCAAGTATGTGAATAGTAAATTGAATTAATGTCTTATCCTCTTTCCCTTTCTTTTTATTAATAGACTATCATGATATCTCCGTTTCAAAATATTATGTTAATTGTTTTATAACATGAACTTTTTTCTCTAAAAATCTGCTCGGCAGATAAAATGTATATATAATTATTATTTATAATAAATTATAATACAAATCTGATTGTTATGATGAGCGTATGTGTGTGTCTGTAGTCCAAGAGAATGAAAGAGAGGGAGAGAGAGAAATAAGAGAAGAGGATTGATATCATTACAGAAGAATTATCTTAATACATGACTATCAGTAATATTATGTGAATGCACATAACGTGCATACATTAATTGTCGTCTCTCGTCTTAATAGTACAAAAACTACATGAGAACAAGTTACTAGAACAAACTGCTCTGATTCGTTCACAGTCTTATTGACGACACCGAATGAACAGTGTGCAAATGGTCACACCAATGATTTCTCTTACAGGAGCTGTATGGCGACAGCCGAGAGAAAAAGATTACGAATGCCCTCCGACTTTAACCGGCCATGACGACCATCTTCCCATTATGTCACTGTCAAATACTGGACTTGAGGGTCCCTCAATGGCAGAGCCTGAGTATACAGTACTGACTGCTGGTAGGCTGACTTTACGATCTATTATAGCCGCAGTGAATGATGATGGTATCTGAAATCTTTTCTTACTTGAGCCTGGAGTCTGCTTCTTGTTGTCAGGAGATTGTCTCTTAGGGAAAGACGGTGAGGATATTTTTCTCCTTGTTTTGGTGACTGTCAAACCTTGCTCTCGACTGCTAGGACTCTCTGAAAATATCTCGTCCAATGGATTACTGTCTTCTCCACTGTCACTGCTAAACGGGTCGTATTCATCAATGTCAGCTCCTGTGGACCCACCGCTGCCGTTCTTCCGAGACTCGCTCCTCAGTGAGCGATACCATTCCTCGGCTGTCCCTCTGTTGCTGAATCTAAGTGTGTAAGAGCATCTCCCCCTGCATCCCTTTGAGATTAACTCTATTGGCATGGTCGCCTCTGCACTGCATTCTGCCCCACGTCGGACGCAGCAACTCTTGAGCCAGAGCATGCCCTTCGGCTCGCCGTCTTGTTTCTTGTACCAGACAACGAAGGACTCGGAGGAGTTTGTGTAGAGACTGAAGTAACACTGTCGCACTTTCCTGCTCCCTCCTTTCCCTGTCTTGCCGCAGAATGAACAGCTCGGGTAGCTCATGGAGACTTGGCCCATCTTTACTTGAGTGCTCATGTGTATGGAGGAGAAAACGTTCTGGCGGAGTAGTTCATCTGATCCAGGCTTACTCATGATTCCTTTTGATGAAATCTTGCTTACAACAAGCTTCAAGTCTTTCTTTTAGTTTGCTCTTGCTTTCTTTTTTGGGCTACGAGTAGCGACTTTTTAATACATTGAACGCCCACGCGTTGAGACCACGCCTCCAGTTTAGCTGCAGAACTGAAAAATATCAGCTATTTCCTGCTATGACTTTGAAGTTTTTCACAAGGAGATTTGTGTGTGCACAAATGAGAGTAATGTTTTCTCAGGCAGATTTGCATGACTGATTCACTGCTCAAGTCTTGGACAATCTTGCAGCTTAAAATTTTATGATTTTCATCCTTTTTAGAAAGCCACTCCCTGTTGGAGGTGTGTTTCTAAATTCTAATGCAAGAATTATTAATGGAAACTATTGTTTGGAGGAGTGAGATTGGAGCTATATTGAAGTATCCAAAGCAATTTGAGATAAATCTAGTTGAAAAAAGACATGGGCATGGGATTATTGGTAAATGATACTTTAGTTTATCTTCTATTATTACATCTATAATAAGACCATTTTAATTGTGTTGATATAAAAATTAGATTTGTATGCAGAAATTATTGAGACATGCATTTAGTTATGGGTATCTGACATAATGTGGTCTAAATTAATAATTATTTGCCTAAATAGCATTAGCTAATGAGTTCAAATTAACTTATGGTCAAGTATAATTATTTGTAGGCTGTTATTGAAATGCTATTTTTCATTACAGCCAATGATGGTATGTGTCAAATCTTCGTAATGAGATAAACAGCAACATGTTTGCTCTGCATGAGATAAGAAAATGTATATTTAGTAATAGTAATAATAATTATGTAATAATAATAATAATAATAATAATAATAATAATAATAATAATAATATAATGATGGTGGTGACTTATGATATTTGAATAATATTTGAATGAACATATGAATAGCGTAATGATAATTATTATTAAAATCTTTTTTGTGTTCAGTGTAGGGATCACTTTTGCCTAATTTTATAAAACAGCTCAAGCATAAACAATATAATAGTCATGCATTAGCCTAATAGTTTAATGGAATGCACCATCAATTTATAAACCTATAATGTCTATAGGAGATTCTAGTTATGATCGTAAGAGGAAGAGAAAGAAGAATAGGAGGCCATTGAATAAAGGAGAAGAAGAACAATTGAAACATTTTTTGAAAGTATGCAGCATATTTTATCAGCCATCCATAAGCACTTCTAGCTTTTTTAAACACCTTGTACCTGATTTCAATCAAAATTAGATTTTTTCAAATTTTTAAAGTTCTCCAAAATGTAGCCAAAGTCCCTGTACTAAAGTACAGGGATTTTGCCCAAAATGAAAAGTAAAGAATTCTCCATTTTTATAATTTTATCTGATACGTATACATGTTCTTATATTATATAGCAAGTTTGAACAGATTCTAATCAAAATTAATTTTTTTATGAATTTTTAAAGTTACTCAAAAATCAGGCCAAAGTCCCTGTACTGTAGTACAGGGATTTTGGCCAAATTTCATCAAAAATGAAAAGGAGAGAATTCTCCATTTTTATAATTTTTCCTGATACATATACATGTTCTTATGTTGCATAGCAAGTTTAAACAGATTCTGATCAAATTTAATTTTTTATGAATTTTAAAAGTTACTAAAAAATTGTTCCAAAGTCCCTGTACTATAGTACAGGGATTTTGGCTAAAATTTTGTCAAAAATGAAAAATAGATAATTCTCCATTTTAATATTTTTTTTGATTTGTATATATGTTCTTATGTTGCGTAGCAAGTTTGAACTGATTCCGATCAAAATTGGATTTTTTTTACATATTTTTAAAGTTGCTCTAAAACCCATGTTTCATGTCTCTACATGGACGTCTTTTTTTACAGATCCGTGGCTATCTTATGTCATGCTATGAATCATTGAAGATGGTCGGACTCGGTTTGGAGTATTTTCCAGTAAGAAATGGTAAAATCAATGAACCTGCTAATGAATCTAAAGGTACAAGCAGTGACTCTTAATGTAACACACTAATAATGCTCCTCCATTACAGTTGTTATTGACTGGGCTGGATTGTGTGAACTTGATAAGATGGTACCACTCACTGATGATAAGACTCCTGTTAATCTTGAATTAACAAAAGGTACATTGTATTTACTAACGTTCTTATTTTTCTGCTTCCATTAAACTATAATTTTTTATGCTTTTTTTCTTGCTCATATATTTAATACTATAAGATGATGTTGGTAAAGAAATCGATGTGTTTGGTAAAATCATCATGAACAAAGCTACACACGAGATTTGTGCAAATATTTGTGGGCATAATGTATCCATTCCTCCATCTTCCTCCTTCCTTCTCTCTGACATATCTAAAATACAATTACTGAAGCGATTCTCTCGTAAGATACATCTCTGTAATTTCACAAGTTAAAGAAACTCATTGAATAGGATATGCTGATGCTAATGGTTATAATATTATTGTCCTTGATCCTCCTTGGGAAAACAGATCAGCTATTAGAGGAGGGAAGTAAGAACCTTTAAATAATGATTAAAAACCTGGATTACAAGTATGCACTATCTTTGTTGTACAGGATTTACATGTACTGTATTATAAAATATTTTTATAGCCACACACATATATTTTTATATCATACCAAGTGGCTTCTTTGATCTTAGAAAGTTACTATAGTATCTTGGTATTATTACATTAAATGTACATATTTCTTCTATGTTAGGTATAAATGGTTGGACAAAGAAGACATCTCCCAGCTTCCTATTCCAGAGCTGATAGCTCCGGGTGGTCTGGTAGCTCTGTGGGTCACTAATAAGAGACAGCTGGTACAATGGACTGTACAGGAATTGCTGCCTAAATGGGGACTAGAGTACATTGGTGAATGGCTCTGGATAAAGGTTGCCAACTAATAATTATTATAATTAACAATTTTCTTTTCGCCATCTCTTCAGGTTACAACTGAAGGTGATTTCGTTTTCGATGTCGACTCTGTACACAAGAAACCTTACGAGTCTCTTATAATTGGAAAGAGACCCTCTCTCCCTGCTGACTCTGATCCTACGCCACCTCCTGCTAAAGCTCAAAGACTAACTGAGTCACATTGTATCCCTCCATCAAACCCTTTAATGCTAAAAGGTACAGAAAAAACCAATAATGTATTTGACAAATCCTAAAATTAAATTAGATTTATCGGGTGACAAGTCAGTTCAAAGTTTGTCTGCAGACTCTGCATCAAGTGTTAAATCAAGATCAGGAGATGAGATCTTAGTAGATAACGTGTCAGTGATCACTGGATCATGCAAACCTCCTTCACAATACTCATTAATGTGTATACCCAGTACTACTCACTCTCAGAAACCATACTTGGGAGGTTAGGAAATAATTCACAGAAAGGATTAATCGAGAGCTCTTGTTCTTTTCTTAAAGATATTTTGCAATTATACGCTGAAAGTAAAGATATGAAATGTCTTGAATTGTTTGCAAGGAATCTCTTACCAGGCTGGACTTCCTGGGGAAATGAAGTAAGATAGACTAGTAGTAGTAAATACTTTAATTGTTTTTGTTTTTCTTGCAAAATAGGTCTTACAGTTTCAACTTTTATTGTAAGCTATATTATCTTTGAAAAGTAAATTTAATTCATGAAAATCTCCTCTGTTGTATGAAAACAATGCAAGATTTTTACAATCATAGAGTGGTCTTATCATGGTCTTATGTAATCATGCTCGATTGGGCGTGGCTCACTGCTGCAAAATGGTCACCTTTTTCTTCCCCTTTATTTTTCTGGCTAGCCTTCTTCTTTCCTCTCCACCCGCCGAGGCTGCATGCTCTGACATTACTGGTAACTGGTATGATAGTCACTCTATTCCAACAGCACAACTTATTTTCAGGATAGAGAAACATAATGGCGCCTACTCCTCGTTTGCTGTCACTTATAATCCGAACTGGGGCACGGGCTCAGTGAGCTATGACTCCTCTTCTTCTATCATTAACATGCTCTTAGATGATGGAGAAAATATTACTGGATCTGTTGCCTCCGACTGCTCTAACATAACGTGGAGCACAGTCCCTGCTGCGTGGATCAAAGTCCCAAAAGTCCATCAAGTCCACGTTGTCTTCATGAATCATCTTGATGTAGGATATGCTGGTTTTGCTGCTGTAATAATCAACAAGTATTTCCAGTCTTACTTTCCTCGTGCCATCCGTCTTGCTGAAGAGATGGAGCTCTATAGACCCGATGAGTCATTCATCTACACCACTCAGCCATGGCTTGTTGACCTCTACCTTGACTGCCCTCCTAACATGACCCTCAATGGCATACAGGTCAAGTGTCCATCTCCTTCTGAAATAGAGTCCTTTGATGCTGCTATAAGAAAAGGGTACATTGCATGGCATGCTGGACCCATGAACATGCAAATTGAGTTCATGAATGAGGCTGTGCTTGAGGCCGGACTATCAATCGCTCAGAGACTCAACAAGAAATACTTGAAGTCTACGACGGTACTCAGTCAGAGAGATGTCCCAGGACTCACAATGTGTTCACTAAAGACTCTTAATAAGTATGGGGTCAAAGCTGTCTCTGTTGGCGTTAATTCAGGGAGTGCTCCACCAGCTGTACCGAAAATATTCTTGTGGAAAGTTGATGGAGAGAATGAAGAGGATGGTGGTGATGGTATGGTTATTGCACTGTGGCATGCTGGGGGGTACCCTAATAATCCTGGGAGAGACTTGGAAGGTGCTAGAGGTATATCCTATCGTGACTGCACACTGGCACCAGGCACTGCTCACATACTTTGCTTTGCATTCCGTACCGACAATACGGGACCTCCTAACTCGCTTGACGAGATTGACCGGTATTATATGATACTAAGAGAAGAGTACCCAGGAGCTGCAGTCTTTGCTTCTACGTTTGATAATTTCACCAATTCTGTCAGTATTGATCACCTACCCGTACTTACTAATAAAGAGATTGGCGATACGTGGATACAAGGCATAGCCTCAGATCCTCTTAAGTCCTCAATGTATCGCTCAATGGCCCTCAGTCTTGATCAGTGTCTCAAAGATGGAGCCTGTGACCTCTCTGATCCTGTCGTTTCAAATGCTACAAGATTTCTTATTAAACTCCCTGAACATACTTGGGGCCTCCCTGGTGTGGAGAATACAGAGGACTGGGCCAATTCAGATTTTGAGAAAGCTCGTACAACTGCAGAATTTATCGCCAATCGGGAGTCTTGGTTTGAGCAGAGAACATTCATTAACCTTACCCTTGAGGCCAGTGAAGGTCACAAACTAAACGAATACCTCACTAGTGGATTGTCTGAGCTTAAACTGACCGATCCTCCTAACTTGTCAGATTACAATGAGATTGATGCATCGAAAGTATTCACTCTTTTCAATGGTAAAGTAGAGATAGGATTTGATAATAGCACAGGTCCTATCACTCACTTGATCTACAGTACATCAAGCAATAAACAGTTGGTTTTTGCTGGTACCAATCAATCATTGGGCCAGTTTACTTACATCACGTACAATGAATCCGACTTTTTCTTTATGCAGTCAAGATATGACTACGCATTTAATGCTGGTTACGATAAGCCAGGTAGTGATGTAGCTGATCCTCTGTCACAGACCTGGTCAACAAAATTGATCGGTCTTTATCAATGCAAGGATAATGAGAATTATTTCCTCACTCATTTGACAATGCTTGATTCAAAGGCTCATGATTATTATGGTGCGCCTGCTGATGTATGGATTAAAGTCAATCTCTCTACTAGTGACTCTTCTCTGTTAAGAATTGATTTTGATCTTGTTTTGGTAAACAAGACCAGCACACGTCTTCCAGAATCGACCATGTTCTCTTTCTACCCCTCTCCTCCAGCAACAGGTGCAGCTGCTACCCGTTGGAAAGCGAGAGTCTTTAAAGTGGACGATAAGTCTTCATTTACTGTTGGCAGCGTTGTCAATAATGGATCTCAGTTCCAGCATGCAGCTCAGAGTGTTCTGCTAACATCATCTTCTTCAATGGGCAGCAGCTCTGGACCTACCATTGCTTTTAATTCAACCGATGTCCCTATAGTGTGTCCAATCATTGATGATGGTCATAGTCCTACTTCGTTCCCCGTTCCGCTGGACTCACTGGTTGATGATAGCGTGATAGGCATTGCCTTCAATATTCATAATAATATATGGAATACCAATTACCCGCTGTATTATCCATTTGTGTCTGGTGATGAGAATTTTAGAGCCAGATTCACTGTTACTTTCCAATAACAATGCATGCTTTTTCTACTGCTTTATTATGCTTCTTTGTGCATGTTAGATCTAATCTTATTCATAGTCTATTATTAATTTTGGGGTGTGACTCACCCACTTTCTTTGGGCTTTGGTTCGAGCTTTGTGTGAAGCACTTCTCTTGTCTGTGAAAGTTAGGAAGCGCCTAGTCACACAAAAGGTACAGGAGCAATGGCCAATATCAAAGTAGCTGTGAGAGCAAGACCTCTTTTGTCTAGGTAAGAATTGTTGCAATTCGAGATCCAAAAATTCAAATTTATATATGTCTCAAAAATAAGAGCAAAGATTGATGTAGATTACGCGAGACTAGATTATCAGATGTTAGCATCAACTGTTGTAAATTATTGACTAATTCTTCTAGTTTCTAATTTTATGCTGTTTGCAAATAAGATATGCTTATACACATAATGCAATTCAATGTATTGTGTATGTGGCACGATTATGAAACTGAAGCATAATACAACTCTGCCTTGAGTCCACGTTTGTTAGATTAGTACAGTTGATCTAATGGTGTCCGTTAGTACATTGATAGCAGTAATGGATTTATAGCTCACTGTCATGTGATCTGCTGGTTTACAGTACTGGTTAGTCACTATTCTAGTTATGTACTATGCAGTGCTGATATAAATATTATGCTCAGTGACCTCCAGTTCTAGTAGTAATTAGCATGTCTGTTGTACTATACTATAATTGCTATGGCTACACTTTGGGTCTATCATATATTACGTGGGGAATTACATGATGTAACATGTGTGAAGAAGTTAGTTTTTATTTCTTTCTCTCTCCCTCTCTCTCTCTCTCTCTCTCTCTCTCTCTCTCTCTCTCTCTCTCTCTCTCTCTCTCTCTCTCTCTCTCTCTCTCTCTCTCTTTCTTCTAGAGAGCTCGAGTCTCAGAGTCCTATTGTGTTAGATATAAAAGGACAGTCGACTATTCTTTTTAAAGTACTGTTATATTTCTCTCTCTTTTTAATTTTTCTCTCTGCCGTCATATTTTATTTCTTTCCCAGAGTGAGGCAGCTGTAGCTGTGGGTGAAATGAGGGATGCCTCTAAAGAATTTATATACGATCACTCCTATTGGTCCGTTAGTTCTGATGACTCTCACTTCGCCTCTCAGGAACAAGTTAGCCTCTATAACAATAGTTTACATAGTGCCTGGTCGAGCCTGCCCACATGAATCAACACTCTTCCATTTGACCTTTTCAGATAATGTGATTATAGAATTATCCTATCATAATATCTTATAGCAATAATACATAACAATTAGTAATAATTGTAGTTATGATAGCAGATAATATAGAGTAATGGCTACTTTTTTTATCTCCCCTAATATCAAATTCTTTATCATCCTTCTCCTGTTTTTTTTTGCATAAGATATTCTCAGATCTTGGCCACCATATCTTGAACTCAGCCTTTGAAGGCTACAACGGCTGCATATTTGCATATGGGCAGACAGGGAGTGGAAAGACTTACACAATGATGGGAAATGAGGTACTAAAGAGATCCTTTTAATACTTCTTTATTTTTTCAAAAATATTCCTAGCAATCTCCTGGCCTCATACCAAGAATTTGTGATGTGAGTGAGAGATTATACTGTCATTTATTTATTTATTTATTTTTAATATTTTCCCTCTTTTTTTATTACTCATCTCTCTCTCGTGTTGTTTTTTTTATCCCACATCACAGGGGCTATTCAAAGGAATGAAGAAGAACCCCAACCAAGTATCTTATAAAGTAGAAGTCAGGTATGCCACACACTGTGTGTGGGGACTCTCTTTCATAAACACACAAACACACTTTTACCTTATAAGTGCATATAAACACACTCCACTTTCATAAAGTGTATGCGTGTGTGCACTGTATTATTGAAATGAATAACAATAATTGTAATTTGTATCTGCTTACTCAAATGTATATACATATGTCGGACATAACTATTAAAATTAGCAATAACATGTGAGAAGCATGTGTGTCATATGCATTACGTGATAATGTGATTCATATTCGTATGATGTTGATGCAATATCCTCATGTAAACTTTTAAGTAACACATGTAGCCATTCATGGAATTGTACACTTGTGTATGTTTGTTCTATGTGTATAATGCACTGCTTATATGGGTTGCATGGTTTATACAGTGTAGCATATCTTGTATATTTTACGTCTCTCTCTCTCTTGGTGTGTAGTTATATGGAGATTTACAATGAGAAAGTGAGAGACTTGTTGAAAATGTCGGTTCCTAGTTCGAATTCGCCTCAACACAATCTTAAAGTTAGAGAACATCCAAAAGAAGGACCCTACGTTGAAAGTAAGAGAGAGAGGGAGGAAGAGAGAGAGAGAGGGAGAGAGAGAGAGATGGAGAGAGAGGGAGAGAGTGAGAGAGAGAAGGAAAGAATAGCCCATAATATTTAGCGAGTCTTATAGACTATTTGTGGTATAAACTGCTAATTGTCATTAATTTTTTCACTAGATCTGAGCAGGCATCAAGTCTCTGACTACCAAGCTATAGAAGAACTAATATCCATTGGAAACAGTTTCAGGTACTAGGCTACTGCATAAGTATGAATGGAGAGAGATGGTATATTTCAAAAAACCATTATACGCATGTACTGCATGTGTACGTGTATGTTGTCATTTGGGACAATGAGTGATTATGATCATTGCATGGGAGTAGTATCAAAAGTGAATGCCCTGTGATGCATTTTAACCGAATTATTGTTGTATTGTTATTTGAATTTAGAGTTACAGCTGCTACCAAGATGAATGATGTGAGCAGTCGCTCGCATGCCATCTTTACCATCACTTTTATGCAAGTGAGCAAATTAGGACACATTTTATAATGAGTATTATTATTATTATCATTGAATAGGCAAAATATTCACATGACATACCCAGTGAAACCGTCAGTAAAATTCACCTGGTGGATTTAGCTGGAAGGTGAGAGCTTCTCTTTCTCATATGTTATAAATTGTTTTCTCTTTTTTTCTTTTCTCGTTTTGTACAGCGAGAGAGCTAGTCAAACAGGTGCTGAGGGCCAGAGATTGAAAGAAGGAGGGAACATAAACAAGTCGCTGGTATGTCTGGGTAATGTCATTCAAGCCTTAGGTATGTTCACAGTCTGAGCTATTACACCTTTCACTTATTAATGAATGCAACGATACATTGTGTAATGATGATCACTACATTGGCTCATAGCAATACAAGTATTGGCAGCTGGAAAAATACAAAAAATATACATACTTCCTTTGTTGTTGGCTTGTTGAGCTCTTTGTTCATCAGATACAACAATAGTAGATCTTGTATACACTGATGCTCAATATGTAGATATTATAGCATTCTTTATTCATTGTGTTACTTAATTAATGTACTAATCACCCCCAGCTGCTAATTATAATTAGTGCGGTAATTATTTGATTTCCCCCTCTAGCCGAAGCTTCCTCAAGCTCAAAGAAGAAGAATCGTTTCATACCGTACAGGGACTCTACACTGACCTGGCTACTCAAAGACAGTCTGGGAGGGAATTCAAAAACAATTATGATAGCAAGTAAGAAAAAACATACTCATGTATATAATGTACATGTATATGTATGTACAGAATTTGTTGTATTGTGATGAATATTTCCATTATGTTTATTGCAGCTGTGTCACCTTGTCAATACAGTTATGCTGAGACGCTTAGTACATTGAGATACGCCAGCAGAGCCAAGAACATTGTCAATAAGCCGAAAATAAATGAAGTATAAGAATCCTAATCTACACTTTAATGATAGATAAACTTTATACTTTGTGATTTATTCCTATATGCAATTGCGTTATGTTATAGGATGAAAATGTCAAACTGATTAGAGAGTTACGAGAAGAAATCAAGCGCTTAATGGGCATCATTTCAAACACAGTATGTACATTAAAGTACTCACTATCTTAACCCCATTACCTATAGGACGTGGAGAGCACACTACATTTAGCAGTGGATTTACATAACAAAGAGGAAAAGGTACATCTAGCTAATACAATTACTTCACTATACTGTGTCAATTCCAACCACCAATAGATCCAATCCCTTACAAGAAGCTGGGCAGGGAAATGGGGAGACATTCAAAAGATTATTGAAGTAATAATTACAGCTGCACGAGTAGGTTTGAGATGTACTGTATGTCACTACAGGAGCGTGATCTAGCACTGAGAAGTGAAGGAGTGAAAATGACAGTTGCTTCTGAGCAGCCTCACTTGCTGGGGGTGGATGAAGATCGGTTTGGTGCCGGGGTAGTGCTCTACTATCTAAAAGTATGAACTGTTAATATGTAATGACTACTATATTATTATAATGCATGTGTGGTTATTTCAGAGTGGTGACACTACTATTGGACATGTTGATGCCCCCATTGAGAATGATATCAGTAAGTAATGGTATTTTCATCAAAAATGACTCAGAGAGAATTCTCCATTTTTATAATTTTATCTGATGCATATACATGTTCTTATGCTGTGTAGCAAGTTTGAGCTAATTCCAATCAAATTAGAATTTTTTACAAATTTTTTAAGTTGCTCCAAAATCAGGCCAAAGTCCCTGTACTATAGTACAGGGATTTTAGCCAAATTTTGCCAAAAATTAAAAGGAGAGAATTCTCCATTTTTATAATTGTTTTTGATATGTATACATGTTTTTATGTTGCATAGAAAGTTTGAGCTGATTCAGATCAAAATTAAATTTTTTACGAATTTTTAAGTTGTTCTAAAATTATTGTGTAGCCTCAACTGTTTGTAGATATTTGTTGTCTATTTGTAGCTTCTTTTTATCAACCTCTCTCTCTCTTTTAGGTTTTAAATCTGAGAGTATAGCTAATTTTCATTGCAAGATTACACTGCTGGATTATGGAGAGTCTGTCTACCTTCACAAACTTGAGGGCCTATCTTTTGTCAATCAAATACCAGTCGAACAGGATGAGCCTGTAAAACTGTCACACAGTAAGCAATGCACTATTTAATAAAAGATTATAATAATATTCTGCTATTACCATGCATGTAGCTTTGACTGTCAATATGCCTAATTAGGACTATTATCAATATTGATTATTTTTCGCTATAGGTGATACATTGAAGCTGGGCAGTAATACTTATCTTAGATTTAATAATCCTCAGGAAGCTATGAAACTTAAAGAAGAAGCATCACCAATGGTGAGATCACATATTGTATTGAGTATTACAACCAAGATGATTCTTACATACTTCATTGACCATATACCACTACTCTATCACTAATAACTCATTTTGTGCTTTTAGGGAACAAATAACAACACTTCCAATGGCTCATTTGCTTCAGCTGTCTGGAGGTAATTTGTGTATCATTGTGTATTTTAACACGCCCTCTCTCTTTTCCAGCCCATTAATGAACACTTCTTCAAACTCACTGATACAGACACTTGAGCAAGAAAGGTAGCAATAAAAATATCAATCATGTACATGTACATGTATAATGTACTGAG